AGCAGGCACCCGGCTCCCACGGTTTCCCCGCCCTCTTCCTCTATTTCTTCATCTAGTGTCAGCTTGTTGTGTGGGATCCGAAAAGGGAAATTCCAGATAATGGGGAGAGCAGCCTCCCACGCAACGCACCAGGGGAGCATGATGTGTCTGGCTAATCTGGGTGGGATGCAGGTGAAACAAAGGGAAGGCGCGATCCGCCGCCTCCTCCCCCTCCTCCCCCTCCGCCGCCGCCGCCGAGTGCGGGGACTGGGCAGAGGGAGGAGTAGAGTAGGGCTGGGGATCATAGGATGTGATGATTTGGGGGAGGGGTGGGCGGATTGGGGAGTGGTTGTCTAGGGCGGACATGGCACAGCAGGACGGTAAGGCTACGGCCGAGATGTGGGCTGCTGCAGGACGGGAGGACAAATGTCATGATATGCAGGTAAGGAACCGGGCGTTTCCACTGTTGTTTCTCTCTTGGGGTTTTTCCTTTGATGGTTTGGTTCTCGTGTCATGGTCATATGATGACCGTGTCATCGGCGCATGACACTAAACAAAAACACACTGGGAAAAAAAAAATGTATCTCTCCTTGGTTTAAGTGAGCGTCTTACTTAGTTTCTGTGGGATTTTCTGGCTTATCAACAACACGTTTTCTTTCTTGGTCTGTTTCTTTTTGGGGCATGGGGTTACGGTACGGTATAGGGTACGGTACGTTTGGGGGGGCAGGTTAAAAGGACTAGGGTAAGGAAGGGAAAAGGAAGCACTCCGAGATGTTTGTTACCACGTTTAATTTTCATTACTGTCTGTCTGGTGGTCATGACTGGAGTTGTTACGAAACGCAACTACAACGAAACGCAGCTGTAGGTACCTAATGTTATCACACTGATGTAACAAACCTTCAGTAACCAGACTATCTGCTTCCCGCACTATCTCCATGTGTTGGATATCATTAGCTCTTCCGGTCCCGTCATCTCGAGATGATCTACACACACCAATGCAAGGCAAATCATCACCACATTCATGCCCATATCCGCCTCTCGGCCGGGTACTCACTCCGCCCTACCTCCTACATCCCAGCCAATGTTTTGATCTTGGATGCTGTGTCAAGTGACACAACAACGGGGTCTCTACTGCAGAAGAACAAGTTCGTCTCTCTGTGCGGGGGTAGTACTACATGATCAGTTTACAGCATATTCAGGCGTGGCAACATGAGATATAAAGTGCTTCTAGAATAAAAATGTGAAGTGGCATGATTTGTAATTGTTGTACTGCAGGTGCTTTTTGAGAGAAAACACACCTACTTAGTCGCATACGGCTAATGTGTTGTGCTTACCTTACTTGCAGATGGTCTGTTGATGGTCACGGTGACGGGCAGGACGCCGTGCGAGTACCGGTCAGTAGTGTAGATTTAATCTATTTGGTAGATCTGCGGGAGTGAAAGAAGTGAGGGTGAAATCCGGTTTGGTGTTTTAGTTTGGGGTTACATGACAACACTACCAACAAAATGATGAGACCTGCCTGGTGGTTCGTCTTTGTCGAAGAACTAGGAGTTTCAAGGAGTCAAAGGGGATGGTACCTTCCTCCCATCTCTTCCACGGAGAAGTTATTCCGGGCTTGTTTCTCCGTGGAAACACCCAACCCGTCCCATCCATATATCGCGCAGATCAAAGGTATACAGGGCGAGACTCGAGGTAACCTCAAGCTTCCACCTCCACCTACCACAAAAGTCACGATATCTTCCTAAAATAATTGCCTGCCAGCAAAGCCTCACTCTGTTCACCTTTGGGCGTAGCTAGTGCAAGCTAGCCCGCCCTTCCGCCGATCAGGCTTGATTTTGCCACCACTGTGATACCCTTCCGTCGTGACCTCGCAGAAGAAGACGCATATGACACAGTACTATCTCTTAAACATGGTCCTCAATCAAGTCCTGTGATTGAGGACTTTGCAAAAGTGCACATTCAGGGCGCACAGAAACCGTGTCTTGGCCAAAGGCTTTAACCCAGCTGCGGATCACGTCGACGAAGTGTGGTGATTCACAGAACTGGCGGTCTGGGTGTATTAGACCTATCATGCTTCGAGTTCATCACTCCTTCTATTGAATCCTATCAAGACGAAGCAGAGGGGCATCAACACACCGCCCCTAAGCCGCCCTTTGTCACGAGGACACCAAAACGCCAAGACGTCGTGATGGCTTCAACTTTCTCCCTACCAAGAAAACTAACAGCAAGGTACCCACCCACATTTCTTCCCGTCCTAATAACATGACCTAGCTTGTCTACCGTCCCCCGAGAATACATTGCCGCCAACCAAGTGAGACACTCCTCGCCCTGCTACTACTACAACTACATGTCCCGTCTGTAGATCTATCACCTGCTTTCTTCACCAACCCAGCCGATAAAACTCGGGCAGCCAATATGCATGTTTAGGGGCGCCCACTCCCGACTGCACCCACACTCCCCGAACCCATACTCATCAGAGGTTCCAGGCGCCTATACGAACAATCCCTTTTTGGGAGACAGCGTTACCCAATGATCTGACCCTGTTTCAGCACGGTATCTTTCCCTTACACCACGCCCCTTTTATCTCTTCTTCCCAGTTTCTAGACGTTAATGTCATCCAAAAAAAAAAAAGAAACCATGATTGCCCCTGCGTCCCCAGGTCGTCCAATGGTTTCCATGTTTGGCACCACCAACCACTTACACCATACATCGGGCACTTCACACCACTTAAACCTTTCACTTACACCACTCACTCACACCATTCTTCCACCTTTACCCGCACCACCAACAAAAGTACTTCCCACCATCACATCACCACAAATCTAACACAGCACAAAACCAATGTGCTCAATAGCCGTTATCCGATCTACGTAAAAATCTTCCCCTTCCATCACGCCCATGATTGTAACCCCATTCCCGGATTCTCCCACATAGCAGCCTCCCCAAAACCGGCAAGAATCTGCAACATTTCAAGGCTGACGGCAGCCTCGCGGGATGATCATCACACCCTAAACCAACGACTATCGTCTGAGCACGTCGTAGTAAAAAAAGAAAAAAAAAGAATGGAGACTGCAAACTACTGGGAATATGGGGCCTGAAAAAAAACAGTGAAGAGTATTCTTCAAAAGTGCCTTACCTAGTCAGTAAGCGTTCGAAAATGGCTGACCATGACCACCAATGTCATACGGCAACTCTATGAAACTGAGTTCCCTCTTCGGCGTTTCTCTCACCTTGATAAGAAAACATCCTTCCTACATTTGAACAAGGGAACAAAATCTTCAGTATAACCAGCATATCTTCAGACAGTCGGCGTCAACATCCCTTCTTGTCATTCATTAACACCAACTACCCATCACACCTATCTATATCCACAGCCCCCATCCCCTTTAACAACCTTTATACCCCCATCTCCCAACACCGTTAAAACCAAGGGAATCTTGCCACGTATAACCGCCAAACTTTCCAACTCGTCAAATACATCACGCCCCCCTTTCCCCATCTCTACAATCAAACAGTCATCATCCCTTTTATATGAAAATTAAAAACGCCGTCCAAGATATGCTGGCTGTGCTGCTTCCTCGCTTTTTGTTTGTAAAAATATGTGTGTCTTTGTATGACCGCTCCCCCCACCCAACACCAGAAACCATCTTGTAAAAAAGAGAAAAAAAAACCACGCTCCTATTAACCCCCCCCCCCCCCCTCCTGCACTCCCCCACCAACCTGTCTTATCCTTGTCCTTACTCTACCTCGCCCGCTCAGTAGATTCCCTGTGTTCTATATTGAAAGGTATCATAACTATTTTGCACCTTTCGTGTCAGTATATTATAGACGATGTAAGGGTGGCAGCAAAACTCACAGCCTTGTGTAATAACTCCCCAACGACTTCCCAATCAAATCCGTCTCAACAAACTGCTCCGCCTCATCCGCGCTCAGCTGCAGCTGAAACCTCTGCCTCAATGCCGCCGTGACCTGCGTGACGCCCGCTCCATAACAAGGCATCTTGCTCTCCCGCCCCATCATGCTGACCAGGTCGATGATATTATCCGCTGATCGTCGAAGAGCTATTGCCACTTGTTAACATCACCTATCGTCACGATATGCCGATAGGAAACTCACCCTGAAAAGCCTGCTTGCAAAGCTTCTTAAAATCCTCATAATCAGCCGACCCAACACCCCCCAGCACATCCACATACTCATACGTAAACTTGAAGGGCGCCGCCTCAAACCCAACTGACCCCGGCGAGTTCGACAGCATGAACCCAAAGTCGATGTGAATAATGTGCCCCTCGTTGTCAATCAGCACGTTCCCGTTGTGCCTGTCCTTGAGCTGGAGCACATAAGAAATAACGCTGTACGCCGCCAGCGATCTCTTGAAAGCGTCCACGCCAGCCCTGTACCCCTCGCTGTCAGGCTTGCCAAACACTTTCACGAAATGGTCCTTGAGCGTGGCGATCCTCCTCCTTGGGTTCTGCCCCGACTCGATCGACGCCATCGTCAGGCTGCGCTTGATGGAGTGAAGGGATACGCCGTTGGCAATCGTCTCGATCAAGCCAGATGATTCTCCCGTCACCAGAATCCGCATGAGCTTCACCCACACCGGCACCCCAGCATCCACCCAGATCTTGTGGCAGACTCGAATCAACTGGCACGCAAACGCCTCCTGCCTCAAGTCAGAGCCTGTCTTGATAATGACGCTCATAAGGTCCCAGTTCTTCATCCATCCGTACGGCGAAGACTTGCGGATCCGCTCCTTCTTCACCTCCCACGCCTCTCCAAAGACCGCCGCGCTGGGATCGTCACGGTCACCCTTGCGCTGAAGACCACCCGTCTTGATGTCATTTTCCATCCTGTCAATACCGGCATTGGCGTTGATATTTGCTGGTTCAGGGCCGGCACTGCCTTCGTTTTCCATGTCTGTTGTTCCATTGGCGTTATTATTGCTGGCCGCAGCAGCGGAGCCCACCTCGCTCTTGGCTATGATGGTGTCAAACGTTGGTCCATGGCCGTCATCCAGATCAAAGCTCTGCTCCTCCAGACTCTGCATGCTTGCAATGATCTTGGCGCGGATGGCCGCTACTTCTTGTTTTGGACGCTTCCCGCTGGTTGCGTCCAGCTGGGCCAGCATCTGAGATGCCGTTCGCATATGAATAGCCAGTGCCGAAAAGTCAGGCTGATCGACAGAGTTGTTTCGCGGGTTGCTGATAGTCAAAGTACGGCTTCTAGCCGGAGGACTAGGTGACCCAGAGATACTAGTGTGGATAGAGTGTCGAGGCGTTGTCTTGTTGTCTACAGCCCCAGAAACAGCGATATTTGGGTTGCCAACCCGGAGCGATTGAGTTCTTGGCAATGGCGGTACAGGGCCAAATAGATCGTCATCTAAGGGCTTGAGCATAGGCGAAGCCCCCAGATCTCCAGAAGCTGGCTCGAAAACGCTATCCACCACTGGCTCGGCCGGTGGTGTCCGGGAAACGGCAGGTATGCTAGGGGCATCAGATAAATCGAATATTCTTTTCCTCGTCCCCTGCTCGGCCAGTAGAGTTGTAAGCAGCCTCTGGTTATCCTGGGTGTCAGGATCAAAGGTAAAATCGTCCCTCAGAATTTCCACCATGAGTAGATACGGCACTTTTTCAGCACTGTTAAGAACTGTTGCCTCGGCCGGGTTCAACCGGACTATTCTGTGGTGGCGGCTTTTCGATGGTGAGCCGTCTACTAGAGTAGGCGGGCACAACACTGGGATATCAACCTCGGCAGGCAAGTCCCTGGCGATCAAGGCAAGCTCGGCGCGCAGAGCACTTAGACGAGCCGGCTTAGGCACAATCACCAAGCGGTTCGAGATATCCTCCAATGCTGTCAAGAAAGCTGTCTGGCAGCGAAAGTAGTTTTGTCTCAAGAGCCGTATTTTTTGCTCATTGGTCATCTCAGCTTGGTTCAGCATGGTCTTGACGCTGTGCGAATGTTTCCTAGACATGTCGTGCGGTCGTAGGCCAGCTGTCAGGGGCGTGGTGGGTCTGGTAACGATACGAGGTCGAGAATCAGGTAGCGGTAAGGATGCCGAGCTGATGCGTGCTTCAAGGCTGAGATTTTCCAGACTTTCGACTGGAGCAGGTCGGCTTGGTTTTGGCAATGGCGCCTCTGCTACGCTCCCAGACGTACCGGGTCTTGACGGTTTGGTCCTGTGTTTTTTGGGCGAGTTGTTCTGGGAAGTGGGCTGAACCTTGACGTCTGGGGCGCTTGCTATGCGACTCTCCTTTGCGCGTTTGGACCTGCTACTCCCGGCCGTCACAGTATGCGCTCTAGCAGGCACATTCTTATTCTGAGTCTGAGGAGCAGCGGCGACTGGCTCGGCGATGCTTTCGATAACAGGGCGTGGTCTTCTCGCTTGCGCAACAGCAAGGGGTCCCGCCCAGCCAGGCAACATGGGCAAAGCAATGCTCGCCAACACGAAGCTCCCCAAGACAGTCACCGGCAGTGCATTTTCCACAATCTTTTCCTGTCTCCTAACGTCTGATACCCCAAACACTATGTGTTGCACCTTGTTGTAGACTCGGCGGCAAGTACTGAAAGCCTCGGTTTGCGGATTCGACGAGAGGTCATGGAGGTAAGTTTGAAACAACCAAAAGGTCTAGCCACGATGGTCAGTATACCGAGGTTTGCGGTGCATATGCTGAACTAAAGAAACGAACCAGGAGCGCTGCTGTCACCGACTCCTCGCATAGGTCCAGGAGGAATTCCTCCAGAGCCATGGACTCATTGTCGACGCTTATAATAAGATGGCACAGTTGCGGCAGGAAGAACTCGATGTCCTCGTAGGGAAATTGGCGAAGCTTGTTGCACAGCACATAGTGAATGCCTATGTGGTCGGCATATCGTCTGCAGAGGTGGGAGGCAAGCGGTCAGCGGTCCGTGACTTTTTTGTATTTGTAACAGCTGTCCTGTCCTATGCGCTGGACGCTAGGAGTAACATACGAGAGGTACGACACCGAGAGGAAAGGATTCTGGTTAAAGACATCGCTCTCGAGGAACCGCTGAAGCAAGTCCCAAGACATTGGTTGGGTGGTGTGCGTGTGGTAGGTAAGGATGTTTGCGAAGGACCGGTTCACGCGTTTACGGCGCGGGGGACGAACAGCGGGCAGCGGGCAGCGGGCCTGGCACTCGGGCAACACGGGGAAACGGGGCGGCGGCGGGCACTCGGTTCGGTGGCAGAGGACGAGACGAGATCAGACGGCGGGGAGACAGCATGCTCTGCTCTCGCTCAGTTAGAGTCGGGGTTTGACGTCACGTTGGGATAGAGGTATCAGTTGTAGCATGGCTGCCACACAAAAGAATAGGTAGCTAACTTGGCAAAAGATGGAGATGTCGGTGATGTCGAAGCTTTCCGACACGACGCTGAGGACAACCGATCCAAAAGCTCCAGTTGGCCAATTCCAGGGGCTCCAGGGAGCTGCCCCACCTGCCGACGCTCCGGCTCGGCATTTTCCCTGCACCTTCTTTATACGGAGGCTCAACCTTCCCGATGAAGACGGGAGTCGAAAACATATAAAGGCTTTCCCGGCCGTTCTAAAACTATAAACCGGGAGCATGGTTTCTATGAAATTTTCTTCTCATATAGTCTGGTTACTGCCTCCCTGAACACATCCACTATCGACAACCCCAACCCTAACTTTCAATACTCTGTCTCCTACAACAATCTATCTACGCTACGTCACTGCTTCTCAAGGGGTGGGATTCATCGCTCGGCCTCTGCCGTATTCAACATTAAGAGTTATTTACAATCATCCTTATATACAATAAATACGTCAATGTATCACCACACCGACTGCCTCCTCGGACGTTGCCATTGGCCTTGTCTTTTTCTCTTCTTTTTTGGTCTGACTCTCTGTAATAACTGTTAGCTCATGTTCACTTCTCAAGCAGTCCAGCCTCAAGCAACTCACCTTGTACTTCACTCTCTCGCTACCGTCAGGCATCTGGACAATCTCATGCTGGATATGGTATCCAAACGCGGGCAGCACCTTTGCCCAAATCAGCCAGTATGCCGTCCCGATCGCCAACAGACTCGTACCCAACGTGGGTACGACGTAGTACGGCAATCTCTCCGTCGTGAACACCTGGTTCGGAATGAACGTCGCCGCCTGCACAAACAGCAACGACACCGTCCAGAAAATCGTCAACAAGGGCGAGCTCCGGAAGGTAGTCCTCTGCTCCGCCCAACGCTCCGAGGGCGTAAAGTTCAGGTACACCAGCCCAACAGCAAGAAGGATCTTGATCCAGTTCGAGCTGTACACGAAGACGTTGGTGACAAAGGTGTACACGTCTGACGTCTGCGAGGCAAGGATGAAGACTGTTGTCACAATCCAGTGGAGAAAGATGGCACCGGATGGAGCATTGAACGGCCAGTCACTCGCCCAGAACCGTGACCATGGCAAGACACCCTCCTTGGCCAACTCCTGCTTCACACGAGGCATGGCGAACGACTGGGCAAACACGTTGCCCAGCGAGGAAAACCCGATAAACAACGGCAAAACCCTCTGAACGAAGACGCTCTTCCCCCAGACGTTCTCGAAAAACTGAGCAGCGACTACCACTCTCGAATTGGCCATCTGATCTTTCGTCATGGCAGAAAACTGATTCAACCGTGTTAGTCCCCCTTTTTGATACAAAACAAACCAACAGGGAAATACTCACATAAGCAATATTCGCCAACACATACAACACCGTAACGATACTAATCGCAATGGGCGCCGCTCTCCTCAACGTGGTCGGCGCATTCCTCACCTCGGTCAACACATAGTTTGCATTCTCCCACCCTCCATACGAGTATAGCACCTGCAACAGCCCCAACGCATACCCCGCCGCTGTCTGCGCCATTGGCGGACCAGTATCCAGCGTCCTCGCATTCGCAGTCTCCATTTCCGGGCCATTGAAACTCGAAAAGTTACTCGGCTCCGGCCTCGGACTGGCCGTCTTTCCCGCCAATGCCGCAAAACCAGTGCAGACTAACAGACTCAGCAACACCAACTTGAAGGCCCCCAACCCGTTGCTGAGCCAGATACCCCATCTCGGGGCAAAAGCGTGGATGAGACAGACGACCGTGATGGCTGCAACGGCGATGCCTCGGGTGAGCCATTGGCGCTCGTCTTCGGGGTCGTTGATGTTGGGCTGGAGCTGCTGGCTTCGGAGGTATTCCTCATTGCCGCTGCTGCCTTTGGCGGCGCGGAGAAGGTAGGAGCTGAAGGAAATCGAGTTGGCGGTGGAGATGGCGAAGAAGACGAACTGCACGGCGAAGATGCAGGTTGCCAAGTATCTTGGCCGTTGGTAGACGCGCTCGAGGTAGACTTTTTCGCCGCCGGAGCGGGGGAGGGCGGTGCCGTATTCTAGGTAGACGAAGAGGCTGGGTTAGAGAGGGGTTAGTATTTGACTGCTGAGAGGAGAGGTAAGTGAGCTTTAGTGGTGTTTGATCATACCCGCTATAAAACATGTCAGTCATCGTCACAAAAAGGGGATCTATAAGAGGGCAGGCAATACACACCAAAAAGTCATAATACCCCCCAGCACCCAAAACAGCAACGTCATCCCCACGCTGTTGATACTGAGAATGATACTACTTGGCGTGCTGAAGATGCCGGCGCCCACCACCCGGTTGATGATTAGGAAAGCGGTCGACCATGTCCCTAGCTTGCGTTCTTCTGGGTAAACGAAGTCGTGGTAATCATCGGAGGAATTGTCGTCGTTGGGACCACCGCGGCTGCCGCCGTGACCGTTTCCACCGGGGGAGGAGAGGCCATTGCTGTAGATTGTGCCGCGGTAGGTGTCTAATTCGAGACCGTTGGGGGATTGGGAGCCGTCGATTCGGTCTTTGGAGGTGATGGGCTGGGTGAAGATCTCTGGTTCTTGCATTGTGGTTGGACTGGCTGAATTCCTCACCACACACCGAGTGGTGATGTGGAAGGGAAAGGGGCTGAGCTGAGCCGAGCTGCTGGGGGATTAAGATTGGTGATAAGATTGGGGTGCGAGTAGTGCTCGGTGAACGAGTTGATATATTCGGTAGCCTGCCTGGCCTCTCACTCACTCCCACGTAGGGTGAGTGGTGATGAGGCTGGGTGGTTTAGTGGTTGGAAATGTGGGTTGGGTGAATCTGCCTGTGTGGTGGTGCTGTGTAGATATGAGCTGGGATCTGGGTCAAGTACACCGTGAGACAAGTGGGCTGAGACAGGTTGTGTCTATCGGCGCTTGTTTCTTTCTGCCTAGATCGCTAACAAAACTGACGTCAAGTTGCTGGTGTAGTTCGATCCGTCTCTTCTCAATTGAGTCCTCGGTCAAGCAACGAGCCTCACTTTCAACATCCTCTGGCTGTGCTGTGGTGTGTGTGCCGGGTATCCGTACCCGCATTCAGTGGCGCGTCCTTCTTGCCCCGTCCTGCAGCAACAAAAGTACAAGATGCGATAAGTCTTCGGTTCTTCAAATGGCGGTATCCAAAATGGAAATTATCTTGTTAAAATTCGCTGACAAGGCAGATTTTGTACATTGAAAAGAAAGACAGGTCGTTGAAAGTGAAAATGAAAATATAGGAGAGAGAGAGAGAAGGCGAATTGATTGATGAGAGGTTCAGCTAGACTAAACCCAGCTCCCCGGTCATGCTCGAAATCCAGCCAAGCCAAGCCTTCCCGCCTGGCTCCTCTTGTCGGTTTTTTATCACTATTATCATGCTTTTTGGGTTGGGTTGGTTGCAGCAGAGGGGACTGCCAGCGAGACGCAGCCAATGATGGACCCTTGTCGACAATTTTTGGATTCTTACCTCTTGGGTGCTTGGTGCGACGCTGGCCTTCCCACGAGATGCATGACTTTTTGGGACTTTGTGGAAATGGAACCCAGAGGTTTGGGCCGTGCCGTGCTTGTGATCTGACAGGAGTGTGGAATTTGACCTTGATTGCGGTGATAAGGTGAGTGAGTTTTGGAATTTGATGTTTTGTCAATGAGTGAGTGTGAATGGATTTCATTCAAAACTCCCAAGTGTAATTACAGCTGCTGCTAGACCCCTACTGAAACATCCCAACGGCGTCCAAGCACGCTCGGGTCATCTCTCCCCGCCTCTCATCTCAGCTCCATCCTTATCTTCAACTTGCTCCTTTTTTCAAAATATATTATCTTCAGTGTACATATAAAATCCCATGTCTCATGAAACAATCCATTCTTCCATCCCGGAAAATCAGTACCATTATTTGTGCCCCTCCACGCCACCATGCCATCTCAAAACTCACCTCACCTCGACAGGGCCACCACATGGCTCGCTTAACATTTTCTTATTATTCGTCCCCTCCTCCCCAGCTGTTCAGATTGATCGGCGCGCGCCTCCTCGCGATGGTGCTCCTCGCCCATAGTGGGGCCGCAGGAAAGGACCAGTAACCAGGAACCCAACAACGCTGGTGGCCTGAGACGAAACTCATATCATCAAGCACAAGCACGTAGACGAAATTCATGAACTTCTGGATTTGGGCCAGGATCATGATCGACCAGAACTGCTGGTCAAAGAAGTTCCAGGCTGTGGAACGTCTGGTTATCGAAGAGGAAAGAAACACTTTGCTACCGTCGGGCGGGCAGGCGGGGCGCTCCCGGGCGGGACACTCGCCCGTAATCAGCCAGTTCAAAATCTGGGGAAGAACCGTTGCCCCGCTTTTCTCCTCTCACAGGCTTTTCGGCTGTTGTTGGTTTTGTTGACCGAGGAGTTTGAAATACTGCAGAACACCGCCTCATCTTGTGGAAGTCGGTAACTGAGTTTGGTAAAGCTTTGATCTATCGTTCAGGTTTAGTGTAGGATTTCTTGACTCAGGTTTGGACATTTCCTGGAGTGCTGGGACGGAAAAGGCTGTGCCGCTTTTGCCTTTGACGGTGATTTTCGTCGGGGGGGGTTGTTGATGGGTAGGAGTTTTCGTCCCATGTGCAAAGATATTAGCAGGATCGCTATTGTCATTGCTCCTGTAAGCTGCTCCCATCGTTCGACTTGCTTCGGCTTGTACCCGATCATTCACACAGACATTGCTCCCGCCTGTAGTTATATACCTGAATCTTAGATTTCATAAGTAAATTGCAAAAAATGGTATAGTATGTTATGGTATCGTACCCCAACCTGACCTTATGAACCCCCGTCCCATCTGTGCCTATACAAGATAAGAGAAAATCCATCGCTATCTCTCGTCCGATGTATATATACCATCCCCTTGGATAGGCCGACTCTGTTCATAATATATGACGTTTCACATGATGTATGTTCCTTCCGTCTCTCTGCTGCTTTGTACCTCACCGTGTTCATATACCCCCCCACGCTCGGACGATTTGTTGCCCCTAATCACATCACCAAAACAACTCCCTGGCTTGTCGCCCGTGTAAACCACCCGTGCTCGTCATCTCTTCTTGTATTTGTTCTAATCGCTGGCGTTCTCGTCGCCGTTGGTGAAGGACTTCTCTCCATTTTTGGACAAAGTTGTCTTGACCTGCGTGCTCTCTTGTTAGTATTCGTCACCAGAAAGTGAGAAGGGACAAGAGACGTACTTGGCGAGTTCTCAAACTCAATCTCAAAGGTCTTGTACAAATCGTACTTTTCCACGTCTTCCTCCCCTTGTTGACCATGGATGTCTAATCCAGCGGGCTCGGAACCTATGCCTTTTTCCATATGTGCTGTTTATTGTCAACTTCATTGCCTTGCATTTCCAGACGAAAGAGGATAGGCATACCTTTCACCCCCGGCCACCGTGACACCCTCCTTGTAAACGGCCCCGGCCCCTTTCTTGGTTTCAACTTCACAATCGTCTGCCCTTCCAGCTTAATATCCAAATCATCGGTGACTAATTCCCCAATCAGTCAGCACAACCCCCCCAAATTTCGTCCGAGCACAAACAGCAAACTTACTAAACAAAGTGATGTACTCCCCCGAACGTCCCAAATAAACCATCAGCCTTGAACTGCTTGCTACCAATCTCTCCCTCAACGGTCCACTTAACGCCGTCCCAGCTGTTACAAAACTAGCCACTTCTGCTGATGGCCCCCCGCCACTTCTCCTTCCACCTTCGTTACTCTCGTGCCAGATCTGCAGCCTAACCCCAGAGTACTTCTCTATCTCCCTCGACCCGCTTTTGTTTAGCGTGACCAACTTAACACTTTGGATATCAAGCACCACCTTCTGACTTGTCAGGCGAGCCTGAAAGTCGAATAACGCCGCCGGTTTGTCAAACTGATATATCCCGCTTGGTCTTCCTGTTCCTGCCTGCGAAGAAGATGACATATACCCGCTTCCCGGGCCCTGTTCTGATTCCCTATCACGGATGTAGACCACGTTTGGGAGTCGTTGATCATAGGCATATGCTGGGACGAGTTGGGCATTGATGGATTTCACTGTTGGTTCTTAGTCAGTATCTTCCGTCTGAACTACTGCCGGAAGAGGGGGGGCACAAACTCCAATATGTTTCTGACTCTTTTGGCGCTTTACAGTGGAACCGAAGGTCGTTGGTCAAGTTATTTCTAAAGACCTTCAAGACGCCCTCCTGCCATATTGGGTTGGTGAGAGAATGGGCGGATCTGACCGGGCTGTTCCACTTTATTAGCTTACTGGACACCTCATGTTTCGTTTGGCGGTTGGAGAAGCATACCCATCAAACACCAGGTCCTCCCCTGGCAGCACATTGTCCCTCCCCGTGCTCCCCCCATCGCTCGACATCATCGACGGGGCCATTCCAGGGGTTCCCGCTACATCGGTAGTGCTCTGCATCGGGTGCATCACCACCACCGGCGTCAAGGTGTCATATTCCCCTCCCCCGCCATATTCCTGCGTTGGTGTTGTCCCAAAACTAGCATAACTCGGCTGTCTTGCCACAACAGACGGTGATGCTACGTAATCCGATGTAGGCACATGGTGATACAGCGGCGGGTAGTGATGGTGTCCTCGAATCCCTGGTCCGTTGTAAAACTCCTTCTCTACTTCTGAGGGCGATGGCGTCGGGGGTGATAGAGGGTCTGATATCCTTCGTGGATGCGGGTGAGACTGGTTGTAATATTGGTGGAGATAGTTCGAGTTGGAGGACGAGTACGAAGATGACGTAGGCAGTGTTGCCAGAGTTGGTGAGAGTGATGACGCTGATGGGCTGCTCGATACTATTGGTATTGACTCCCCTAGGAGTGATGGTAGGCCAGTCGTCGTCGGCAGTTGGCGGGAGGCGTTGACTGCTTGTTGCGTATAGCCGACGTAATCGGGGCTGGTCCAGCGTGTCTGATGTGGGTTCCCACTCCCAGACGACACGGATGACGTGCGAGCATGGTGGGCATGTTGGCTTGAAGGCTCCAAGTACTGCTGTGGTGACGACGGCGGGTGCTGCTGTGTTTGCGATATGGAACCCCTGGGTGAAGCCGTTGTACTTCGCGGGGTTGCCGGCGCCACTCCGGGGACGCCCATGTAGGGATCCGTCAAGGCTTCGGCCGCTTGCACCCCGCCATCTGACTGTCCGTACAAAGGGTTGACCCCAAAATGGTTGCTGCCGACGCTGAGCTGGGCCATCATCGTGCTGGCTTCATGAATCGGGCTCTGGGGCGGTGGTGGTTGTGGTTGTGGTGGTGGTGGTGGTGGGTTATGCCTTCGAGGGGAGGAGTGCGAATGCGAGTTGGCATTCGACGGCGACCTCCCCCATGTCGCAAATGTCTTAAAGGAGAGTGAGCTCGAAAGAGAACTGGCAACCGGCGGCGCGCGGCTTGCTATCGGCGGCGTCCTCGCAGTCGGAGCGGCTTGATAACTTGGGGGACTGGCAGACGGAGGTGGTGTAAAAGGAGCCGAAGCGGAAGCAGACGCTGGGCTGGGGAGTTGTCCTGGTGCGGGATCGGGAAGCTCTTCTAACCGGTAGCGGCGGCCGTTTGGTGCGATGATGATGTTGCGATCAACAAACTGTAGGGTTGCGTCGATGGTCGCGCGATCAAAACCGCTGTTGAAGAGGTCCGAGAAAGGCGTTGTAGCCTCGTTGTCCACGGGGGGAAGAAGGCTGGGGGCCACTGTGTTACGGCCCTGGGCTGGCATCATGGACGTGGATGACGCCGCGCAAGCCCCATTCGTTCTACCTGCCCTTCAACCTGCCATGGCCGTGTCGCTAGGACTGTTGTAAGACGGCGGTGATCGACACGTCGCATATGTGTTGTGCCTCTTCAGGTGTCGGTTTCTGCTCAGCCAACACGGCAGCGGTAGCGGGCATAGGCACTGCTAGCCTGCAACGGTCAAAAGCGCACTAAGATAAGAAGAGACAGGGACAAGCGAAGCAGCTTTGGGGAAGACAGGGGCAGTGACGGGGAAGTGGGAGGGAAGGCAAAGGAAACGCGCGCGGGGGCGGGCAGGGCATGGCCAACCCTCCTCCAGATTCGAAAGCGAAAAGCCGAGAAATTTCACTGGGTGCTCATGCCGATGGATGCTGCTTCCTCTCAGCTCAGCTCCATGCACCGGACAAGTTGGAGGTGACGAGATGCTGCAACCAGGCAGCGCCACCCGTCTTCATTGGGCATTGGGCAAACACAACCTCACAGTGTTGCTTCGTTAGCACCAAGCAGCAAAGTGTCGGGGACCAGGGGTCAAAAAGTGGTCTCGGTAAGGCTGAATGCCCACCTGTCGATCCGGCTCACGAGGACGGGCTTCCCGTTGTCACCTACCTATCGGCATCAGTCATGGTAGGTGTTGTAGTTACATGCATAGTTGCGAGCACATAGTTGCAAAGTGTAGGAGGGTTCCACTAGGGGCAGACTCCGGTTATCGGGAATGGCCGTAGTGTACAGATGCGGCCTAATGTCTAGCCGTTCGCATTTTTGAAGGTGAGGTGGGCGACTGGTACCCATTGTGAAATCTAGAAGGTCCAACCCGGCACATACTGAGGCGCCCTATCTGCAAGAGTGCCGAACCCACATACGAATGAGTTGGACGAAATGGTAGGTAGGTGGTGTGCTGCGTTATCTTGGACCCGACGCCCCGGCTTATCCCGTCGCCCATCAGTAACAAGCCAGAGCAGTTCTCCGTCTCTGCCACAGACCGACATCTCCGGTCATCACCCACGATACTCGGTACAAAACACAATGCTTGCTTCGTATAAACACAAAATCTAACGCGTCCCCAGTGCCATGCTCGTGTAGCCTCAACTGGCATTGCCAGGTCAGAATACTCCGCTCCATCCCATGAAAACAAAGTGCCATCCATCTCTTTCAGACCGAGATCCTCTTTGATGCTAAAGCACAAACACCGGTATATCAATGCTCCTCTGAGAAATAGCAATAGTTTTCTCCCGCTTGTCCCAAACACGCCGCCCATCCCTGGTCCATTTCCCCGTAACGCCTGCTTTCCCGTCCTTGGTTTGCAACCAGTCATTATAAGTCTTGTATCGCCGATTCAAGACCGTGAGCTCAGGCTACCTTCTTCCTCCTGCCGGCTCTCTTCTTCTTCTCGGGTGCCTCGTCCTCGCTTTCCGTCTCGGCTGCGCTCTTGGATTTGCTAGGACCTCCCTTTTTCTCTTCTGTCGTCTCGACCCTACTAACGATTTCTCTCAGAAAGTCCCATTGCTCGTCCGCCTCGACGACTTGCTTCAGCATTTGTGCTGATACTCGCTTCGAGTTCTTCTCCCGGGCTAGATCCGCGCTCTTAGTCACCATTTGCACCATAAAAAGCTCCAAAGCTTTCCCCACCGCGATAGGCGTCTGCTGTGCCACCTTGCCTACTTCTTCGTCAGCCTGCATGATGCGCTTGATCCGCGCTGTTGGGAACTTTGTCTTGACTGGGGAGGGCTCGATGGTGGGAGGTGGGGGTCGGGCAGCTGCCCCACGTTTGGGAGGCATCGTGCTTGCGGGGTTGCCGGAGTTGATGTTGTTGCTGTTGTGGTTCGCGTCGTGAGATTCCGGTGGACTGACTGTGCCGTCTAGACCGTGGGGAAAGCCAGCAGGTTGAGTTGTGAACGCGCCGGACGTGTAATGCTGCGCGTGAAGTGGTGTCTGTTGCTGCTGTTGCTGATGAATCGGCTTTTGTGGACGGTACTGATAATTGTCTGCGCCGTACCACGATCGGTTTTGGTATGATTGCGGCGAAGGAGCTGTGTAACTGGACGCCGAAGCGGGTTGTGACGCGGGAGCAGCGGACTGGGGGATATAAGTTGAGTAGGTCTGCGACTGCGGTGGGTATGCGGCTCCGCTAAAGCTGGTGTTTAGGGGCGGCTGATTGGTGATGTCGCTGAGGTTCTTGGATGGTCGTACGGTTTGCGCCAAGGCCTGAGGCGGTGTCGCGAGCTGTGGTTGCTGATGTGGCAATTGTGGTTGTGGTTGTGGTTGATGAAGTTGGTAATGGTGAGAGCTTTGGTTTGCTGCTGGCTGGCCTGAAAAATATGTACTTGAAGGCGGAAGCTTGTGTGGCCGTTGCGGAGAAAACTGTGACGGGGGTTGTGATTGTGATAACGGCGGCCAGTGCTGGGTTTGTGCTTGTTCCGCTGGCGGAGTGGGGCCCGATGAATAGAAGGAAGAGAGATCCGGACTCCGGGGAGCATAAGTGCCCTCGTCAGACATTGTAGTAGGTAATGACAATAGAAAAATGTCTACCGGATGCCAGTGACCGGCGACACAATTTATGATAGGCCTGAGGCTGCCGCCCTTGCTGAGAATGGCGTCTCTTGGAATCGCTTCCGTGGACCGAGACAAGCTGGGTTTAGTGGGGTGGTTGGAGGTGGGATGCTACAAGTATTTGGGTTAATCGCTGTTCGAACAGGCCCGAGCTGTGGAAGCTGTGGCTGGACAAAGAGAGCTTCCCGTGCAGGGCGGGGCAATGGAGGGGTAGGATGGCGGGGCTAATGCAAGCTGTGCCTGCGTGAGGTGGACAGGTTGGAGACTTTTTTTATGTTGCATGCAGAGAATACCATGTGTCTGCCTTCAACAAGGCAGAAGCGGCCCAGGTTGACAGCTGGTGATATACCATAGGCAGGTATATGCTGGGGGTTGAACCAGATGAAGGAAGGTACAAGAAGAATGGAGCTAGTCCGTAGCTGACTTACATGAACTTGGAGGAGAGGTCCAGAATGAAATATGAATCCCCTCGGGTCGACTTCAGATCAGGCTCTACCGCCGAGCCAGGCCGTCCTTGGAGGGGGGATCACCAGCGCGTTTATATGCATCCTGTCGCGCTTTCACGCCGCTTCTGCCCCACGGTCAGCAAATCACCAGGCGTGAGCTCTAACCCTATTAGGCTTAGCCCGAGCACAGCCCCAAGTCCATTTTTCCGAACATGCAGATCTTCGGTTTGCCCTGCATCACCGCTTGAGAATCTGCCATGCTCCCCTGGATCGTCGATCATGGGAGCCTCTGTTTCTGAACGAGTTGCTGCTGTGGTCCGTCAGGAAGAAGAAGTCTTGCCATATATTCTTCTGAAACGAGGTGAGCCCTCTTTGCTCGACATGTCAGGTGCTCGACGACTTCAGCAACTCCCTTTCGGGTTTATCCAGCCACTCACTCATCCCACCTTGCGTCCAACGACAAGGTAGGTTTCAGGTCCAGGTGGGACAGGTATCAGAACGGCATTTCTGAATTCGTTTCCACTTCTCGGGTTGACGTCTCTTTCATGCTCCGTCCAACTTTTGACTCTCAAACGGCGAGTTGCCATTACGACGCCAGCTTCTTGAAAGGTTAGTTATCTCTCCTCACCTTGTTCACACCTAGTCCCGGCGTTCATGATGACCATCAATGAGCAAACACAATAGCCAAAGACGTTGAACGGGGCATCGAAGAAACCGAGTCTCTGGCTCTGGGGTCATCTTTGCTCAAGTCCATGATGGCCCAAAATAACTTGATCTAATCTGACAGAACTTCCGCTCTAGCAACTGTTACAGCAACTGCTGCCTCCTCAAGGAATACACTGTCTAATCTCCTTGCTTATAGTTCTCAGTCCACCAAGTCGCTCATTTACATTGCTCGAAAGGAATAATGAGGCAACGGGCCAGGCGTGAATGCCGCCGACAGCAGCTTCGCTCTTGACAACGACCGTCTCCTGCACGGTACCGATGAAGTCTTCGATTTCCGAGGCAAACACCTCCTCGGTGCCATACGTTATATAAATCCCCTTTGACGGGGAAGACCGCTTCCACAAACCCATGTCTTTGCAACACCCCGGCGATACCAACGGCTCTTTCTCTGGCATTTTCCCGCCTGCAAACTGCATTCCGTACTGATGCAGTTGTTTCACGTCAAGATAGTCGCTGACGGTATTCCGGTGCCGTGTGGAAACGAGCGTCACCCACGGCGAAATGAGGACGGCCAAGGCAGGCACCGGGAGTCGACGCCCATACCCGATGCCGTTTGCCTCTTGGCTGCCTAGATGCAGCAGCAAACTGAGGATCAGAGTCGCACCTGCAGAATCACCACTGACACAGACGAGTGAGGGATCTTGCACCACCTTCAGCACATGCTCGTAGCCCCGTACAGCCTCGTTGAGCTGGGTTGGAAATGCAGCGTCTGGCACTAGTGTGTACTCCAACGCAAATATGGCCGGGTTACTGTAGCCCAGAGCCTCCAGCTCCGATAACCAGGTCAGGAGAAATTCGAGATAGAAGTACGACGACCCCATCGAAAATCCACCACCTAACGACATCAGTATGGTGTATCATCGACGAGTTTCACCATCACTGGGCCCTCACCATGAGCGTAGAATAGCACAAAGTCGGGCTTCTCTTCCGGATTTTTGATCAGCCAGATGCCATGGAAGGACTCCTTCTTCACAGTCAGCCAGCCGCACAGGTAACCTAACATCTAGCCCGCAAGCTACTAACCTCGCGATGTTCCCTCCACGGAACAGGACACCTAAAATAGCCATGTCGCAACAGCCGGAACTGCATAAACGGAAGCGCAACCTCCTTGGAGAAGAAGACCCTACCGATTTTTGCAGGGACATGTTCGAATGCGTACCGGACACAGCGAATCACAAAATCCTCAAACGATGAGGCCTTCTGGACGAACAGAGACTGATTTTCAGGAGGTAAAAAGTATCTTTCTCTCATAAGCCCAACAGGTAGCTTCACCGCTTGTTCTATTCAGCAAATGACCTTGAAGTGAGAATTCGGCCAACTTACAAAAGAACGGCAGTGCTTGAAGCACGCACCAGACTGTCTCGAAGAATCCAACGTGCCATATCAGCTGGGGAGCCAAGAAGACGCAAAAGACCAAGCAGTCTAAATATGATACTGGTCCGAGGAGCAGCATCAGATCATGGCTTTCTGGACCGCGCGCCATGTTTTATGGGGATCTTGCTCAGGGGTTCGCTGCATTCCGGAAGGTCTGGTAGACAGTAAACTGAGTGGCACTCCCCTGTCGAGCAACCCCGCGGTGGTGACGTCGGAGGTGAATAGTCCGCCGCATCCACTGCTTGGCGACGGTTGAACGTTGAAGAGGTTTCGTATGGTAGTGGCGTGTAGTTTGTTGAGAGGGCATTGAAGCTCACGAGAGTTATCAAGTTGGTTTAGTTTTCCAGCCAGTCATAATGAACGCATTCGTATAGAGAACAAGCCACCATCACTGCGTTACCACAGCTCAATAGTTCCGTACCTGCATATGGCTTATCACCGACCAGCGGTATGAAAGAGGAACCATTTTAGTTTCTACCCATTCACCCAACCCTACTACGTATTCTTCGCAACTTTCAAAATCTCCTCCTCCATCTTCTCAAAAGCTCCCAACACATTCCCATACTTTTCAAACACCCCCTTTTTGTAACCCTCATCCACCCTCTGAATCGCCCCCTCCTCCTTCCACCTCTTCCCAATCAACTCATCAAACGCCTCCCCATCCCCCCTCTCAAACGCCCAAACAGCCTTATACGCACCCCCCAACGCGCACGCATTCCCCCCGACATCCAACTTGTAAACCCCATCCGCTCCCCCCAGCGCATCCCCCAGCACCCGCGTAATAGCAGGGTTCAAACTCCCCCCTCCAACCAAATAAACCCTCCCTGGCTGCGCCGGCAACCCCTCCCTCGGCGCCGTCACCAACTTCTGACTCCTCAACCTCATGCTCAAAGCCTGACTCTCAATAATCGCCCTCGCGTCCGTCTCCTTGGCCCAGGGCTCCCTCACCTCCTCCAACCCCTCCCCCGAGTTGGCGTCACATGTATACCTCCACGTACCAGCCTTGATGTTCGGTACAATCTCGGGCAGGTAAAAGTACAACCCCAGCTTTGCCCTATCCCCCTCCTTTCGCACATCCAACGGCGCTGTCTCGAGCGCGTGCTTGTTAAAGTTCTCCCAAACATCTCCAGACTCAGAACTAGGTAGTACGTCACGCACTTTTTCTCTAGCCAAACCCCCATTCTTGTAGCACAACATAAACATGTACTGCCCCGGCGTGGTCGGGTGATTAAAAAAGTGATAGCTCGGATCCGGCTTGTAAACCGGCGTGCTCATCAAGAATGTCGTGCTAGTCCCCAGACTGACAATCGCATCCAGCGGCCTCAACGGCAGGGCCAGAATCGTGGCGGGGTTGTCACCCGTAAAAGGGGCCACCCCGCAGTCAGGGGAGAAGTTGTACTTGTTTACGAAATAAGAGGACACATTGCCCATGCTGCCGCCGCCGTCTTGTCTTACCTCGCCGAGTTTAGCTCTGAGGTCATCGGGCGAGCCACCCGAGGCGAGGTCGAGAAGGGGCGATGACCAGTTGTTGGAGGGGATGTCCCAGAGGTTCATCCCGCAGACGTCGGAGATGTCCATGGGCGCGATGGAGCCGAGGAAGAGGGAGGCGAGGAAGGAGGAGACGAGGGAGATGCGGGAGGTGGAGGTGTACATTTGGGGGAGCTTGTGGCGGAGGCGCATGATTTGGGTGCCGGTGAAGCGCTGTTTACATATATCACCATTAGCTAGATGTAAGAAAAGGGATTGGAGGGGGTGAACAAACATGATGCGCCGCGCTCCCCGTGGCCTGAGCCAACCTCTCTGCCGTCCCCATTGTCTCCTCAAACTTGTCGCACTCATGCTGGGTGCTGTGATCTTGCCAGTTGGGGGCGAAGGGGTGTGAGAAGGCTCCCGTGAGTTGGTCAACGAGGGACTTGTCCGCGGTTAAACCGCCGAGGAGCTGCTCGGCTTCATGGCTCCAGTAGACGCTACCGTGTTGTTGGCAGGAGCCGCTGATGCCCTTGATGCAGTTCAGGGGTGTGTTTTGCTCTTGGAGACGCTGGAGGACAAGGTCGAGGGACTCGAGCCAGAGGGCTACGGGGGCAAAGACCTCGCCTTCTTGTTCGTTGACGAGGACGCCCTTTTTGATCTTGTATTTGGCGCCAAAGTCCTGGTCGAAGTCGACTTTGGCGGAGGAGACGATGGAGAGGTCGGATTGGATGACGATGGCTTTGGGAGGTTAGTTTTGGCCAGAGAAGAGGTCCTGGAAAGTTTGGGTGTACCTTTGAGCTGTTGGGTTGAGAGGTCAAACCCCAGGTAAAGGGGTCCGTTGTCGGTCATGGTGTAAGTCGTCAAGCTCTATGTTCAACACCGCGGGGTAATTTGGACGCAGTTCACACAATAATCACCCAATGTCTCTGAGAAACTAACAGCAGTAGGAGGAGAGAGGAAAACAACTGATCATGATTCTTTTATTTCTTCCCGGCAAAACAGATCGACGTGGGGCATGGTCGTCATGAGTGGTAGCTGATCTCGCGGGGACCTTTTCCCCCCAGAGCTTCCCTCGCGCCTGTAGCGGATGGCGGGGCAGCGCATCATGGGACAGGCGGCAGCCTCGTCTGATGGGGGAATTTAGCCTGATATCAGAGCTGGCGCGGCCGACCAATGCCAGCTCGCCGTTTTGGAGCTCTTGCTTTTTTGTTGTCGGGGAGGGCCTGTCCAAGCTGTCAAGTGGAGTGCTTGTTGAAGAGTGGGGGTAGGAGCAACTTCATTGTGCAGAGGAGCAGGAAGTTTTTGGAAAGAGACGAGTGAGAGCAAACTCTTCGTCGTAGATAGAGAAAATTCCGTCTGATAAAAGAAACTCCCGTCTGAGATAAAGAAACTTCCGTCTGATAGAGGAAGTTCCGTCTGATTCCAAGTTTGGAAGTGCTCGGTATAAGAAGAGGATTTAACAGCACACTTCCAACCCGAACCCTCACTTTCACAACTCCCGGCCGGCAGACCCCAGCCTGTCAGGGCCTCAGCCCCTGCAAGTGCAATGCTCCAGGCTGTTGTGTTTCCCTGCCCAGCGCCAGTGACGAAAGCCAACCTGGCAAGTGTCGAACCCGCCTCGCCCTTTTTTTCACGACATGGTAGACAAGTCCGAGCCTGCCAATTCACTGTTGACGGAATTGGGACCAATTGAGTGAGAAGCCACGAGACAATACCGTATACCCAACAAAGACGCGCCAGCCACGTTTCCTCGAATTCATTTTCGAGTGCCATCACTGGACGCCATGGATAAGCGAGCTTCCGGCGCATCGACCACTTGAAGGAAGCCCAGTATGCGATCTTCACCAACACCTTGGAGAACTTCACCTGCACTGGGACTAGTGTTGCTGGGACTCTACGCAACAGCTGTTGTCTCCAGTGGATCTATTTCCGAAACGCCAGCCGTAACGGCCCCATCCGTAACGACGACGGCGATAGTCACGACACCCACGGCGCCCGCGACGGCAGCTCTATCTGTCACTTCCCCCGGAGTCTGCGAATTCAAGACTATCAACTACATCACACATACCCTCCCGCAACAATGCTTGCGCTCAGCATGGACGAGCCCAAGACCGGCCGCTACAGCCGCCGTCGAAAGCACAGCTGCCGAAACGGTCACTGTCAGTATCACATCAGTTGTCGATAATGCGACACAGCAAGAGCAGGCAGCCGGTACCGAACAAAAGGAGGAAGAGGAATCGGTGGCCTTCATGTCATTTGAAGAGTGGAAAGAGATGATGCTGCGCAAGTCAGGCCAGGATCCCGCCAACATCAAGAAGGCACAAAAACAACACCACGGAGATCACCACAAGCCCGACCGTGAACCGGGACTCAACAACGACAACATGGACAGCCTGGGCAACGATGGGGAAATACTGGACTTTGACGCCCTCACGGAGAAAGTCACCGAGATCACGTCCTCCTCTTCTGGGGATGCTGTGGCTGAAGCCAGCAAAGAGGTACAGGAAGAACAAATCCTCTATGACGATAACAAAACACCATACTACCGGAGTAAGGACGCTGGAAAGACGTGCAAGGAGAGGTTCTCGTTCTCATCATTCGATGCGGGTGCTACTATCCTCAAAACAAGCCCTGGTGCTAAGAACGCTAAGGCCATCCTGGTGGAAAACAAGGACACATATATGCTACTCGAGTGCCATCGGAAAAACAAGTTTGTCATTGTCGAGCTGAGTGATGATATCCTTGTTGACACAGTCGTCTTGGCGAATTTTGAGTTCTTTTCCAGCATGATTCGAAAGTTCCGGGTCAGCGCCAGTGATCGATACCCCGTGAAGTTGGACAAGTGGGTGGACTTGGGTACCTTTGAGGCTCGAAATGCTCGAGATATTCAGCCTTTTCTGGTTGAGCATCCTCAGATCTACACCAAGTACATCCGTATCGAGTTTCTGAGCCACTATGGAAACGAGTATTATTGCCCAGTCTCACTGCTACGTGTTCATGGAACGAGGATGTTGGATAGTTGGAAAGAGCCCAGAGAGGATGATGAGCCGGAGCAGATTGAAGGGTCTTCCCCTCAGGAGGTTGTTCCCGAGATCCAAGAGCCCCCTTCAGAGCCGACTTCGGTCATGGAGAGTGAGCAGGCCAACGATACAAAGGAGGCTTCTCCAGATACAATAGCCATTGATACAGGCTCGTCTCCCTGGCAACCATACGACAGCCACTTTGTGCTTGAGACCTGCGCAATGCGTTCGACTACGACAAGTGATCCGACACCTGCTTCGGGACCAGACGGTGCCGAAAAACACAGCAACTCAACTTCCAAAGCTGACGCCGGGGCCGAAAAAGCAGTACCAGCAGACAAGGCCAAGGAGACACCAAAGGCCGAAAAGATCTTCCCCTCTCCGGTGACAGGAGACACGGCCACTGGTCAAGGCCAACCAAACACTGCACCCCCAGCGTCCAACCCTCCACCTCAGCCAGATAGCGGTGACAATGCCCACACGGGAAACCACCAGGATAACCAAAAGAAGCCGCCAAACCGTGCCAGTGACACCTCCCCCGACACCACCCCATCTCAAGGCTCAGCAAAAACCCCAGGCAAAGAAGGCGAAAAACCCTCCAACGCAACCCGCAGCAAGACAACTCCCACCTCAGGGCATCCCTCCTCCTCCCCCACCGTCCAAGAATCATTCTTCAAACAAGTCAACAAGCGCCTCCAACACCTCGAATCCAACACCTCCCTCTCCCTCCAGTACATAGAAGAGCAATCCCGCTTCCTCCAAGAAGTCCTCCGCACCATGGAGCGCAAACAGCTCACCCGGGTGGACTCCTTTCTTAACACCCTCAACCAAACCGTCTTTTCCGAGCTCCGCCACGTCAGGACCCAGTACGACCAAATGTGGCAGTCGACCGTCATCGCCCTGGAAACGCAGAGAGAACAATCCGACCGCCAAATCGTCGCCCTCACCACCCGCCTCAACGTCCTCGCCGATGAGGTGGTGTTTCAAAAGCGCATGGCGATCTTCCAGTCAGTGCTGATATTATCCTGTCTGGTTCTCGTAATCTTCACCAACCGCGGCGGTAGCGACTCATCCTTCCTGCCCCCATCCCTATCCCGTGACCCGTCGTCCGCGGCAGCGGCATATTACCGGCGATACGCAGCAGGGTTCATGTCCAACGGTGCCAGGTCCGAAACTGCCTCCCCACCACCTATCTCCCCCGTGCCGGGGAGTAGTCATTTTGATTCTATTCACCACAGGATGAACCTTTCCCCTTCACCACCATCCGCCTCGTCGTCGTCTGCTGCTACTCTTGCGGCGTCTGCGCTCCCGAGACAGATTTATTCCCCTACCGGCATTCATAAACGACCTGTTCCAGCTCATAGGGAGAAATCCCTCCCAATGATCCCGCCTTTAACTCCAGAGTCGAGTCGGGAAGGGACACCAGCTATTCACATCTCTAATCACGGCTCTCCCCCTGATGACCAGGATGAGCTGGGTAGTAATAACAACAACAAGTTGCAGCCGCTGCTGGAGGGGATAAGGGAGGAGTCACCCTCTCCTTCACCGTCGCCCTCGCCGTCACCCGGAGAGACGGCCACGCAGCGGAGGAGGAGGCAGCAGCAGCTTCACCAGCCGTCTACCTCGTCGCTCTTGTCGCTGTCGTCGACGGACTACCATGAGGTCTCGTCCATCGAGACGAATGGGGAGGATGGTGGGAAGGAAAGGACGCCGTCGTCACCAGAGGTTGAAGGACAAGAATCGGAAGACGAAGAGGACGACCAAGAGAACGTGTCACAAGACACGAGGGGGGCTAGGAAGCCGCTTCCTGCGTTGCCAGACGGTCCAACTTGAGCATGTACATAATAATGATTGTTACGAAAGTATTTTGTATCTAGCAGCATCGTAATTACCCGTGATATCCTTTCGCACAAGAAGCAAAAATAACTCTTTTCTGCGTGGTATGAACATCCCGTCACCTGGATTCCACCAAGACTCAAGCACACCACGACATCCACAGCGATAGCCAAGACATGAACAGCAGGAATCACGTAATAGAGTAAAGCAACACTGTTTAAAATCTATATGAACTTGGGCACAGCACAGTCCGTTCTTGATTCCGCTGCCAAAAGAAACAACACGCTGTGGTATCGGACGATCGACCTTTCCTAGACCACCAAGGTTTCAAGAAACCCTCTGTGACTAGCCCAATCTTCCCGCTCAAACCATCGTGATTGCCTGTAAGGATGCACCGCCTCTTCAGAATGCCTATTACCCGTTCCCAGTTTCTCCTCCCAAGACACCACCCGCTAAAGATGATGACCGATTACCAGATACTGATCCCATTTCCTCGCCTCAGATCATCATCAACTTTGATGATTTGTCAAAGATGGCAAAGCAAAGCGAACCAAAATAAGAAGCAACTTCATGACATCATCAAAATAAGATGATCAAAGGAAGGATATCCGAGTGTCGCCAATCTTCGGTGACTGAAAGGTTGGTAGGTAATGATGCCGAGTTGGTTCTTGATTAGCCCATGTAGAGGCTAGGCTGCTGGATGTGGGAGTCATAGTCGTACTCCTCAAGCGCAGCAAGTCTGGTTCCACGGTCGTATTGAGAGCGGCGGCGGCGCTGCTCGTCACGAAAATGCTGGCCGGCATTGGGAGTGAAGAGGCCTGGTGGCGGACAAATGGTGTCAATATCAAACTTGCACCTGGTAGAATGACTCGAACTCACCAACATGCTCAGCGTTTTCACAGCTCCTCTTCATCTTGGATTGGTTGTCCGGGCCCGGGAAAGCCTCCTCCTCACCAGCCAACTCAGGTCTGGGACCATTGAGCGTGAAGTAAAGCTGCTGATGGTCAATAAGAGCTCGAAACTCAAATGGGAGAGAGAGTCGACCGTACCTTGGGGCGATAGTGAGGGGCCTCCAGCATAACAGAGCTGTTGCGGAACTTCTGGACAAGGCAGTCCTTGCCCTGGATAGCTGCAAATTGTCAACAGCCGATCCATCTCAGAAGAGTAATTCGAAAAGCTTACTGGCATATGAGATCTCGGCAACCTTGTCGCTCTTGAAGCAGTTCCAACGTTGGTTGCCACGGGCATTGACGAACTAGGGCACTGTCAGAAAATTTCAATATCCAGTTAATGGAGGATCACATACATCGATGATGTCGAGCGGCTACAAATTCGGTCAGTGTCAGGTTTGCCTCGGCATGGAAAAGAAAAACTTACGTCAACAAAGTTGATGAACGCATAGCCGACACTGTTATAGAACATCAGCAACTGGCTCACGCCGAAAGGAATGCTTGATGCACATACTTGCAGTCGTTGGCGAAGTCGATTCGCAAGTACATGAAGTCGTACTTGCCCCAGCTGGACTCATCCACAATCTTCTTCAACATCGCTTGGTCGACCTTGTTCGGAATGTTTCGCAGCATAATCTATGACGTGTTAGAAGACGATACTTTCTTTTTTCAAAGAGATAGATACTGACTGTGGTGCGGACATCGATGCCATCCCGAATCTTGTTGACATCAACATGGTTGTGATGGCCGGCGGCATTGTAGTAAGGGGACCGATTGACCCGCATGGCGTTCTGACGACGCCCATCCATACGATAGGGCTGCATGCCCCTGGGACTGGCGTAGTCGCCATGGTGAAACGCTAACGGAGTGCTAGGCGGAGTATACAACGGCGCCATGACCGGCATGCCGCCAGTCATCGGGGTCATGGGACTCATGGGAGAAATGCCCTGGCTGCGTGTGGGAGTGTGGTCGAGAACGTAGCGAGTCGGCAAGCTGTGCTGAATACCGTGATAGACTACAGTGGGATACATGGCCATCTGCTGATGGGGCAATTGCATCCCACTGGCCGGCGAATGGGCAAGATGCCCAGAGGGCACAATTTGTTGATGATGAGAAGGCTTCGAGATACCCATGCTCTGAAACAGGTTGGTCATGTCCTGAACCGGGCTTCTCGGAGCGCGGGGAGCATGCACATCAAAAGGCTGGTAGGCTCCGCAGGTGGCGTCGGGCAGGGCAGAAATCAAGTTCAGGTAAACGCCCTGAGATTAGATGTTAGTCACATATAGATCGGATGAGACGAGAGAGTGTAGACTTACATTGAAAGTGCGACCATTGAGGGCCTCTGCGGCAGTAATGGCGGCATCGCAGTCACAAAATTCAACCGTGGCGTGGAAAGGAATGTCTTTCGTCCCGGATAGCTGGCGAAAGGCAAGGACCTCACCATGAGATTCCATGAGAGTGCGGACCACAGTGTTGGTGTGGAAAACGTCAAAATTCGCGCTCTCTTGAGGGAACGCGATAGCCCGGAGCAAGCCATCCGAAACCTGCTGGTGATTCTCACCAGGATTGCGGGCCTGATATGAGGTTAGCACGTATATCCGACCAGTGGCAGAAGCTTGACGCCATCACGTACCTGGTGAAACTCCCCCGCGGCAATATACTGGGCACGCCAGTCCTGGGAACCGAGCTGAACATTCTCGTGAATGTTGGTGGCATCGCGAATGTTGGAGAGAAACAAATAGACTCTCCCATCCTTCGCGAAGATGACGCGCTTACCCTGGCAAGGTGAACCAAACTGACTCAGTTTCTACACATATTGTTAGATATCTACGACTCATCAGGCATAGTCAGCACGGGACAAACCTCAAGATACGTTTCGACCTCTGACAAGGTTACGGAAGCCGTGGAAGAGAAGATAGTGACATAATGAGTGATCCCTAGCTCAGTGCTGAAACGGCCAGAGAGAGGGCCGGTGGCGCTGGCCAGCGATCGAAAGTTCTGCTGAGGGCCATTGGAGGGACCCTGTTGTCCATTGAGGGAACCATGAGCGACCACTGGGACAGACAAGGGCCTGAAGGCGGAAGCGGTCGGAGAGAGCTTCTGGTCCAATGTCGACTTGGAGGGGGTCGCGTTGCTGGAAATGAACGGGTCCTTTTCGGCCACAGGAGCAACATTACCGAAGTGCTCCGTCGACTTCTGATGAAACAATGAGTGGTTGGTGGGACCGTTGAGGCTCATGCCGGTGATGCCGGCGTACAGTTTGTTCGATCTGGCCGAGCCGTCATCGGGCGAGAAGGCAGTCAAACGAGTATCGGGGGTACCATCGTGTTTGTACGAATCCGCCGCGCCGCTCGAAGAATGAGGGGAGGACGGATTGAACGTCCCGTCACGAGACTGTGCCATTGTAACGACCTGGAAAAATCAAAGGTCGTTGTCGAGGGAGGTGAGCGAGAGATCCGATGGTCCGAAGGACACGACAAAGCAGAGGGAACTGGCGGTGGAGGTCTTGAGCCAAAACCCTTTGCAGGAAGTGTCAAAGGGAGAAGAGTTGGAGGGCAGGAAGAATTCCTAAGGCACAGAGCAGGCAGGTAACCGGTGGAGATAAAATCTCTGCAAGAGCAGTGTCAGTGGTGTCATTAGTTGGGATGAAGAAGGAACGAGTGGTCGGATCACCCTAAGGCAGAAAACACAGTTATGCTTGCAGACGGAAGGAGCGGCTGGGGGAAATAACGACTCGGCCCCAGACGATAAACAATCGGCCTCAAACGATTGTCCAAGATGACTTTATCGTTTGCGATCGCAGGATTGGGAACTGTGTTTCGTCCTCAGCCGGAGTGACTGCAGTCACTCTGGCGGCCGAAGACGGAACCACAACACAGCTCTGGCGGCTGAAGACGAAATCACCACCCGAATTGTGGGGGCAGGATCATCGGGAAGGACCACTTGGTGCCTGATTACGTAGTGATTCCAGGCTGAAGGCTTGAGGGTGAAAGAACCTCGGAGGGAAAGGCCGCTCTTTCAACTAGAAAAAACGAAACAGCTCAATAGGAAGGAAGTAACGATTTGCCAAAGCAACAACACGTGACTGATGCATTGACTGCTTGTGTCAGGCAAATAGGGAAGTATGAAGGGGGGTTTTGATGGATGATTGTGAAGAAGGAAGACATTGTGGAGAAGGAAGATATTGTGAAGAAGGAAGAGATCGTGAAGAAGAGAAGTGAGAGAAATAGGTGTTGTGGTGAAGAAGAGTAGTGAAATCTAAAAGATAACTTGAAGAATGTTACCGCGAAGAACGGTATTATGAGGAAGATAATAGCGAAGAAGGTAATGATGAAGAAGAGATATCGTGAACGATATCTTGATGAAGGAAACGCTACCTGCAAAGGAAGTGTGTATCCATGCAAGGCGCAATGTTTACTTACCTTGGTCGGCGACGTGGTCGACGTCGGGTAGGAGGCCGACTTTGTTGACTTTGGATGGAAAGCCCAAAGAATTTCAATGTAAGTTGAAGGACGACGAAGGCAGCTGAAACCTTATCCGTGGGCTCACAGATGTCTATGCGATGTCGATACTCAAGATTGCCACCCATGGGTTGTTGATATTGTTTTGAGGGAAGAGTCAAAGCCTAGCACTGAACTCCATGTTATATACTTGAGAGACTAGATCAACGCACGGTTCACGTAGATATGCCACGTCATGGCGATTAGATAGAGCAGTGATGATTCTTTTAGTGTCTTCTTATCGTGAAATACTTTTCGGACGAAACTGCGAAGGTCATGGGAGTATTCCGCCTGTTGTGTTTGATTATCAGTTGCTCCTGGATTCGAGAGGTTCGAGAGGATGTTTAGATGGAATATGCCATGTAATGCCGCTTAGATAGAGCAAGGTGTGATAAACAGCGCTTCTTATCGCGGAATATTTTTCGGACGAACCTGTAGAAGTTATTGGAACATTCGGGCTGCTCTCCTTGATTATCAGTTGCTCTTAGAATCAAGAAAGTACAAGGGGTTGCTCAAATGCAATATGCCACACTATGTTGGTCAGATAGATAAAATAATCTCCATGGTGTTTTCTTATCAGAACTCATGTTTGAGCAAAACCGTCCAGTCACAAAAATATGGTGAAGGATGAGGGGGGGGGAAGAGTCGAGAGAGTACCGGTGCCCTGAAGTTGGCTACATATTCATAGTAGGAGCCACAAAGGAAAAGTAGTCAGCACAGAAATCAAGGGAAAGAAAGGAAAGCAAAGGCCTAAGAAGGAAAGAAAGGACTGTGAAATCTCACAACAGACCATCAGGCTACCTTGTTACATTTCAGGTGCCCCTGAGGTTGGTGTGTGTGTTTACAACTTTCACTGGCCGGGCCACACTGTATCAACACTCGGGACCTACCAACATGGTAGCTACGCAAGCTTTACTGCGTATCCGTGATGGTGGGATGTAAAGAAGCCTGATACCTGCCATCCCCTTGGCTTTGGGTCTACATGGTCAAGCCTTGCCCACATCTCCCAAGGTACCTAAGGTATACTTGCAGCTATACTCTCTCCAAGATACTAGTCTCACAATGCTGGTAGATGGTAGTGTCACTAACCGGCGCCAGATAACCTTTGAGGCACTGTATGGAAAAGAACCGATTTCCGAGAATTTCGATTTTATTCGTCTATCTGCTGACAGACAAGTGATGGTTTTCGGATAGATATGACAGGTACTTCGCAGGACCTCATCTAAGTTTGCCATAGAACAGTCGCCTTGTGGTCTAACTGAAACCGCCTATGGTCTCTTCTTTGTGATCATGGCCCCGGGAATTAGAGCTTGGACATGGCACAGTCGCATTCAAATAGGCATTCCACTGGCAGCGCTTGCTTATCATCGACATACAGTTACACAACTTAGAGTTAGCTTTACACTATTATCTAAGACTTAAAAAACCGTCCAAGCCGCGCCATACTTGACTAGCCCGGGCGGACGGAAAACAGCTTTGGAATACGATATAGATCTGTTCTGCAAAGCTCCGACAAAAATCATACCAACGTCTTGTGTAGTTTGAAGCAAGAAGGGCAGTGAGGTCATTTATGTTCAGTACTAGTTATGTCAAAAATGACTTCTAAGCATAATATAATGACAGAAACGTGAGAAGCTTAATAGATTACATCCTAACATAATTTTGAAGAGAAAGAGGGAAGTGTAATCTTTGAATCCATCTTGGCGCCACAAAGGGGTTAATAGGGGTTGATGCTTGGCACCTAGCAACCAAGAGAGATTTGATCCCTCAGGACCACGACAAAGTCAGGTCTGAAATTTGTGGTAAAAGAATATCTCTTCCCATATTCTAAGTTCATACTTAGATTTTGAGGATGTGGCACTCCATCAGTGGTGCTATTTCGCCTGAAAAGCAATGAGTTTGGTGTTGCTCCTTCCTAGGAGTAGGCGCACGGGCCGTATCTGGAAGCAGCTCCCTGGCCAGCTGTCGCAGCACAGACCACTGGCGCCCCAACGAGGGGCACGCTGACCGAACAAAGCATGTATGTTGCTGCTGCGCAAGATGCCTTCAGCGCCGTGCCTTCATGACCAGTGATCAGCGAAGACCCAGGATATCATCGAAACTGATAGCTGGAGGAGCTTGATGCTCCATCATTCAAAATGCCGAGAAAAGCCCAAACGTGGGATGATTACGACTCGGCTGTAGCTCAGGTCCGCCGCTTCCAGCAATCGGGAATCGCCAGCAGCATTAGAGCACTTTCGTAGACCGGAAATGCTGACTTCTTTTATAGATCATCCTCGCGCCCTCCGACTCGGATTTCCTCGATCAACTGATACCAGTGTTGAAAGATGCGACAACGAGCAGCCGAATCGGATCCCTCGCCCAGAGCTTGTCGCAGTATGCCGAGGACCGCGAAGGCGACATCGAGCAGATCGGGTTGACGAAGCATGAGGAGTTCCTGGGATCCGTCAATCAACTACAAAAGGTGCGCGAGGGTACTGTGGCTTTGACAGCCGAAATCTTGGACCTCAACCAGTCCATCCAGGCCAGCACCGAGAAGTTGGCCGAGCAAAAGCAGGCGCTGGTCAACACGCGCGGGGTCAGGCAGAATATCACGGATGTATCAAACGCTCTGGAGGAATCGCTCAAGATATTGCGCGCTGTCAATAATGCGCACGAACTTATTCGGAAGAAGGAATATCATCGTGCCCTCAAGTCGTTGGAGGACCTGCAGAACGAACACTTGATCCCCACCATCCAGAACAAGTATGCGACCCAGTACAAGCTTGCCGACATGATTCAACGGTCTATCCCGGCATCTCAAAAGACGATTTCCGAGTCCGTCATGGCAGATTTGAACAAGTGGTTTCTGGAGGTTCGAGAAAAGTCCCAACTTCTTGGCGAGATTGCCTTCTTCGCGACACAGCAGCGACGGGAGAGGCAAAAGAAGCGCGCCGAAGTCAATGAATATCTGAAGAATTTCAAGTTGAATTCTGCCATCGAGCTGGTCTTTGATGAAAGTAATGAGTTTGACGTAATCGACAACGAGGAGAACCAGATTGACTTCACCCCGTTACACAAAGCCTTGCATACCCACGATGCCCTCGGTCAAGTCGACAAGTTCCGTGTAGAGTATGCAGCAACGAGACGACAACAAAAGGATCTGATAATGCCCTCAAGTTCCGAAAACATCTTTGCCGGGGGTGACGACGAGACCTTGATGGGACTTTTGGAGAACATTGCTGGATTTGCCATTATTGAGAAGGCGACCGTGATGCGAGCACCCTCAATAAGATCAACAATTGGTGTAAGTGACTTTTCCCACAGCTTGGTAGTTTTTCTCTCTAACAGGACGGATAGGTCGATGAGCTCTGGGATTCCATGTGCCAAACCGCTATACGAGTGATCGCCAAGTCGTTACAGGAGGTCAACGATGCAGATTTGCTGGTCAAAATCAAGATGAACATTGCTCTTTTCATTGAGACCATGGAGGTATGTGGCTCCTTACATCTTGTATCTGAATATTCGTTGACAAGCATTAGAGTTGGGGATACTCCGTCACCATGATGAACAACTTCCAGCTCACCCTATTCTACAAATACGCTGAGCTTCTCCGCCGTCGCTTCGGCGAGGACTTCCAAGAGGTAAGCCCGCTTTTCGTCGTAACTCGTCTCTAGTTGATACTGACAACTTTCACTAGATCGTGTCCACGGACGATTACATGCCTATGGCAATCAACACACGCGACGAATACCAAAAGGTCGTCGACGTGACCTGGTTTGTTGACGACAAACCAGAAGAAGAGCTTGTGTACGTATCCCGACCGTTTTCTACAGGATGTGTTTGTAAGTCATCGCTTGTTCTAATTGGGCCAGCTTCCCTTGCGTGCTGCCATTCTCACAGATGTATCCCTTGTGCTGCATAGATATTAGGAATCTGTTGAATCAGTTCTTGATTTTTACATCGGAGCACTTTCACAACCCGAATGTGGTTGATGAGACGCTACGGAAGGTTTGTCATATTTCTTTCTGATCTCCATGGGTGGGCGTACTGACCATACCTCTAGTCTCTCGATGAGCTTTTGACCGATATCGTATGCCAGTCTCTTGTTGAACGGCTGAACTCGCAGTATCTAGGACAGATCGTGCAGATTTTGATCAACCTCGAGCACTTTGAGACAGCCTGCCAGGTACTGGAGCAGATCCTGATCCGGGAACGATCATCCACATCGGCTGGTGGACCGATCACACTCAAGGCGACTGAGGCGTTCAGAAGCAACAAGAAAGCCGCTGAAAAGCGCATCTTTGAGCTCGTCAACTCCAAAATCGATGACTTGGTGGACACCTCGGACTATGACTGGACAGCCACAACCCCGCCCAAGGAGACGAGCAATTACATGCAGACATTGACTAGGTACCTGTCTAACATTATGAACTCGACTTTGCTGGGTCTTCCGAGGGAGATCAAGGAGCTCATTTACTTTGATGCGTTGAGTCATGCGGCAAATAAGATCTTGGTAAGCCCTTGCCATATACACATCACTTCCCATCTAACACAGGTCTGACTTGGAATTGTCACCTAGGCCCTGCCATTATCTCCCGACGTCAAAAAGATCAACCCCAATGGCGTGGCTGCCATGGCCTTGGACGTCCAGCACCTCTCAAAATTCGTCGGGGGCCTTGAGAACGCGTTCATGCTGGAGCAGAACCTGGACGAGCTGCAGCAGACGGTGGCGCTCATGCAGACGGAGAACCACGACGAGTTCTTTGATATTTCCATCCGCAACAAGAAGTTTGGTCGGGTGGATGCCATGAATGGACCTATCTTGTTGGAGAAGTACGTTTCACCTCTCTTTTTTGTTTCTTAGCTTATGCTAACTTTTTCTCCTTCAGGCTCACCCAAACAGTCGACGCCCCAGCTCGCACAGCGCCGCTTGCTAACTTCAGCTCGCGTTTCGGGCTGAGGTGATCAACAACCAAACAACCTCTTCTTGCTGGGTCACACAATCCCAAACTATCCTCAACACTTAGTTTCGTAGCTTACTCAGAATAATGCATAATGACATCATGAAACAATTCAAACCGGACTTGTATCAGTGAAAGAAGAAATAGTTATCATCAATTTTTTAGAGTGGTGTGTCGTAAAAGAGAGGAAACAAAATCAGAGAGATAAGATATATAGGATATATAAATAACCTTTCCCACCACCACAACCACAACCACCACCACCGCAAAACAACCCAGTACCTAACCTTGACAACGTGTAGCCATCCATATATTTCAGGGGGTAAAAAAGAAAAAAAGAAAACAGCCCCAAACGCTCATAACAAAAACAGCAAAACCCCCCCCCCCCCAAAAAAAAACAAAAAAAAAAAAAAAAAAAAAAAAAAAAAAAAAAAAAAAAAAAAAAAAAACTAAACCCCACCATAACTACAACAAGCTCATTTTTTATGTGCGTGTGTGCAATGTGTGTGCGTGTGTGACATGATTCAAAAACAGATTCCTCCCCCCGTTAACCAACATCTCAACTGGTTCAAACCTAGAGGGAAGACGTCTCCCCTTCGTGAACATGATCATGTATTCCGTTTACTGTCCCAACTTCCCAAACTGGTCTCCCACATTATCCATCAGATTCTGGCTGCTGCTCAACGGCTCGTTCTTAATGACGGGAGATTGCGCCTGTGGTTGCTGCTGTTGCTGTTGCAAATGGTACTGCGGATGTTACAGAGCATAGGGGTACATGTTGTGATACTCCTGTGCCGTCCCAGCACCACCCAAGCCGCTTTGATGGTATTGTTGAGCCCCAGAGCAGTGTCCCTGATGAGGAGGATGAGAGTATTGACTTTGATGGCTGTTGCTGCTCGGTCCCGACCCGACCGCCCACTGCTGCCCTCCCGTTGTCGACATGGTATGATGGACCTGATCGGCAAGAAGCTGAGCGTACTTGGCATTCTCTCCGAGGTCCTGCTGCTGGCTTCCTTCCACCGCCACACCTTCTTCTTGCTCTTCCCTCTTCAGCTCAGGCGACTTCTAAGCGCTCTGCTGTGTGAGATTCACTTGTTAGCCATGAGTTGGGTCATGTTAGGATGGGAAATCAAAAACACACCTGTTGCTGTTGAATAGTACCGTAGTACATCTCATCGGCGTTGTACATTTGGGCCTGCGGTTGACCATATGATGGCGCGCCAGGCATAACACCGCCTGGGTACATGGTCTGAGGATTGCGGTAGTCGCCCTCTTGGGCAATCTGATGAACGCCGTAGTCGGCGGGGTTCATGGTGTGCTGACCGCCGGGGCCGGGACCAACACCAGGCACCTGGGGGGGTTGTTGGTTGGCAGCGGCGGCAGCAGCAGCAGCCTGGTTGGAAGTCCGCTTAGCGTGGGAGGAGGCTTCCTCGCGGGGAACGATGTCGATGAGGAAGTCAAACATGTCGGACTTGGCAAGGGCGGAGGCAATATCGGAGCGTTGGAGGGTGCGGCGCTTGTTCTCCTCAGCATGAATCCAGGCACGCATGGTGAGCTCAGTGATGAAGATGTCGCAACCCTTGGCGAAGAGAATGGGGGCTTCGGCTGAGATCATCTTGACTTCGGGATCGGCCTTCATCACCTTCTTGATGCGGGCAAGGGGTAATTGGTGTTGTTTGTAGTCATGCTGGTCCGTCTCGAGGTGGTTGATGGTTTGCTGCCAGTAGGCCGTCAGGATGTCTTTGTAAGACCCCGTGAGGCCTTGGTGGACATTCGCCCATGTCCCGGTGTAGAGCTCTGATGGAGCAAAGCCTTGCTGTGAAAGATGCACACTGGCACCATAGTGGCCGCCCTTGCTGAGATCATATTGTGGTTGTTGCTGTGGGGGCTGGGGATGTTGATGGCTGCCGTGAGGGGCTGAGGAGGGATTTTGGGGATCCATGATGGCTTGTTTGAGTCGTTGGTTTTGGTTTGTTCTTTCAACGGTGCACTGCGTCGCTGTTTGCTTGCTTCGTAGCCTAGTCCGGATGCAAGCTCTTAAACAGCTGGGACAGATGAGGTTGTCGCGTCGGCGCGATGGCGCAGTCTTGACTTATACGCGGGGTAATTATCGTCGTTCTGTTACCGGCCACAGCTTTAGCATTTGCGCGCACGAGATGTAGGCTGTGAGTTTTCTGTCACGAACAATGTGATGCTTTCCCTGGGCGTTTGTTTACTTAAAGCTACCCTGATGTCACAGTCCAAGAACCTCTTTGGCCCCAGAACACTGTTCTTATTGGGCGGATTGATTGGGTGGGCAGCGGCGCGTGTGATAAAAAAGGGACGAGTGGGAGCGAATGGGTGGAGTTCAAAATGGCCGTCTGGGAACGTCCACTCAATCAAAGCTCCAGTTGGGAGGGGTATGAGATGATTGGGTGAGATTTAGATGGGTGAAGGGAAACCTTATTGCTGGGTTGAAGAAAGATGCAGGCGTGGTATGATAGGAGGAAGCTTATAACGATTACGCACCTCGAGAGAGATATCGTCTCTTTTTCTGTCCACAACGCGGGCTTCTGCTTTGTCTGACGTTGCAGGAGAGAGAAAGGAGAGAACCTTGGACAGCGATGACAGCGATTGATGAATTGTGCAAGCGGTCAGTCAAGCCGGCGGGAAAGGTTGGGCATCAGTGAAGAAACACTCGGAACAACGCGCTGGGACAGCGCCGACAGGGGACTCTGTGTGGCGCAGGCGCGGGACTTCAGGTCTTCTCCAGCAGCAGAACTCCGGTGAGGCTGCCCAACCGCCTGCCAGCTGTCAATTGTACAGCGCACCAGCCTCAACTTGTCCGCCCTATGACGGAATCGGCGAATCAAAAACTTGGAACTGCATCAACTGTTTCTCCATCTGCCGGGACCAACGCACGGCCCATCTGGCGGCCCGCCCACACCATCCAGTCTCCGTCGCCAACATAGCAGCCCCACCATCGAAATTTTGACTGCAACAAGAGGCTCTCGATTTTTCTGTCGCGACTTTCAAACTTTTCTTCCCTCGAAGCACTTTCACTTCCCCAGTTCACGGACTGGCGCATATCGCGAACAACATGATGGCTTCCATCGCCAGCCTTTCGGAAGCTGACATTGATCGGCTTCTGTCAGAGGCCGAAGCTCGAATTGCAGCTAACAATACCTACAAAGCTGTAGCCGTCGCGGCACCAACAAGCAGCAAGGCCATCGCCATCACCACAACCTCCGCGATGTCTCAGAACCAAGAGAAGAAGGACTCCTCAAAGCCTGAGAAGCTCTCTGTTCGCGTCCCATCGCTTCCTCAGGACAAGAAGAAGAAGGTATACTCGTCGCCCTCCCATTTCCCCTCAAGTGTTCCATGAAAAAAATATATCCCATATAAATGACGCTGGTCAAGTTGCCGTCATGGCTTACTAGCTGGCACCAAAATGATTACTTTACATCATAGTTACTTTGATTGAACACATCATAATTTTCTTTTCATGTTTTCGGAGGTTGCCGTCGTCGAATGGTTGGCTAACTGAAAATGCAGGAAGAGAAGGACAATGCGGGAGATGGCTGGTTCAACATGCCCCGCACCGAGTTGACCACAGAGTATGTACCTTTGTCAACTACTTGGATGGTTGTAACTGACGCCTGGCAGACTCAAGCGCGACCTTCAAGCATTGCGCATGCGTGATGTTATCGCGAATGGCAAGCAGTTTTTCAAGAAGGACAACCGAAAGGATTTTGTTCCTACCTACAGCCAGGTTGGCACCATCATTGCTGGCGCGACGGACGGTAGCAACCAACGCTTGACCCGCAAGGAGAGGAAGCGCACGATTGTGGAGGAGGTCTTGTCCAGCTCCAACACGGCCAAGTACAAGAGCAAGTTCCACGAGATCCAGGAGAAGAAGATGTCGGGCAAGAAGGGTTTCTACAAGAAGCTGGTTGCTGGCCGCAAGAAGCGTTGATGATTGCGCTACTGGCAAAGTGGTGGCCGAGTTGGTGAACAGACCATCCACCTTCGACGCACCTTGCAAGATGAGAACAACAAAAGGCTTCGCCCACAATGGGCATTTACTTGGGGTTGACCGGCACCGTGGCAGTCGAAGCGACAGGAGCAGAGATTTGACTTGCGCTACAGAGGACGCCATGGTACCGAGGAGCTGGTCGGTAGCTCGAAGATTTGTGAGCAGACTGGAAATGTTTGTAGCAATCACATGTGGACTGAGAATGTCTGCATCAAGCCGTCAGGGGAAGGGCGTAGCAGGTTGATACAGGTCATTATGATCTCTTGAAGAGGCCTCAATTCAATACGTCGAAATATCATTTATTCTGTTCATCCCGTGCTTGAAATTCCAACCTTGTGACCATCAGGTGATGCCTAGTACCATAGTTCATGACATTCAAGATAATTTGCTGGGCTGTTCTTATCGATAAAAACCCTGAACCCTGAGGGCCAATTCGGCTCCAAAAAATTGGCTGAAGCGCGGGAGTGGGAGCTGGTTGCGTTCGAACATCCAACCGGTGTCAGTCGAGGGTCACGCAGAGATGTATCCGCCACGGTTAATACGGCCACTACGGCCCTTATTGCAGGGGCGACTGGTATGATTCTTGGATGGCGGCTACAGAACAAGAGAGAGGACAGCAAACTGACTTTGTGGTGGTTGCGATATGTGACAGCCCTTCGCCCTGCGTCGACCGGTACAAGTCGGCATCCCGCGTGCCTCGACACAGCTCCGCACAAATTCTACGAAGTGAGCTTGCGCCAATTGGTTTTGTTTTGGGGGGGAGATATGTTGACGAGTTTTGTTTCTAGAGCTCCAGAGCCACCAGCGACAACGACGAGCAAGACGCCCTCACCTACCACCCCCGCTGCCGCCGCCGCCCCGACGACACCTGCTGCTGCCACTCCTGCCCCCGAGACCCCTGCTGTGAAGACTGCGCCAGAACCGACGGTTGTTGCGCCGGCGGATATTCCTGTTACAAAGACTGTTGAGGTTCCTCCTGTTGCTGAGGCCCCTGCTGCTGAGGTTGAAGCTGCTGCTGCTGTTGTACCAGAAACTCCGGTTGTTGCCCCGGCTGATGTGCCTGTGGCGAAGGATGCCGAGACGGAGGTGCCAGTGGAGGAGGTGAAGGAGGTTGCTGTGCCCAAGGTTGAGGAGGTTCCTGTTGCGAAGGAGGAGGCGCGGAAGGTTGAGGTCAAGGAGACGGCTGCTCCTAAGGCCGAGGAGGTTGTTGCGCCTGTGGCTGAGGAGACCAAGGCTGCTGAGATTGAGACACCTGTTGTCGCTAAGGAGGAAGCGCCGGTTGCTGCTGCTGAGCCCCAGGTTGTGGAGACTCAGGCTGAGCCAGAGGCCGAAGCTGCTGCTGCTGCGCGGAAGGCTGAGGCTGTTTCTGAGGTCAAGGAGGAGACTCCGGTTGCTGCGAAGCAGGAGGCCCCAGTAGCTGCTAAGGAACAAGTTCCACCTGCCGTCAAGGAGGAGGTTCCCATCGTGGAAGAGGCTTTGGCTGCCGTTAAGGAAGAGGCTCCCGTTGTTGCCAAGGAGGAGGTGCTAGTCGCGGAGGAGGTCGATCCAGTTGCTTTTGTCACTGAGAAGCTTGCCGCCGCTGAGGCTGCCGCTGCTAAGGTTGCCGCTGTTAAGGCTGCCGCGGCTAAGGCTGCTGTTGCTGCTCCTGAGCCTGTTGCTACACCAGCACCCAAGGCCCCTGTTGCCGCTGAGCCAGTTGCTATCCCTGAGCCTGCTGCTGCCCCAGTGGCCGAGGCTCCTGCTACCCCCGCGGCTGGCGAGTCTGCTGTCGCCGCCACCCCCGCGGCTGAGACTCCCGCTCCGGTTGCCCCTGAGGCCAAGGCGGTTGCTTCCACGAGGTAAGATATCCTGTTGAAGGCTGGACAACCATGACACACAAAGACTGACACTTGTCTCCACACAGCACCAAGCCCAAGAAGGCCAAGAAGCCCGCCGCCCCCAAGCCTTCCTCTCTCTACGTCCGTGACGACAAACCCATCGGTACCACCGAGCTCTCCCGCATGCCCCGCGCCCTTGAGGCCCTCTACCTCGAGCCTCTCCGCCACGAGGCCGAGTGGGGCGTCCCCACATGCGACCTCCAGCTCCGGTCGTACTCCCTCCGCAACCTCGAGTTCTTTTGTGACTTTGCCCTCCGTGCGGCGTACTACATTGGCCTGCCTGCCTTTGGCCCCGTGCCACTTCCCAGGATCACCGAGAGGTGGACCGTCCCCAAGTCTACTTTCGTGCACAAAAAGTCGCAGGAAAACTTTGAGAGAATCACCCTAAGGAGGTTGATCCAGATCAAGGATGGGCACCCGGAGACGGTGCAATACTGGTTGGCGTTTTTGCAGAAGTATGCGTATTATGGGATTGGTATGAAGGCGAATGTGTGGGAGTTTAGCAGATTGGGTATGTTTTTTTCCTCTTGCGTTCGGAATATGTTTGACAGATGCTGACGTTGGTATTCAGATGTGGCTCAGGAGATGGACGATGGTCTCCCGAAGACAAAGAAACTGCTCGAGAGCAAGTGGAAGCATATGGGTGCTCACGACAAGATGCCCTTTATGGAGGATTTGGAGGAGTACCTTGCGAACGAGAGGAGAAAGATTCCCGGTGGGAGGTAGAAAAAAATAAATATAGACGGGAAAGAATTGTATGTCTAGGCTTAGGTGTACTGCTGTGTATTTACTGTACGAATATCAGAAATGTGTATGGCAATCTTGGGTGGGTGTGATTGATTTTGTCTATTCCAAATGATGTGAATATTCACAATGTAGCATTTCCTTCCCTATCATACACATTCCGTTACCATTTGCTGGCTCTTAATCAAGCCCAATCGCCTCCCTAACCGTCTCCATCGTCCTCTCGGCGCTCTCTTTCGCGCTTTGTGTGCCTACCTCCTCGGTTTCCTTGACCCGCTTCCTATTCACCTCTGTATCCTCCCCAAGCAACAAGAACCTCTCCCTCACCTCCTCCAGCCCCGCAACAACAGCATCGGCTGTCAGCATCTTCAGCTGCGCCAGCGTAACGTCTTTGCACTCCTCCGCCACCTTTTCCCCCGTCTTGCCCGTGAACCCGCCCAAGATCTCGAGCAGATTCGCCACGCCCGGCCTGTTGACAGGATCGTACTCCCCCACTGTGGCACTTATGCTATCCGTCCGTGCAGAGTTGATCTTTTTCCTTATCGTCGCCTCGTCGTCGTTGATGAAGATTTTGGACTTGGGGTTGGGGTCGGACTTGGACATTTTTTTGGTGGGGTCCTGGAGGGACATGATGCGGGAGGAGGAGGAGTCGAGGGAGATTGTTTGGGGGGAGGGGAAGATGTGGGTGGACCAGGCGGAGTGGAAGTTTGTGACGCACTCTCGGGCGAACTCGAGGTGTTGCTTTTGGTCGGAGCCGACGGGGACGTGGGTTGAGCGGTGGAGGAGGATGTCGGCTGCTTGGAGGATTGGGTAGGAGAAGAGGCCGTGTTTGAGGGCTGGGGAGGAGATTGTTGGGTCTGGGGAGGAGGAGGAAAGAGGGGTGGAGGTGAGGGTGGAGAGTTTGGACTGGGAGGGGGGTTAGTGAGAGGGGTGGTAAAGGGGTATATAAGGCAAATGTACCTTCCACTGTGTCATACGGGATAGATAGCCTGTTGAAGCGGTGCAACTGAGGATCCATTGCAGCTCGGCATGCTGAGGTACACTCCCCTGATAGAAAATGGTGCTCCGTTCTGGGTTGAGGCCGATGGCAAGCAGGGAAGTGAGCATCTCACGCCTGTTTTGGCGGAGCTTGTCTGCGTTGCCTGGGATGGTGAGGGCGTGCAGGTCGACGATTGAGAAGAAGAGCTTGTCCGCCTCGCGGGCGTTGTCTTGCATGTCCTTCCATTGCTTCAACGCGCCGAGGTAGTTCCCTAGGTGTGGCACGCCGGTGGGTTGGATCCCGGAGAAGATGATTTTTGGCTTGGACGCATCCCCCTTGATGATCGACTTGATTGGGGGTGACTTCTTGAAGGATAATTTCTTAGCGAGTGACTTCATAAAACGGAACTTCTTGGTGGGTGAGCTCACATCATGATGGATGAGTGTTGTTGACAAGGTTCTTGAGTTTCTTGGTAATTTGCGCGCCAATCGAGGGGCACTACGGCCCAATTTGACAGTGATATTCATTTTGAATGTTACTGGAGAAGAATTGTACTGGACGAACCTCTGCTACCCTCAAAGTTCATCCAATCTCACTTAGTCGTTGCTCAAAGCTTCAAATTCGGAGTTGCGGCTCAAACATCCTGGCAAGTATAGCGCACGGACCATATCGCCATGTGATGCATAGCAACAAGTGACAGAATTTGATCTGATTCAACAGATTATCATTGATTATCAAATATCTAAAATCCCGAATGGAATATAGGAAGCTCATCTCCTCCCTGCTCTTGTCCCCTGAGAATCCGCCGGCCACCCATCCACAGCCCCTTCGACCTCCTCCAAGAAAGTCGCCGCATTATGCACCGTCGTACCACCCAAAACGACTCTGACCCCAGGACTGCTGGCATTGATACCCGCCACCATCTTCGCCTCTTCGTACGTAGCTCCTCCAATGATAAACACAATGATATCCTGCGGCTTATCTTTCACGCTTGGGCTGCCCTCCACAAAAGGATACTGCCCTTCTTTTAGTTTCCCCTTCATCAAATTTTGCAGCGTGGTTTCCAGCAGAGGGGAGTGTTGGGTGTAAACGTTTTCAACGCCCTTGAGGCCCTTGAATCGTGAGTTGGCTGCGCTGAACAGACCCGTCGACTCGAACAAGTCGGTAATACCGCCTGCTCCCGATGCCGAGGCGTGGAGGGATTGGTGGTAGGTAAGAAGTTTGTTTACAAGGGAGGCTTCCCGTACAGACACTCCACCAACAGTGATGAGGAGGTCGACGAGCAACGGGAGAGCGTTGGATGGGTGCCTGCTGTAACGAAGGCCATAGAGAGCTACCAGGGTAAGTTTGGAAGAAGGGAGAAGAGTGGGTGATTGAATTTGTGTTTGTATATTCTATTGAAAGTCAGCAAGAGAGTCTGCGCTTCTATGTTTAAGGAAGAACCATACCTTGAGATCAGCTCCATGGTTGTCGTTACAAGCTATGCTTTGTTCCAACTCGCTGACTTCCATCAAATGTTCTGCGCCTATTCGCCTGCTCAGTTCAGAGACGAGGGCGACGTGCTTGCTGACATTTCCCGAGAGTTTCCGGAACTCGGGGTACTCTTCAATGAAACGCTTCATATCGGCTATTGACTCAATGTCGGCGTTGTTCTTCGTCTTCGATTGGTATTGCTCAACATAGTCTTTGATGTTACTGCCCAAGTCGCCAAAGTTGAGATACATATTCTTCTTGAAGAATGGGTCTTGATCTTGAGAGAGAACAATCTCTTTGAGCTCGGGACGGATGTCGGGTACACTGCTTAGGTCTACACGACCGTTGTGAATACCGAGAAGATGATGTACCATGGCCTGGTACGTCCACTGCATGAGCAAGGGGGTGATGGGGTCTTCTCTTCGGTCTAGGATGAGAAGGATTGGTGGTGTGTCAACCTTGCGGAAATCAAAGAGCTGGTCCTCTTGAGTGATGTGATATCGCACTTCTGACGCCAATTTTTGAGCCAGGGGGCTAGACTTCTGGTACCTGATGAGGGGCTTCTTCTTGAGCGATAGCAGGACAGCAATGAGGCCTTCAGATGCACGTTGAAGAGAGTCTCTATTCCACGTGTCCGGGTTCCCACCCCATAGGCGGTACAGGGGCTGAGACATGTTGAGAGAGAACAGGTCGGGATTGATGATCACATAGTCCAGAAAATACTCTTGAACGAGCTTCACAACTTCGTGATCGTCGGCCTCGGCCAAACGTTCCAGTGTGGACTTTTTGGCAATATTGCTGAAGAAAAGATGGTATTCTCCGTATTTAGGCTCCCTCAGCTCATCAATAAGAAGGCCTATGGAATCCGGGTCTGGTCTCACGAAACACAGGCAACGTAGATGGCGCATCTTTTCCCGGTTCGGCTTGTCTAGGCGATCTGTGAGGTACACCTCATGGTTGAGAAGCGTTGATTGCGTGACGGCGGTCGATATGAAAGCCATAGTTTCCCTGTCCAGCAGTAGAATCTTCATCTTGGCCGATTGCGACGTCCCCGATGTGCTGTCGCCGGCTGACACCATCTTGGTGACGTAGCCCGTCACGGCCTGCACCACGTCCATCGTTCCTGGGGTTCGGAGTTGACCCTGGGTGAATTCGGTTCGACGGGAGCGTGGATTTTATGTGTTCCGAACAAAAGTCCTGAGAATGGATCGTAGAATTATCGCAGAACAAGTGGTCATCGACGTCGTGATACTGAATTAGTGTGTATAAGAGTGGTCCTAAAGGTTGAACCTGAAAGAGGTGAGCTGTGTTCCTTGGAGCTCCCCTGTGGTTGGCGCCAAGAGTGTCTAATCCGGGGTGCCTGCCGCAGCTGTTGGGCCCCTGCAGTCGGCACGCAGCGGGCTAGTGACACGCTACGATAAGATAAGAGCACTATCTTTCCAGCGCCTTGTCAAGTTGAAAGCTGCCGTCATCGCATTCTCGAATTTCTTGAGCAGCGTTCGAGTTCAAAATGGCACAAGATGTTTGCCCAACAAGATCGGAGCCCTCGTGAGTACTTTTCAATTCTGTTTTCTTACTGTCAATTGTTTCCGAGGCTGACTGGCAATCGTCCTTTTTTCAGATTATCTTTTCTCCAGGGTCTCATCCTTGGGCAGCTGTCAGTAGTGCTGCTGATTGCTGCCTTTATTAAGTTCTTCATCTTTGGCGAAGCGCCATCGGCGGAAGAAACGGCGTCTATCCGAGCCACCGAACGAAGGTCACGAACTCTTGCCCACAAGAAATCTCTACTTAGTCTTCGGTCCGCAGCCACACAACGCCAGGGTTCGCAACCACCAGCCCTACCCGCCCTCAACAAGAAGAAATCGAGCATTCTCCGATCGAATCCGCCGACCCTGACCATTGGCTCGATTCTTGACAAGACTTACTACAAGGTGGACAGCCACCAACCTGAAAGTTTGGACTGGTTCAATGTCTTGATTGCCCAGACCATTGCGCAGTTCCGCAGTGATGCGCAGCATGACGACGCCATACTCACATCTCTGAGCAAGACCCTCAACGGGACTTCGAGGCCAGATTTTGTGGACGAGATACGGGTTTCGGAGTTGAGCCTGGGGGAGGATTTCCCGATTTTCAGCAACTGCCGCATCATACCGGTGGACGAGGATGGCCTCCAGTTTGGAGCAGGCAAGGCGTTTGATCCCAAACAGGCTGCCAGGGAAGGTGCTCGTCTGCAGGCGAGGATGGATGTCGACCTCAGCGATATGATTACTCTGGCTGTCGAGACAAAGCTCCTTCTCAACTTCCCCAAGCGACTGAGCGCAGTTCTTCCCGTGGCGTTGGCTGTGTCGGTTGTTCGTTTTAGCGGCACACTGTCCATCTCATTTAACCCAAGCAACCCTTCGGAAAACACGCCTACGAAAATGACTTTCACGTTTCTCGACGATTACCGACTGGATTTCTCGATTCGCAGTCTTCTGGGAAGTCGTTCAAGGTTGCAAGATGTCCCCAAGATTGCACAGCTGGTTGAGTCTCGTCTTCATCGATGGTTTGATGAGCGATGCGTTGAGCCAAGGTTCCAGGAGATTGAGCTTCCCAGCATGTGGCCTCGGAAAAAAAACACGCGCGGGGGTGATGAGATTATCGCCAATATTGAGCAATCAATAAACAAAGCGCATGGCGGTGCTATTGCCAAGGAGGCTCGTCAAGAACTTGACACTGAGACGGACGGGCTCCGGTATAGACGGCGGCCAGTGGGAGACGATACTTACTCGGTATCAGGCTCCATGCCAGGTTCACTCCCAGGCATCGACATGCCTACATGATGACGGTTACAATCTGGATCTTACAACACAATCTCATCTCCAAAGTCCCGCTCGCCCCTCTGCCTCTGAAGGTCCAACCAAAACAAAAACCGAGACACGGAAAACCGCATAACGAGGCGAAGCCGCGGTGTGTTAACGACCTGTCACCAGGTCAAAATACTATCAGTGGGTGTTGTACACCTTACATGTATCATATCATACCATTCCACCACATGTCCATAGGTAGATCTTGATATAGGTTTAGGGGGCGCCAGAGTGGAGCCAATGAGCGATGCTCAGCACATGCCAAAAAGCGAGCGCCGCAGCGGTGCGGCTGTGGTCTGGTGATGTCACAGCAGTGGACCCACCAAAAATCCCCATCAGTCCCCAACGGTTCATGACAGTAGTTGGCATCCTCAACGATCCGATGAAAAAAACGGCTGCCACTGCATCGTTAATCAAGCACTTTGGATGAAATTGTATACCAAAGAAACTCTCTCTTTATTTTCTTTGTCATCTGAACCTCAACACTAGTTGGTTGTCATTTACCTTCCTGCCACGTCCCTGTCGCATAAACCCACTCGCCGATCCGAGAGCAAACGGCCATTGCCGTGATTTTCCTCAGCAACCATTTCAGTCCCCCCACTGATCGAAACCAACCTCGTGATGATATAACACTACTTCGAGACCGCCGCCTTCGTTACGCCTTTGCGCATTCGTTAAACCAGGACCACTGGTCACCATGATACCCTTCATAAACGCGCGTATGGACGCCCCTCCAGATGAGTTGTGGGTGTCGGTTTGCTGACGTCGTCTGTCTCTTATAGCATTCGTTTGGTTAGCCGACAAGATCGGCGCTGGCCCAGATGAGTGTACGTTTGTTCTCTATAATAGTTCTGAGCTGCAAAATCGTATGATTGCTCTGGGTGCTAACGTCGTGCGGAACAGTAAAACTCGTCTTCTCCTTCCTCCTATCGTATCCTCTCGCCGGCCTCCTAAAAAGAGTTCCCGATGCGCGGCCCGAGTTCAAAAACCTCTTCTCGATTTCGATCTCGTTATTCTACCTCGTCGGACTGTTCGACCTCTGGGATGGCCTCCGGACGATTTTGATCTCTGCGATCGGGACATATGCCATCGCGAAATACCTGCGGGGCTCGCCGTACATGCCATGGGTCGGCTTCGTTTTTTTGATGGGCCACATGAGCGTCAACCACATTGCGCGCCAGCAAGCCAACAGCCCTCGTTCAGTCGACATCACGGGCGCCCAAATGGTCGCGGTCATGAAGCTCAGCGCCTTTTGCTGGAACGTGGCTGATGGCGTTCTTCCCGAGACCGACCTCTCCGACTTTCAGAAAGACAGACGCCTCGTGGAGCTCCCTAGTCTCCTCAACTATGCGGGCTATGTCTTCTTCTTCCCCAGCATGCTCATCGGTCCCGCATTTGATTTTGTTGAGTACCGCAGGTGGCTTGACACTACCATGTTTGAGGTGCCGGCCAATGTTGATCCGTCCAAGAAGCCGCCTACCCGTCGCAAGCGCAAAATCCCCCGCAGTGGGACTCCCGCCATGAAGAAGCTAGCCCTTGGTTTGATCTGGACCTTTTCGTTCCTCAAGCTATCCGCCCACTACTACCCCGAGGTGCTTTTGGAGGATAAGTTTGTGACGTATGGGTTCCTCCACCGGCTGGTGGTGCTGCACATGGTTGGCTTCACCGCGCGCTGCAAGTACTATGGTGTCTGGACCATGACAGAGGGCGCCTGCATTCTGGCTGGCCTGGGTTTTAAGGGTGTCGACCCCAAGACTGGAAAAGTGTCTTGGGAGAGGCTCCGGAATATCGACCCTTGGGAGGTGGAGTTTGCACAGAACACGAGGGGGTACTTGGGGGCGTGGAACATCAATACTAATCAGTGGTTGAGGAACTACGTCTACCTGCGGGTCACGCCTAGGGGGAAGAAGCCTGGGTTTAGGGCTAGTTTGGCTACTTTTACGACTTCGGCTTTCTGGCATGGGTTTTATCCTGGGTATTATCTGTCGTTTGTGCTGGCGAGTTTTATTCAGACTGTTGCGAAGAGTATGTTTTCTTGTTTCGCCTGTTTGTTTCATTAACTCAAGCTAATTATTTTGTCTGCAGAACTCCGCCGTTTCTTCCGCCCCTTCTTCCTCGACCCCAAGACTCAACAGCCCCTTCCCTCCAAGAAGCTTTACGATTTCGCCTCTTGGATCACGACCCAGCTCACGTTTTCGTACGCGGCCGCTCCGTTTCTGATTCTGTCCTTTTCGGGCTCGGTTACGGTTTGGGCGAGGGTGTATTTCTACGCCGTGGTTGGGACACTGGTCTTGATGGGCTTCTTTGCTTCCCCCGGAGTCAAGGTTGTGAAGAAGGCGCTGGAGCAGCGAAATGCCAAGGCGGGGGTTGTGACTGATAAGAAGAGCGGGGATTTGAAGAGGACGGCGAGCACGGACAGTCTCAGCTCGAGCAGGGAGCCGGTGATGGGGATTTCGGCGGATATGGAGGAGGAGCTGGATGAGATGGTTAGGGAGGTGAAGAGGGAGGTTGAGGTTAGGAGGGCGAGGAGTAGGGAGAATAGTTTGGTGAAGGATATGAAGAAGGCGATGTAGGTGGGGGGTTTGAAAGGGGGGAATATATTGGGGGAAGGAGGAGTGTGTAGATAGGAAAGGAGGACGGAGGTTGATATATCCATTTTGTGTGATTTGTTGAAGCATGGCGATGGGACAGGGTCAATGGGTAGATTTTGTGCTTTGTCTATTCCTTTGCTGGCTACATGGTTAGGGGAGATTTTGCTGTTGAATATATGGGTTAGAAGAGACGTCAACTGGGTTATGAAGTATGTTCAAGAGTATTCTAGGTCTTCAAATGATCATTGAGTCCTTTGGCAGATGGGGAATGATAGTCACAAACCGCACACACTCGGTCGCTGGGCTGTTCTAGGTTTTTCGTGGACGATGTCGAGGAAGACAGCCCACAAGTCAGGCCACTGCCATTGACACGATATAAACAACAAAAATCTCGACCACGTAATCTAGATATTTGTTGGGTAGAGAGATTTTCCATCGATCACTGGACACTTTCCAGAGCACATCAGATAAAAAAATGACCCTGATAAAAAATGTTTTTGCATTACGTTTCGCACATGACTATCGTAATACCGCATAATCTTTCGCAGCTTCTTTCTTCCCCCTTTCCTCCAGCTGCCAAACCCGCCGCCGCCCCCTTTCCAACACCTCCTCCCTATCTTCCAAGGGAGGGGAAGGAGGGAGGTAGCTAACCAGAAAACAAGATTTAAAAACTAAGTAATAAGTATAGGGTGCCGTTGTAAATAACTTTCTCCCCCAACAAATGATGATGGTAATACAGACGATAAGAAAGAAAAAACAGGCTTTGTGTGTAAAGTATGTGTATACTTCCCGTCTTTGCTCTCCAACCGCCAGAAATAATCCCTTTCGCCCCGACTCCCATAATGGCATTTGGAAATCCAAAAAAAAAAAAGCAAACAAGGCAAAAAAAACGACGGGGTATCTCCGATTGTTCGTTGTTGTTCAAAAACGCCCGCCCGGTCTTCTCTTGGCTCTTCCACCTGTGCTGTAGCACGAGGATGTACATGATAAATAAATGATAGTAACGACACGTTTGAAAAAAGATATGAAGCGAAATCTTGAAAAAGAAAATTCGTTGGCTGCGAAAAAAAAAAAGGAAATGGGCTGCCAAAAAGGCATCTCATTAATCCGTCAAGATAAAGAAAGAAAAAACCCAATGCTCTATTTTGAGGTTGCAACGTCAAAAAAGAAACCGTCAGGCATTAAGTGTTTGTGCTGTCGTCGAAGCTGTCGTAGAAATTCGTTCCGGTAGATGTTTGTATATGTATTGAGATGGGCCTAGAAAATGCCCGAATCGTTGTGACCGTGTGTTTGGTCGAGGTTGGTCCAGTCCAGGTGAGTGGATGGATGTACAGCGCACGTGCGAGTGTATGTGGTAGGTTTGTAAAGATTGTGTAGTGGTCGGGGCCCTGGGTTGGGCATAGTGATATTTGTGTATGATTGTGAGTGAGTGATTAATGTGATGAGTTTCTATGGCGAGTTTTGTCCCCATCCTTGCTGAACACCAACAACGGCCAGGGCGATGATGGCGCCGATGATGAGAAGACCGACAACCGACATGATCCGGTTCAGGTTCCTCCACCACCGCACAGCTTCAAATCTCCTCTCGTCTCCAGCTTGGGGCTGGTAACGGTATTCGGGTTGCTTCTCTCCCTTTTCGAGAGAGTACCGCTGGGGCAGTGGCAAGAGAGCTCCGGCCATCCAGGCGAATGGGAAGATGAAGCCAATGATGAAGAGCACCACCTGAATGTTCCGCTTGCCCATCAAACTGGTATCGGCCGACCAGTTGATGCTGGGTGGGTCCCACATGCTGTAGCGGCTGGCGCGTCGATCCTGACGAAGATGTGGGGACCAGATGCTGGATGTCTTCTGGCGCAATGTTCTGAATACGTTATAGTCTTGGGCAGGTGCTTGTGAGATACCCATCTCCGATTGTCCGAAAAAGGGATGGTCGCCGGGGACTTCTCTCGCGCGTTTCCTGGGGCTGTAGATATTAGGTGGGAACTGCTCGTCGGTGGGTGAATCCCCGTCGTTGTAGAATCTTGAGCTGCCCGGCCTGCTACCGCTTTCCGAGATAGACATGAAAGAAGGAGACCTTCCGAGCCAGCGTCTTTCGCCCGATCCATAGTAGACCTTGGCCCAGGCGGGAACCTCGGAAGTGAAGCTGTTTCCACGAGAACGGGAGCTACCGCTGGAGTGAAGGCCTCTACTGGAACTGTTGGTGGTGGTAAAGTAACTCGAGAGCGCTGCCCTGGAGGGTCTGTGCTCCAGGTCCGCAATTCCATCTCCGTGCTCGTCCTGATCACGCACCATGCGGATCTGTGGACTCGCTCTTGACAAGCTCGGCTGCGGTCGGTGAAGAGAATCGCTCCCTGAGCTGGTATTGGCGCCTTCTTCCAGTTGGCCAGCGATGGACGAGGAGACACTGGGCATCTGACGACTGTGCATGGAGCTGACCCATCCGGCGCTACTGCGACGACGGTGATGGCCGCCGGAGGACTCGGATAATGGCGAAACAGATCGGGTAGGCATTGGGCTGCTTTCAACTTCGCTTTCCGACTGGACGGTGGAGAGCTGTGAACTCCATTGATGGGGAGTCGCGGTAATCATCGAAACCGATGGTCCTTGTGTGTTGGAACTCTCAGGCCTGGAGGAGGATCCTGTGGTTGGTGGCGCCAACCATGAGGGTAGCTGCGAAGAACTGCTCGATTCACCTCCACGCGCGGCCCGAGGGGACAGCAGCCCAAGGTTGACGGTAACTGGAGGCACCAACAACGCCGGCTCCGGCTTGCCAATAACAGAACCGACGCTCTTCAAGGAGTGGACAGAATTAGTGCGCGAGCGAAGGTTCTCACGAGACCGTTGCTTGTAGTATCCAAAGTTTTCGTACGACTTCTTCTTCGCTGGCCTGAGCGGCGCGACTCGCAAGCTCTCCTGGGAATAGCTTGGACGAGGCTTCTTGGCTACGACGATGACAGATCCGGATGGCGACGGTGACGCCTCACCATGGACGACGTAGTTATCGTTCTCCCCTGTTGACGACGAGGCTGAGGATGCCAATGGGCTGTTCTTGAAAGCAGGGGCCGGGGAGGCTTCACCCAAGACCTCCCAGTTGGAGGTGCCGGGTCGGTTGAAAAGGAGACTGTCGTTGGACTCTTGAGCAGGCGATGAGCCGGGACCGTAGACCTTGTAGTTCGTGCTCACGGAGACAGTATCGATGCTTTGGTCGGACACAGCAGACGTAAAAGACGTCTTCGACACGATAGTCTTGGGCGGCTTGGTGGGTGTCACCTCTTCCTCCTTGCCGGTAGGGTCTTCAATCAGTGGGGAGAGAGGTCTGTCGGAGGGCAGCGAGTCTGCTAGAGGCTCCTTGATGGCGGGGGGCTCGGGCGTCTGGGCTACCTTTCGCAGGCCACCGACCATGCGGTAGTTCCAAGGGGACGAAGAGGATGCAGGATTAGGATCTTCAGCTAAGTGTATGGTTGAAGAGCCCGGAGATGAGAGTGCAGGAGAGGGCGGCTCAGATGGTGTGTGATCCGGGATGAAGGTGCTTACACCCGTCATGGGGGTCTCTGAGCGACTCTCGGCCCACGAGAGGATCGAAGGCCGTTCATGCGTGCTCGATCTGGACGCATATGACAGGGTAGGGGAAATAAGGCTGTCGCGTGCTGGGAGCGGACTGGGCGTGACAGAGGACTCTGCTTCTGGGTCATTGCGGACAAGGGTGAAGGTCTTGTCAGGGTTGGTGATGATGATGGTGCGTCGTCTGGAAGGGGCCCTTGACGAGGACCTGGACCTGGTGGTAGTTTGGGACGACCCAGCTGGGGATGGCGACTCGCTTACGCGGGAAGATCGAGTCGATGTAGGATATGTCGTGATGTTGGGCGAATCTTCAGACGCTTGGCCCACCCCCGAGGGGCTGACCAAGGGTTTCATGCCTGAAACCCTTTCACTCCTCCCCCGCTCCAATGGGGCACCCGCATTTGTCACCTCTGCAAGCCCGCTGCTCCTGCTCCTCGAGTGTCCAACAAGTCGGATGGTCTGGTCGCTGCTTCGGTTGGAATTGCGGCTTGGTGCATTGTCGCGCAGTGAGAGCTGGCTTGGCGCGCGCTCATCGCCATCGATTCTCGGCGGCGTATATGGGACGAGACGGATACCGGACTTGGTGGCGCTCTCTGATTTTGATCGCTCATGGAGCGGTGTTGATGGCGGGCCATGTCGGCTATCGGGCGCCGACATGGCTCCGGAATGCTGGGTGAGACGGCCGGCGTGCGGGGCCGGGAGGCTCTCGATCCGTCGGGTCCGGTTGTGAATTCAGAAAGTGGACAGTCAGATCTCCATAACCGTTTCATACGCACAGTCCGGAATGGAAGGAGGCCAAAAAGAAGAAAAAAAATCAGACGTCGTCGCGAAAACGTGGTCGAGTGGCGTGTTTCTTTTGAAGATGAAGGGTACCCTGTCTTGAGATTGTGTTCGCGCGTGAGTGACGTACGCTGGGTTCCTGGTCGTGATGCGTTCAGGGAGTATACTGGGGAAAATGATTCAGCTCAGCAAGGCGGCTGATCAGGCGGGCGGGCGGGCGAAGGCGATGGAGCCTGTGTCGGTACGATAAGAATTAAATGTCAAAGTTGCAAAAAGAGTGCGTTGAAGAGAATCGAAGAAGAAACGACTGGCTAAGGTTGGATTCAAAAGAGGGTGGGTGGTGGTAGGTAGAATATTCAGGCCGGAAGCTTAGAGCATTGTGAAGTGGTGGTGGGATGGCGAGACAGCGGCGTCTGGTCAGAAAAGCTTGAAGCACCGGGATCCAATAGGTGCAATGCTATCCCGAAGAGTTGAAGGCGGGAGTATGCGACCCAAAAGAAGGACGGCCGGACAAGGCGGCTACGGCTACGGCTGCTCTCTCTCCTCCACGCGACACAAGAGGTCGCCACGGGCCGTGGGGGTGGGTGGTGAGAGGTTCGTGGGTGAGAGGGAAAAAAGGATGGAACGGGAGTTGGCCGGAATGGAGGGTACCTCCAAGATGAGAGAGAGTGTGTGTGTTGCGGAGTCGCGGAGGTGGATGGTGGTCGCAATTAGATATTGGATGATACGGAGTACTGAGGAGACAAAAAAAAAAAGCTCAGTATGCCGCCGATTGGTTCGCTGGCCAGCGTCTGTTTTGCTATGCAGCATTCAGGAGCTGCCATCTCAACGAACAGCGGACGAGAACCAGAAATGCCCAAGACAGTGGGCGACACCGCTTGACCGCTGGAAAGTTTCCAGAACAAGGCTGAGAGTTTAATTTCGCGTACCCACTCTCTGCAGCGCTGTGATAGGGTGAAAGCCATCGCTACCGGTCGCTAACTGTCCCAATTCGACCTAGCCAGCGTCCGTCCGGCCTGGAGTTTCTTCCATTCTGGGGTCAACGGGGCTGTGTCACGCAACATCGAGGCTAGCGTTTCGACGTCTTGATCTTCAACCTCGCCAAAACGAGTTTCGTTGAAACTTTGGCTTGGTCGGGAGGAACGATGATGCCCTCCCGCCGACACTTCTGGGCCGGTGATGTTGCAACCAAGCTCGGGGCGGCCGGCGAGTGGTGCCAACTCTCCGCTCTGTCCTCTGCAGCCATGTCCCCTGCATCATCCCTCGCCTGTTGTCATCAAAACATCAACAAGATGATGGCCGTCGATGGTGTTTGATAGTTGACACAATGGCTGCACCTGTGCCCAAGAACATTCGCTGCAATTGCTCTGTGGCGCCGGCGAGTGCCACGGCAACACAGGCCGAATCCCTTCACTGACACCTGCAACACTGCAGCATCTGCAGTTTGTCACATTGCCTACTGCGGGCAGAATGGAGCCTGGGATACGTGTTCGACGGTGGTGAGCGACTGTGGAAAGCCCAGATGCAATCGAGATGCGGCTGTCGAGCTCGGCAGGGGACGCGCCTACTACTGTGGATGTGTTAATTAAACTGTTATGCAAAACAGACGAGCGCGTACCTGATTCGCGTCTAGTTCGCGTTCAATTTGTGCATTTATGCCGACTACGGCCTTTCATAAAGCTTTACAATGAGCAGCTCAATGCTTCAGAAGTTACAAACAAAAAAAAGATAGAAAGTGATGTGAAAGAACTGTCAGTCTTGCCATGCACAATCTAAGCATTGTTCCGAGGACACAATTAAAGCTAATGCAATAACATGTCGGCTTAAACAAAAGGAATGCAACGTAGAAAAAGGCAGCTAAACAAAATTCCGGTAGTCCCGCAACTGTGTCAAGCTTTGAGTATAGCACAACTCCAACCAACAACAAACTCCCCGCCTTCCTAGTCCTGGGAGGAAGCATTGTGGGCAAATCCCAGATGCAACGTCGAATAAAGACCTCTAAAAATAAGAAGAAGAAGGCGGTTGTTGATCGATCGGGACACACACGGAACCCACCACACCCACGCGACGATTCGGTGGAGCAAAAAACGCGAGCATCTTCCTTCCCGTCCGTCTGGGAAAGTTTGACAGAAACCCAAGAGTTTGCTTGGCGATTGACGATTCTTGAAACGGGACCCGATTCGGCAGGCCCTCGTCTCACAAGCATTGATCAACAGCCGCAGCCGCGCGCTTTCCCCTGACGAGCGTCTAAGCAGGAGGCGCACTCTCACAGCCTGACGTTACTACTCAAACAGTCAGCAGGCTAGGCTTGTATAATCACAAAATCAAGATGCCAGCTCTTGGAGAAGTGCTCAAAAAGTTCAACCCCTGGCACAAGGGTACTTACCACCCCCCCCAACCCATCTCACGTCACACAAGATATCTGACACCGTCTCACAGAGGAAGAGCCCCTACCACCACCCTTCACAGCTTCGACAGCCTACCTGCTGTTGGCCCTCTACGCCCTCATCTACTTCATCCCCTTCTACCTCTCCCCCACCACCCGGCCATCGCCCACCCTCTCCCGCGATGCCCCCTCGGTGATCCGAGCCCGGATCCGTTCCGTCTCCCTGTCCTGTGCCATCTGCACACTCACCACCTCCCTAATCCTCTCCCGCTATGCCTCCCTCTCACCATCAGCAATCTTCCATCTCCTAGGAGTCTACCCACTAGCCCTGATCCCAGCAGTCAAAATCCTCTTTTTGACCGCCCTCCTCTTCCTGGGCCCCTTGTACAGCTACTTCATAGTTGAAAAAGGCTACAAACAATGGTCCACCCTCCTCCCACTGCGAGAAACCGTAACAGAATGGACCGACTACCGTAATTACATCGCTGTACGTCTCCCCACCATTCTCCCACCCCCCCACCCCCCTAAATATTAACAAAAGTTTCAGGGCCCAATAACAGAAGAAATCCTCTTCCGCTCCTCCTCCCTCCCACGCCTCCTCCTCTCCCAGGCCCCCCTATCCAGCACCCTCTTCCTCTCCCCCCTCATCTTCGGCCTCTCCCACATCCACCACTTTTACGAATTCCGCCTCACCCACCCCGCCGTCCCCGTCTCTGCTTCCCTTTTGCGGTCCGTATTCCAATTAGGGTACACCACCCTCTTCGGCTCCTACGCCAACTTCCTCTACCTCCGCACCGGCAGCCTCCTCGGCGTCTGCGCCGTCCACGCCTTCTGCAACTGCATGGGCCTCCCCCAGGTCTGGGGACGGGTCACAGACGAGAACGGGGACAAGAAGATCAACCGGCTCTGGACGGTGGGGTACTATGTCTTGCTGGTGGCGGGGGCGTGGTCGTGGTACAGGAATCTGTGGGGGTTGAGCGAGAGTGTTGAGACGGGGTTGGTTGGGGTTGATCAGTGGTGATATGATTTAAAAAAGAGAACAAAAAAAGCATGTTGGGGTTGGGTTGGGGGTTGGGTGGATAATGGCTGTTGGAAATCATGTTGTTGGTCAGGTGTTAAGTAGGTGGTGGGGGATTTATATCAATTTAATAGCATCAGATATGTAACCAAAATCACTGTTGAACACATTCAAATACGTTTTACATGGTCAATATCGCATTACACCACTCCCCGTCGTCCCCACCCCGCCTATTCTTGAGATACATTATATAACTCATACCCATTCCAAACCCGCCTCGCCCCTCATCGTCCCTCACGCCCAACCGAACACAAGAGCCCCAGCTCCCAGTCAGCCACGGTCTCATCATGCATCTTTGTTTGCTTGCGTCTGCCTCTGTCAACTTTCACAGCCCGCCCTCCAAAATAATACGCCCAGTCATGCAACGCATACGCGCGTTCGTACTTGCAAGTGAGAAAGAGAGAGAGAGAGAGAGAGAGAGAGAGAGAGAGAGAGAGAGAGAGAGAGAGAGAGAGAGAGAGAGAGAGAGAGAGAGAGAGAGAGAGAGAGAGAGAGAGAAGAGAGAGAACATGATGTTATGCAGGTTGTACGCCGTTTACAAAAACCAAAAACCTTGTCCGTCCCCCCGCCCTGCCTGCCTGCCTGCCCGCCCGCCTTGCCTTTGCCAAAACACACTTTCTATGCTTGTTTTGGAAATGAAAAAGAAAAATAGATCATCCACTAAAATGGCTAAAGGCTAAAAAGGGGGTCCCGAGAACGCGAAAACGTCATGTACAGGAAAGAAAAGAAAAACAAAAAGTCTCGATTCTTACGCCTTCCGCCGAGATCAGGACCAGGAGGGAGTTTCGGGTCGGATGGCGAAAGAATCATGCTTTGGAAGGGGGCACCGCCAGAGGTGCGCTGTGAATACTCAAGTTGGCCCTTTGTTGACTCATGAGTGCTCATGAGTTGGCAGCGTCCCTGTTGCTCTTGGCGCTGGCGCTCATGTTGGTGGTAGGAAGGGACAGAGCCTCCTGAGCCTTTTGGCGAACCTTGGCCCAGGCAAAGACAAGACCACTGACGAAACCCAGGAAGATGGCAGTAACACTGCCGAAGGTGACGGGAGCATCGAAGAAAATGAGACCGCTGACGGCGATGGGGAGCTTGTTGAGGGCACCGACCATGGAGTAGGTTGTCGAGGAGGTGATACGAATGCACCAGGACGAGCAGTACGAGATGAAGATGGCGGCCAAACCGGAGTACACCATTCCAATCATGAGCTTGTTCTTGGTCTCCTCGGGGAAGTTGCGGGCAAGGTTCTCAGACGACCAATCCTCAAACAGCAGGGAGAAGACAACCAAGACGGGGATGGTAAGGAGGTTGTTGTAGAACATGGCTATTGGGTGTCAGTCTACTGTACTTCGATCGTCGTAGTCTCGCCAGAAACTTACTGTCATAATCCTTGAAGTTCATCTTCTTGATGACCTTGCGCATGCCAAGCACATACGCAGAAGTGCAGATGACGTTGATACCCATCCACGCGTAACCGGCGTTCAGGGTCGACAAAGCATCCTGCTTGTCGGGGGAGATTCCCACACCATCAATGGCAGCCTGGATATCAGCCCAAGCAGCAACGACGGAACTGAGGACCATCAAGCCGAAAGACAACAGGGTGATAGGGGTGACGCTGCCACCGAACCAAAGAACCTCTCCATAGGCGATCACAATGATGGTCAAGTTCTTGAAGATGGTGTAGACGGGAACGGAGAGGAACTGGAGGGCCTTGGCACCGGTATAGATCATGCCGACGAGGAGCAGAGAAATAGGGAACCCTGAAATTGTACGTCAGCCAAGAGTTCGAATATCTGAAACAACAAAAAAAAAAGCAACATACATTTCTTCGCCTTTGTCGAGTCGAAAGGAGCGAGGTTCTTGAGAATACCGGTTTGCTTGAAAGCCAGGATCGCTAATGTGCAGACGGCAGACTAGATCGCCATGTTAGCTTCCAACTGTTCATCCCATCCCTTGGAACACCGTCACCGCCACGAGAGAGAGTTGCACACCTGAATAGCAAGATAGAAAAAGTTCAGGTTCCATTCTGAGCCAGACACAACGTATTTGTTCACGACTGTCATGCTGATAGACGCCAGGCAGTATGCGAGAATGGAGGCGCCGGGGCTGTGATCCAACTTGTCGAGCAGGCCAGGCTCCTGGCGCACACGGAGGGTGGCAGGCGAGGCCCGGCCGAGGAAGGGATCCTTCTCCCCTCCAAAGTCATCGCCGCCCCTCATCTCGATATCTTCGTTCTTTTTATTTGACATTCTGGCGTTTGTAGGAAGCGGTTTTTCGTAGGATCGTCGCCGTCGAGATAGCGAGTGGTTGTGTTTCCGCGACGGAACGCCAGGGAACGAAGGGTATCAACGGGCGCCGGCTCAACTAGGGACCAAGCGAATGGCTGAAGGGCGCTGAAGTGAGAAGGCGTTCACCACTCTCCCAGCGTTCTGGTGGTGGTCTGTCTCGTCGCCGTGGGGGTCGTCGGGCAGAGGGCGGTATGGCGGGATGGCTATGTCGGACGCGTGGAAGGAGAGAAAACACAAATGCTGTTAAATTGGCAACGAATCAACCTCTCTGCCCCTGTCGAGCGGTCGCGGCTCTCCTTTGTTGGTTTCTTGGCGAATGGTTTGGTGTGGGACTGTGGGGCACAAGAGAAGTGGAAATCCAATGTTTCAGAGCCAGCCTAACCGATAGCTGCATAACTTCATCCGTCATTCCAGCAGTGCCAGCCATATGCAGCTATGCAGTAAGTATACAATCACGAGGCATCTGATGAAGACAGAATTACGCATGCCACTTGGAGTGTGGATGAACGTTATTTCCAGCCTCCCTGCTCTTTGGGAAGACTCGGTTGGGACCAACCCTGGAAGTGCTAGACTAGTTCCACGGCCATTCATCTGAAGAGCTCCGACGGTCAAGTTAAGCTTCTGAGTCCATGCCAGACCCGAGTCCAAGTCAATAATACATATATGTCAGCCTCAGTTCTCCCCCCCATCCGGACTTGTCCCCTCAACAACAATATTCCCCCCCTCCCCCTCCCCCGCCTGTCCATCCCCATCCTCCCCTCCCTCCCCTCCCTTCCCCCCATCCTCCCCCTCCGACGGCGCCACCGGAAAGTTCAAATGCTTCCAATCCTCCAACTCCTCCGTCACACTCCTCAACCTATCCCTAATACTCTCAATCGCATAACTCCCCAGCAGCAACCTCAACGGCGGATAAGAACAATGCCCCAACTGCCACACCAGCTCCGCACACTTCACCGCGCTCGTCGGCTGCCTATCCCCCAACCACTGCACCATCCTCTTCGCGTGCAACGCCGGGCTCGTCGCATGACTATACGCCTCACTCGCCGGCTTGATCAAAAAGTGCCCCCAAGTCGGCAGACTGTTTGTAATCTCGGCCGGCTCGTCCCTCCTCACCAGCCCCGGCTCCACCAGCGTGGCCTTGATCCCGAAGCTGTCAACCTCGTACAGCATCGCCTCTATCAGCCCCTCCACCGCATACTTTGTCGCGCAGTACGGTCCTAACCCAGGCACACCCAGCGCGCCGGAGGTGGAGCTGAAAATCAGATACCGCCCCCCGTTTTGCTGCCGAAAATACGGCAGTGACGCCTGCAGGATATGCAAAGTACCCATGAAATTCGTCTCGAACTGGTTGCGCACTTCATATTCATCCTGGTCTTCACACGCGCCGATGACGCCGTAGCCGGAGCAGTTGGCTATGCAGTCAATCCTCCCGAAGCGATCAAGCGTTTTCTCCATCACTTTCGACACGGAAGCATAGTCACGCACGTCGCAAAGAGTGCCGAGGCAGGAGTCGGAATTGAGAGTAGCGATCTGGGCCGGGGTCGTCTCAAAGACGCGGCCGACGGTGGTGACGAGGTCCGAGTGGGAGAGGATGGACTTGACGAGGGAGCGGCCCATGTGGCCTGTTCCGCCGAAGACCTTTGGGGGCAATCTGTCAGTCTTGATGTACTGTGGAAGGAAATGATAGGAAGGGAACATGCAATCCAAACAAGCTGTTTAGCAGGCGGCTGCCCAGGCTGGGGCGGCTCGCAGCTGGCTGGGAGCTGGAGCTTGGGTTTGTTGCTCCCTTCTCCTCTTCCTCCTCCATCTCGGCCTGTGGGTGTAGCTGTTGTTGGGGCTTCAGAGCCAGCGATGGAGCCCCCTCCTGCTGTTGTGTCGGCATTGCTGCGGATATCCATCTTTGCTTCTTGCCCAATAATCCTTCACTACCCTCAAGCGGTGTGTGATGTCAGGTTTGTTATGCCCCAAAGTGCCCGTGAAAAAGTCCGTGATTGAGGGTATGAGCGCTCCTCCCACTCAAACTCGACAAAATCTCAAAAAAGGGGGGGGCAGCAATGCCAACCAATCATGAAAATATCACATATGCCTGCCTGCCCCAGCCAAGCAAAAACCTCAAGTCATTTCTCCGTTTAAATCTTCAGCAGAAACCTTTTGAGTCAAAAGAAAACACACACTCAATATCCTAAACTCATAACCCGTCACGGCTGATGTCGTTGCTCTTGGACGACGTCGAAAAGTCTTGGCAAATGGCACTTGCTCAAAGAGCGAAACCCGAACCCTTCAAACCTCAACTGCCGAGGAGCCAATCACGTGATACGTCCGGATCAAAAACCCCCCTGAAGCCCCTGAGTTGGAGTGGAGTACATCTTCCATCATCACCAAAACCCAAGGTCAAACAAAGTCCAGAATTATCAGAAAACTGGGGTTCTACCTCTTTCATTACTATCTACCTCACATGTGCTCATTTCTTCTGTGTGTGTGTGTGTGTGTGTGTGTGTGTGTGTGTGTGTGTGTGTGTGTGTGTGTGTGTGTGTGTGTGTGTGTGTGTGTGTATCTGTGTGCAAAAACAGGCCATCATCCATGGCCAGCTAGAACCCTTTGACTGCATCCAGCTTCAGGTCGTAGGTAGGTATGTTCAATCCCAAACAACAAAAACATCCCAAGTTAGTCCCCAAAACCAAAAAAAACCAACTCGCCATCCAAAACATTATTTGCCCACTCGTTGCTGTTGTTCTTCTTGTTGTTGTTTCCTACCCAGTTCATAAATACATCCCAACAAAAATAAGCAAAATGCAAAACTGACTGGGAAAAACCGCCCGCCAAACCCCCCAGAAAAACTCAATGCTATTTTGTGCCGCCCCGTTGCCCATTCGTTGTTTTTCTAAACCAGACCAGAAGATGCTGCGTCCCAGAAACAAAAAAAGCCTAAACACCATACTCGTAAACATGCTTCGCTTGACGCCCTGGGAGTCTCCCTCCTATTTTCAGACGACGACCTTCCTTTTTTTTTCGGAGCAGAAAAAACCGTCCCAATGTTGATGACAAGGGGAAAAAATTGAATACATACGCCTCCCGCACTCGACTTGATACAGGAAAACAGAGAAACTATTACAAGAGTTAAAAGGTGCATACTGGATGTCGCATGTTGTGCTGAAATGAAGCAACATCAGTTCAAATATGTTACTGATAGATGAGTTGGCAATGGCCCCCGGGATGATATTGGCGGTCCAGCGCTGGCTGGACCACTTCACGCGCCATCTTGTAAAGGTTGACCCCTTCAGCAACTCTGACGGGGCGATATGCGTACTCTAATGTTGGCTGAACAGCTGGGGATTTTGGCAGCATCTTGTACAGATGACTGCCTTCGGCAACCTTGAATCGATTCTCGATGGGTTCACAGCTGTCGATCCACGCGTCTGGGCGAGGGCCATATTGTTGGAGCCACCGCCATCTTTGTTCGTCTCTTTTCGAGGCTGCCATCACATGTCAGCATGCAATTCGTTTGCAATCGGTATAATGACAAAGCAAACCAACTTACCAAGTTCCTGAGCGGCGTCAAGGTAATTTTTCGGAAGCCAGTCGTACCGGTGTTCAACCAACTCCTCCGGCGATCTCTCAAGGAGGAGTCTCGGACGGCCATACGTCCGCACTTTGCTTTCTTCGAGTCGGTGAGGAACGCCCTTGTACACTACGTACTCGGCGTAATCCTCATTGAGGACCAAGTCACTGTTCTTGGGGTCCGCCCCTGCGGGGTTGGTTGTCAAGAATGGTGGCGAGTCCAAGACGAGTAGCTTCTCATCGGTGTTGTTCATGAGCGGAACCAGGAGATTCTGACGATAAAAAATGCATTGGACCCCAGTGATTTTGCGATTATCCTGCGGGTCCGCAGCTGGCCATTGGTGGATGTAGGCACGTTCGATGTCCTTCCACGCCTTCGTGAGATCTTCTCTGTGATAGATAATAAAGTCTTGTTGTTCAGTCGTGTACTTCTGGTTGCTGCGCTTCCCCTTTTTGGCCTCGCCTGCAGTAGCAGGCGAGGACTCGACTGTGTCAGTGCCTCTTACACGTTTTGTAGAGTATGGCTCGGTTCTGGGGCTGTTTCTGCGCCCCGACCTGATGGGAAACTCGGGGGTTGACCGCCCGGAACTGGGAGTCATGGTTGTCGACCCGCCATCTGATGAGCCGCGGCGTGAGAGCGGTGGAGAGTACTGGCCAGACATCCAGGATCTCTCTACTGAGCTTGAGCGAGAGGTAGACCCATTCCAGGAAACCGCCGAGAAAAATGAGCCCGATGGAGAGGGTGGAGCTGTGAAAGGGCCCCCGGGGTATCGAGAGCTGGGAGCTGGCACACTGGCCATGAGAGATCGGATTGACGGAATTTGTTGATCTGACGGTGCACGCGTCTGGCCCGTGATATGGTCCAGGGGCAGTGATGGACGAACTCTGAGGACTATATCCATCCTGGACATTGTCGTTTGGGGAGTTGAAGGAGGTGTGAGGCTCAATGCCAAATTCGGAGGACTAGGTAATTTACCGTTGCCTAGGGTGCTGGAAGGTGTGGCCGGTGGTGTGAAATCCAGCTCAGAGATGCTGGGGATTCTGATGATAGCCATGGTGAGAGCCTTCTTGTGTTGTGATGGAGATGGGTGGTGGTGAATGGGTGGAGTGATGAGAGGATGCTTGTATAACTAAATAGAGGATCGTGGGATATGCCACTCTGTGAGGAAGCAGTGGAGGGTGGTATTGAAGACGAACCACGAGGGTGATCTGAGACCAAGAGTCCATGATGGGGATCGTCGAGGGTATTCATACTGCAGACAAACTGGCAGCTGTGGGGACGGAACCGATAGGACCCTGGGTGGGAGAGCGCAGCAGGGGAGGGGGGTGCGCCAACCAAGCGCGAAGGGGGTGTAGCATCTAGGGGTACGGTAGATGTGTGCCGACTGCATGGAGGGCGAGACCTCTTTCGAGTCTGCCAAGCCATGGTATCTAGAGTCTAGTCTTTTTGGTGCGCTATCACACTGCCACCACCAGCCTTGCAGCGGGTGCTGTTTTCTCGCAAGTTGAAGACGCCATGTTCCCCCAGATGGGCCCCGGACGATCTCACCACGGGCCTTGCTGTCAAAAATCTCTCTGAGCTCTGGCAAGCCACGATCTTGCCGGCGGCTGGTGGCGACAGGAAAAGCTCCCAGTGACTGAGTGATGTGCGTGGCATGGGGAAAGCGATCGCTCCTGTCTGTCTAGGTCATTCAGCTTCTCGTATCAGGGCTGCCTCGGAGGCAGCACTAGCCTAAAGACGTAACGGTCGGCGGCTTTTGCGCCGTCCAGGAACAAAGCGGTGATTTTGGGCTAGCAGAGAGAGTCCATGATGTCGAAGACGAAACAGCGAGCAGTGAGGCAGTGAAACTGGGGATGATATCGACCTGTGGAAATCTTGTTTTGGGCGAGTCTACCTCCGGGCCAGAGCGAGCGACTGCCCTGCCAGACATAGCTACTGACAGTTTCGGCTGTCAACTGTTGACCATGCCCGAAAAGGTCTCTATGACCGTTGCCCTTTCCTCCTTTTGGTAGCAGCCGCAGTTTGGGCCGCGATGTCTGCATGTACGACAGCGCTTCCTGCATCCGCGGTTCTCAACTTTGAAGCCACTTGCCCGCTCGCCCGCTCGCCCACTTGGCAGGCAGGTGCCGGAGCCGCTGTGTTGCGCCTGGAGCCGTCATTTCGTTCCCTTGGGACGATTCCAGGTTCGGCCGACGGCTTCAGATTCGAATTGGCTTCGTCATCAGCACTGCCCGGCTCGTGTCATCTGCTCTCCTCCCAGTTCAGCGTTTCGAATCATCTCAGCAGGCCACGCTTTATCAGCACTCCCACCCACGTCGGACTCCGAGATGGGGAGTAGGGAAGGTAGGCTAAGTAAGGTAGCAACTCGTACGTCGTATCTTCAAGCCTGCTGCCTTCATCTGCATCTGACAGTCATTGGGCGAGGCGGCTATCCCCGTCGGCTCTCAAGTCGTATGAAACATGGCACGCCTATGATTGGCCAGAGAGAGAACAAGTCAAGTATGCAGACAATATCTGATTGGGCCATTGCCAGAGCAGCCATCTGCCAGAGATCGAGACTCGAGACAGCCTTGCTGCAAGACACTCAACATCTTGCATCGATTAGCTGCTTCCAAGACGTGCGAAGACCGTCGCCCTTGCACATTGTCCCATGTAAAAGTAAACAAGGCAGGAAAGGAACAAGTCACCTCCCAATGCAGCTCTCTGGACATCCCTACCTCAGCTGAATGCCTTTTTCGACTTTTCGGTCTTTTGATGGCCAACGTTTCCGCTCGCTTTGATCTTTGGACCCACATACCGCCCAAGATTCTATCATATATCACTTTTCCCCATCCCGTGCCGCCATCGCCAACACAGCATCTTTTTGCGCAGAGATTGGACTGTCGTTCATTTCCCTCTCTGCTCTCTCGCAGATCGGAAGCGGCATTTGTGATTGGCGAACAGTGACTAGGAACTGATGCCGCACCTGTTGGCGTCTTGGGGGGCCACAAGGGCCGCACCAGTACTCGACCCGGAAGCTGGATCCATAGGACTCACGTTCTCTCTCTCTCACTTGTCCTGCTGGCTTGCCCCTCTGCCTCTACCTGATTCAGGAACGAGGGTCTAGAAGGTAGATACTCGAAACAATGACCATTCTGTTCTGAGGCCTGTCTCACATCAACAAACCAAGCTGCCCACTGTCTCCAAGCGAGGTATTTTATGACGAGGAAAAAGACCTCTCACTCTGCTCCTCGGCCAGCCCAACACGCCAAGCCGAGTTGCAGACGCCACCATTGACATAACTCGATGGCCCCGCAGACGGATAGATCTGGTGCTCCCCAGAGGGGGGCTTGAACTAGGGATGGTAACACCGCAGCTGTCACATTTTGGTTTCCTGGTACGCATATCATCATAGTGATTATAGTGTTGACGATAGCACACTCCTCGCAAAAGGAAATACGAACATGAGGACATGGTGTTGTTCAATTGTTTGTTGTTGTCTCATACTGGGAGAAAAGGGAGGAGATTCTCGTCTGTGCGCTGAAAATCACTGCCTCCATGGAGGGAGGAAACAGTCAGCCAGTATGGACAGGATATGAAGCTGACTTCGCACAGTACCAGGAGCAAAGCAACGAGTATCAAAGCTTTCCCCGATTTGTCGACCCACCCCCTCTGCCCTCGACAACCACTCCCAGCTGTCCAGCATCGAGCATGCTTTGTCCCGAAGCAGTACCAAGGAACGACTCGTCTCCAGAAAAGCGCCTGTCACAATAGTATAGTCAGCATTAGGGCTCTGCAGCTTAGCAACATGATATGTCGAGTTCCTTACCAGCCTCGCTCTTCCCCTAGTGAAAGATGAGTGCAGTCACTATTGAGCTCACACATCCACCCCCCACCAACGCCCCGACCACCTCTCCAGGCGAGATCCTTGTGACGATCTGCAGCGTGTGCAGCAGAGGCCCCTGACGAGGTTGCAATGCCATCGCCGTGACACTTAACTGTCCCGGATACGATTCCCGCGGGGGATGCCCGTCGCCTGTAGACACTCAACCCGCAGGTGAAGGCCCGAAAGTCCTCAGTGTCGATGCTCTCCGGCATGTCACCAGTCAACACTCGGCCCAAAGCGATTATGGTGGCAGCATGTGAGCAGAGCAGAACGGCACGCACGCCCTCTCTGTCGCACTGAGCAATGAGCTCGTCCATGGTCCTGGCGACTCGGTCATGCAGCTCATCAACACCCTCTCCCATGCGGGTCGGCGTTACTAGCGGTCTGTACTCTTCGTCGAGCAGGCCCGGGAACAGCGGCCTCAGAATTTCATGGGACGCTGGGACCGGGTGCTCAAAGTTGGCTGCTCCATACCACTCACCCAGACCAGTCTCGCCCCTTATGGACAGGCGCTTGTCAGTGACGATGGCCTTGCGCACAAAGGGTTCGACTGTCTGAAGACATCGGTAGTATAGACTGGAATAGACGCGCTCAATGGGCGGCTCTGCCTTCAACAGCCGCTCGCCGAGCTCCCTCGCTTGATCAACGCCATGGGATGTCAGAGCCGGATCAGCCGCTCCGCCAGTTGGCGACCGTAGGGTCGCTGTGTAGGTGCCAGTGGCGTGATCAACGAGCCAGTTTGATCTGAACTGATAATTGGATGTCAGCATTTTCACCACACTACTGCACAACACCGCAAAAGATGGTCATGACGCTAGCTAGGCCACCCTGAGGTCTCGAGCATCCCTTGATCTGCAAGTGCCAGCCACGAGCTTCAATCAATCAATTAAGAAGAGCCAAGACAACGGACGGGTAAGGGTCTCTGACGATGCGTGGGAAAAGAAGCACAAAAAGGAAATTCATCAACGTCAAAACAAAAACAGTCGACATGACAGAACTGAGCGAGAAGGAAAACTTCACACTTACCCCATGACGGGCCACGTAGATCACCTCCAGTGGCATGATGTAGACGAATGCAGGGACAGATGGGGGAAATAAATGTGAGTGAGTGTTTGCCTGAGCTGGTTGGGGTTCTTCTGCTTTCTTCTTTTCTTTTTTTTCTCCAGGTCACGAACCGACTCAAGGTGGTCCGAAACTTTGGGGGGGGGGAAATAACACATGAAAAGATCAGCAAAACCGTTCGTCTCAAATTCATTCGACCGCACACAATCCATTCTCGTTCTTTTGTTGCTGCGTACGCACTGACGGACGCAAGAAATTTTGCAAAACAGTACACACACAGCAAGAAGATTAGGGGGATTGCCGCAAGAGGATTGGCGCGCGGAAGAGACCGTTGATAATACATGGGACACGCAGTTTCCACACGTTTTTTCTGTCTGTCTTGAAGGGTTTTGTTTGGATGAAAATAGGGGATGTGATTTCGGTGTCTGTGTGTTTTTGTTCCCCTTAACTTTTTAAAGGGTTGAGATGGCAGGAACCAGGACGATCAGGGTCCTTGTTGTCAGCCATCACTGGCATATCATTGACATGTGGCATGTGGAGTTTACTGTGTATGGTGTTGATCTTGGGGTTGCAATGCACCTTGTCATCTCGATCAAGGGCAACCGCTGGTTGGTTCCACAGATAACGGATGAGATACCCTGTTCCCAATACATTGGGCACAGGCAGGCAGGTTGGGCTACATAAATCTGACGACAGCAATTTGGGATTTGGGAAGGAAAAGAGGAGAAATGGGAGGAGGGTGTGCACCTTTGAAGGGGGGGAGTGAGTTGATAGGTAGGAGTATATAAAACCCCCTGGGCGTAAGTGTATGTAAAGGGTGTATGAACGGGGTGTGTGAGAGCGAACTCTTTCTTGAGACTTTTCAGAACTTGCCCCAATCCGGACAGCCCCAAAAATTGCAGTCCAGACACTGGTCTTTTTGAGACGAAAAAAATGCTCGTCCAGAAACAAACAGAGTGAAAAAAGTTGAGAAACAAAACAGAGATAAGGGAAACGGCACTCCCGTGACACTCCCGTTTGTGACAATGACAACTTTGACTCAGGGTTACAGTCAAGAGAAGGGACTGGAAGGGTGTGCTGTTTGTGATGAGGAGGAGGGCAAAGATCTTGATGACTGGGAACATGGACTGAGGTAGGTGAGGGGAAGGAGGAGAGAGGTCAGGCAGGAAACGGCAAAAGAGGAAGAAGCTACGGAAGTTTAATTTACTCACACAAGTGTACTTTAGGTAGTACTTTTTGGTCTGAAAGGTTCTGAGGTACAGTACTAAGACTGGACTGGACTGACTGGATGGGTGTTGTCGGCTGTGGTTTGCTGAGATCGGGTGTGCCCTGTGATATTGAATGGGTGACGTTTTCAAAGTCTTCAGAGCAGAAGAATAGCGGTGATGGATAATTCAGATTTTCCCACTGCAAAATGTGAGGCAATCTTGAATTAGCGGTGTTGTGTCGAGTTATGTAAGTTATTGCGTGCGCATGTATATGTGTGCTGTATGTGCTGTAATATGCACGCAGTTTATGCAGGTTCTCTCGTCTATCCCGTTGTTCAGTGGTTGTGCTCTGCTATGTTGTGTGTGTACATACTATTGGGTATATGCAGTATATATGACCTGTAAGAAAAACCAGAGCCGAAGCCGAGTGCCGCGCCCTCCCTCGTTTCTTGAAGGTTCGCTGTTGTATGAGGTGGTGTTGGGTGGTGTGGGTGTGTCTTGTCGGGACCGGTCCTGTGCCGGAAGATTTTGTCCTTTTGTGACTTGCAGTAGTGAAGCTGTGATGAAACGGGGAGTTTTAATTCTGCAAGACAGTTTTGAAGGTTTGACAGCACTTTTCTCTGGAGAATCTGAGAAACAAGTCTGGAATCGCTTCTCCGTGGAGAGTCGAGGGGAGTTTGAGACCCGAACAATGGCGGGGAGCCGAGGCACGCTTGTGAGATGTGCAAGTGGCTCATATAACCCTAACCCTATGTAATCCGGTGATATGTCCCCGGTAGATGGGATGAAAGGGAGGAAGTAGGGGTCGCAGGCGTTCATACACACCTGCAATTGCCCGAAACATGACGATCCCGAGAGCAGTGCGGCTGGAGCCTCCATTCCAACCCTTTTCTCAGCTGTTTGGTAAATGGTGGTGCCAACACTTCAGCTTTCACGGCAGGCAACTGCAGGGCGGGTGTGCAAAAGCATTTCGTGATCTTCAGCTTTGACATTGTCGGTAAGGCCAGAAGCAACTTGTAAAAATCATCAAATTCGGTGTATAGATAGTAACAGTTTGAGCATAGGTAAAATGAGTTACCTCTGCCGCAGCTCCTTCTCGTGCTCCACCCAGAAGTTGGCACACTGCCTATGCCCCCAGAACTCGATCCACCACTCACCGAAACTGTCTTCGACTTCATAGTCCACCTTGGCGACCCGTTCATCTCGCTTCAGTCCGCAGACAACGCATGCTTTTGGGGCGGTTGGTACATTCTTTGCCGCGGTGACAGCCATGTTTGTAGCAAGCTCGGGAATCTTGAGGTTCTCATGATGAGCACTGTTCATTGCCGCGACAACGCCCCGTAGCCTACCGACTTGCTTCTTCCAAACCTCGATGACCTCGGCTACTTCTTGCTCTTCACGGATAGACTGAGTCTTATCTATACCGGCCAGTTTCATGCCTGGTTTCCCGCCTGCAACCGCAGCAGAGATGGTCATGCTCTGTGATAGGAACTTGTCCCTGTGCCAACGCTGCTTCCGACCTGCTATTAATCTTGACACGACCGTGGCTAAAGCTAGGTAAGCTTTAATGAAAGCGAGGGTCTGGGCGGAGCCGATGATCCGTTGGTAGCCTGGGGAGGTGGTTGATAGAGTAAGGAGAGGTTTGAGAAGGGTCGTTGTGGCAAGATCGAGTAGTTGAGGACAAAGTGAGAGAAGAACCGAGGGTGGAGGAATGTTGGTCGGGGGAGGACCGCGAGGTTCGTGTGATGGCGCTGGTTGTGCCGGTGGATTGCTATGTTGAGGGGCCTTTTCTTCTGTTGCTCCCCAGTCTTGCCATTCCCACTCTGAATTTGTCGTTGGGGCTGGGGCTGGCTTGGATTTCGAGGTTGTCTTGATTTTGGGCTGTGAAGCTGTTTTGATGGCGGGTTTTGTGGTGGTATCTGGGATGTCTTTGAACTCCTCCCACTTGTTGCCAAAGCCGTCACCAACCTCAGGCCATGCCGTAATAGGAGATGGCGAAGCTTGATTCGCTTCCTGGATGTTGCGTACTCCTGTGGGCGGTTTTACTTGAAGTTCCTTCACAAGATCGGGCTTGCGGTCATGAAAAGATGATCCGTAGGGTGACTTTGGTGCCTTCGGGTAAGCTGAAGGACTCCCATGGAAAGCCGCGTTGGAAAGAGACAACCCTGGAGGTGCTTTCTTAGATGATGGGGCCGAGTCCACGTCTAGCCCAAGCAAGTCGTCTACAGGTTTTGTGGTGGTGGGCTCTGTTACAGGGGCAGGCACAGCCTCAAAATCACCAAAGTCATCCTCATTGATGTCCCCATTCTCCGCTTCAAAATCGGCATCAAAGAGCACATCAGGGTCCGGGTTTCTCTTCGGTTTATGCGAGTCCTCCAGTCCAAGGTTGAACAGTTGATTGCCCATCAAGTCCATGGTCGATGCCCTGGTGACACGGGTTCTAGATGGTGGGCTGGTGATATTTGTCAGTGGAGCCGGAGGCTGTGGCGGATCGGCTGGCTTCGTTGCAGCCTCAAAGTCCCCCCAGTCATCTTCATCCTCCTGGTCATCTTGTACTGGTGTGGATGTTTTTGAAGGCGCTTGTGTTGTCGCACTCTGGCGTTGGAAGCCCCCCGATCCACCCAAATCACCCCAGACATTACTGTTATTGGTCTGAGGATGACCGAACTGAGCTGACGCAAAAGAGCTTCCTTGTGTCGGTGCCAGTTGTTGAATAGGCGGCCATGGTGCGGATTGCTGGCTAATTTGAGCTTGCGTTTGCGGTTGAGGAGCCGGTGAAGCGAAGTCCAAAAAGGAGAGGGAGTCCTGAGCTGGTTTTGTCTGTTGCTGCTGAGGTGCTGTGCTTGATGGCGTGTCTGCGAAAGCCGCAAAGAGATCGGCCGACATTATCAAAGTTTATCCTTATGTGGTTTCTTCATACAAAATCTAAAGTGTAAGGTAGTTGTCGTTGGGGTGGCTGTTGGACGTCACTTCGAAGGACAGGGTTAGAAGAGGCTCGAAGATTGGCGAGGTGGGGCTCACTGACAGGATCGCTGCAAGGTCCCTCTCTGGACCCTGGTATCTCGAAAGCTTAAACAACAGATGGTGGGAGAAATTGATGACTCACGGCTTTATCGTGATATCTTCTCAAGATGAGGCTCTTCGAGTCTCTTGGTTGGGCAGCCTGGAGTTATCTCTGCAACAGGTTCAGAGTTCACGAATTGGATGGCCAACGATGCGGCGACGTCCAGACAGGAGGCTTGGGAACAGGGGGCTGATATCCATGCCATGCGCCACATGATTGGCTGGGAAATGTGCCCCACATTCAGCTACCACTGACAACGTTCCTTGTGCTCACCACCAGGATCCTCACCCTTGTTTCCTACACATGATGAATAGCTCACGAGTTTTATGATACATATAAAAGAGCCTTGCCATTGAAGCCATCTCAAAAGACGTCCAAAAAACAAGTAGACGGACGTTGGGAGGCTTGAAGAGCATGCTGAGCGTGCATTATGAGGTCACCAGCTGAAACAAAGTAAGACCCACTCTCCCCCTCTCGAGTCTCGAGTCCATTTATCACTAACACATAACTAACCACAGATTGAGGTGGGAGGAGACATTCAAGCATGGGACCAGGATATCTGACCTCCAACGGGCCATCAAATTCAACGGTCCAGAGAGTCCATGCGTAGCTGGTCTACGCTCTCTCTGTTGGAAGGGCTTCCTACTATTCCCGCACGCTCCCGCTGAAGAATGGCCTCAACTTTTGCGCCAACTTCGAGACTCATATGATACCCTGTGCGAACAGCATCTCAAATTTATCAGGCACCCCGAACAACTAGCCGCCCTATCCTTCGATCCCCTTGCAGACGATCCCGACTCTCCTTGGATCACTGGGCGCCAAGATGAAGCCATCCGCGCCGAGATCCAGCAAGATGTTTCGCGGCTTCCCGATGATCCATTCTATCACCAGGAGGTCATTCAGACCATGATTCTGGATATCCTGTTCCTCTACTGCAAACTCAACCCTTCCGCCGGCGGGTACCGTCAGGGAATGCACGAGTTACTTGCGCCAATTGTCTATGTCGTTGCGCAGGACTCGGTGGACGGCAAGCAGTCTTCAGCGGTTGATACTTTCGATCCTACGATAGTGGAATTGTTGGACGCTTCTCAGGTCGAGCATGACTCCTTTGCCTTGTTCTCCAAGGTTATGGACCGTGCTGGCGCTTTTTACGAGGTTGAGCAAAACACCATCGTCGAAAAAAGCAAATACATCCATGAAGTTGCCTTGCTCAAAATTGATGAGGAACTTGCGAACCATTTGCGAGACATTGAAGTTCTGCCGCAAATATTCTTGATGTAAGTGTTTCTATTCCTCACATAGAAATCTCGGACAGTGACCCCATTGACCAGCCTACCTTGTAGACGATGGATACGCCTCCTTTTTGGAAGAGAGTTTCCCTTTGAACAAACCATGATATTATGGGATGCCATCTTTGCCTTTGATCCCAACTTGGAGATGATAGATCTCATATGCGTAGCTATGCTTCTCAGGATTAGATGGACGCGTATGTCAACCTTTTAAGCACGCGTGGCATTGTCATAGCTAACCATACCCTATATCAGTCCTCGAAGCTGAGTACTCGGTGGCACTTCAGCTGCTTCTGAAATATCCAGCCCCTCCACCACCGCACGGCCCTCACACCTTTGTCGACGATGCTTTATATTTGCAGAAACACTTTGATGCCGCGGGCGGTGTCGCACTAATCGCCAAATACAGCGGTAGACTGCCTGCGGCAGCATCAGTGGCATCAACAGCAACCTCGACCCCTGCACGGTCATCCACCCCATCATTTTCAGGCTTTGGTTCACTCCGACAAAGAACTCTCGGTGCCAGGTCACCGTTATCTTCCACGACAAAACTCTTGCAGCAACCGGGTGGTGTGGAGGCTATCCTGCGCGGTGCTGCCAAAAATGTCATTGAGAAAAGCGAAAAACTCGGACTTAACGATGCTGTCCGTGACGCTGTTGGGGAAATACGTCGCAACATGCAAGGCTTTCAAGAGTCTCGAAGTTCGCCCAGAATCAACAGATCACTGTTTCCCGGAAACACTCTGGCTGTTTCCATTTGGGAGCAGAGGAATCGTCAGTTAGCAACCATGTTGGAAGAGTCAATCACGAACCTCAAACAGCTGGTGGCCTCTGACTTTGAGGGCGACAAGCAGAAACAGCTCGAGACAGTGGAACTTGCCACGGCCAAGATCCAGTACGTGAAGGCCTGCTTGGAGGATTCCACGCTGGATTTGCCAGAGGAAGAACCTCCGACGCTGGCAACATTGAGCATTTCCACCCTCCCCGAAATCAGATCGCCGACGGTTGCGTTGGATACCACACCGGTGGTTATGACATCATCCGCCGTTGAAGAAGCCAGAAGTTCACTCTCGTCACCGGCTTCATCGGATAGAAGCAAGCAGCTGTCGTCGGTGCCGGAGGAGCCACATGTTGAACCTGTTGCGGAGGAAATGGTTGATAAGATGGACACCGATCCACCAGAAAGAAAACAAACACCACCGCCACCAGCCCCAGCCCCCGTCCCCAACCCAGAACCGTCGACTTCTGTTGGACAGACCCCTGCAACTAGCCCGACCCCTAAGGAGCGCCCGAAAGGACCAATACCTACACGGTCAACCTTGGCTCAGTCCTCTTTTGCGTGGATGTTGGAGCCAGACACTACAATATCAGCTGCTCGGTCGCCGCCGAGTAGGCCTCTGAGCAGCAGTGGAAAGAAGAAGCACAACCCCAGCCGGGAAAAGAACGCGTTCTTGTTTGGAGAAGTGGTTCCGAGTGATGGAGCGGCAGGGGAAAGGACAGTATCACCAGACGAGATCTTTGGACTGCAGCCGATCAGGAAGGGCTGAGTTTGACAAGGTCGGCTCAACTTCTCTTATAGACTGGTGTACCTAGCAATTTTTAATCTCGACAAGACCCAGCAAAATTCTCGCCGACATGGGGATCCCCTCTCTGTGGCCTTTCTTCCTTTTTAGTTCTCGTCCTTCTCTCCTTACCATGCCGTCCAGGGCAGCGCAGGGAGAGCAGGGAGAGCATTGAGAGCATTGAGAGCAGCGAGAGCAGTGATGGCACTACTACACGACCACAGCTCCCCACGAGGATATACAAATGGCGTGTTCTCCTTTACCACAGCAAGAACTTGGGCGTCCGCGGCAGGATCTTGCGGGGAAAAGGATCCCTGGCTCACCGTCCAGAAGAAGAAGACCTTTCTCGGCCACTGCGGGATGGACGTGTTGGGCGCCAGTGTCGTTTGGAAGTCGCAGATATCCGAAAGCGTGATACCGCTGTCCGGGTGGGGGACGACTCGGCGGGTTTCCCAGATGTACCGACCGGTGTATTTGGTCGGGAGGGTGGTGGTGGTGTGTGTTGATTCTGAGCATGGGCACGGCCAGGTGGTGTCTTCGCTGAAGAAGCAGTATTCGATGGGGGATTTTTGGTAGGCGGCGCCGGGGCCGGTCGTGAGGATTTCGTTTCGGAAGGGGGAGTGTGTTGCCAGCTTCAAGCGAGATGACGTGGGCGGGGAATTCAGATCCTCCTGATAAGCAGATATCGTACCTGAAGTCGTGAAGCTTGTTCCTCGTGTTCTCCATGGTACGAGGCCGCCACCGGATAACTCTAAAAAGCCACTTCCCTCCTATTTAACTCACTGGCCTGTCACCAGGAGGAGTGCTGCTCGTAAGAGTCCCTCCGAATAAAGTCAGGTGAACCGAATGTCCGCATCTATGTCCCGTGCAGGACGACCAAAGGGCTTCCACCCGGGTATCGTCATGCGGAGCTCCTTGAAAGTCTCCATCAACGCCTCATCCAAATCGTCTTCATCAAACTCCCATCTCTTTTCGGCGCGCCATTCATCCCACTTGGCCCACCGTCTCCTGCCGCCATCATGCACGAGCCAAAAGGTCTCAATGTGCCCAAAATCACACTCCATGGCAGGGCTGTGCCAGCCTGCCTCCCAGGAGGACCTATTAAAAGGAGAGTCGACGTCGTCCAGCAAAAGTTCAACCTCCTTGACACTTTTCAGCTTATCAATAAGCTCAAACATGAAGTTCGAGACATATCCCTTCAAGCAGGGAACCGCCAGCCGCCTCGGTATCAACATCGTGGCAATATGATCAACAACGACCGTGTGCAGTGAGTCTTCCAAAACCAATGTGTCGAGCTCCCAGTTAGCCCACGTGTATTTTCTGTGCGAGGAGGATTCTTGACTATCGTCGTGGGGGGTGCAATCCAGGTACATTTTGTGATACACGGGGGGGTGACAAGAGGTTAAGAAGCTTCGTGCCTCGCGGCAGGTGTGCAGCGGTGCTGGAATCGGGGGTGGGCCGACGGCTGTGTCGTAGGTCTTGGAGGCACGGAGGGCGCGCAGTCTGCGGGGGATGGCGGTGAGTTCCCATATCTCCAAACGGATTTCGAAAGGAAGAAGGGGGAAGTGATGAAAGGTTTGGAGGTTGGCGGCTGATTCTGTTGTCATTTTAGATCGCTATCCCACTGCGTATGTGTGGTGATGAAGGGTGAGTACGGGTGGGTTTGGGTTGGAATGGCAGAGAGTTCCATTCTATCTTTTAGGCAGCTGCCTTCGTTGCCTGTCGCCTTGCCAATATCTCATAGGCGGCCCATGACATCATGGAATATACACTACTATCAAGTCTCCGCGGTCTCCAACGGGACGAACGGCCAGTCTTGATAATCTTATCCGGATAAGTCCTCCTCCTCTCCTCCCGCCACTGATCCAGCCACTCATCCCACCTATCCCATCTAACTCTATCGCCGCCATTCTCGGCATCAATCCCCCTCGCAAGCGACGTAAACCTCCCTCAAGTTGTGGAAATACCTGCGCATATGGCGTAAGTATGTACCCGTACGTTGGCTGGGGTTCAAGCCCCGCCCCTTCAACATCGTCCTCCCAGCCAAATGTCAACCTCAGCGTCTTGAACCGCAGACGATAGGGGATGAATCTCTTGAGGTCAGATTTGCCTATTGAGAAGCTGTCAAGCTCCCAGCTTACCCACATATACTGATCGTAATCCACGTGACGGCCCCAACCGTGCACCTGTCCGGGACTCTCTGTTTCACGAGGGAGACATGCCGAAAACTCTCGCTGATACACGGGATGTGACCCCCGAGTGAGGGCATTGCGGGCTTCGCTGCAGGTGTGAAGGGGGGCCGGGATGGGGGTCAGGCCGGTGATGAGGGCTGGGTACCACGGTCAGGGGTCCTCGCTGTTGGGTTGGGCGTCGGGGTTGTTTTTGTTTATGATGCGGACTTCCACTGTGCGAGGGGAGGCGGTAAAACGCCAGATCTCGGCGCCGAGTTCGAAGGGAAGATGGGGAAACAGGTGGAAGGTGGTGGTGGTGGTGGGGTTTGGTGATGGGTGTGTAGGTGGTGTAATAATATCCTTGGTGAATGTAGGGGCGATGTTTCCGAGTGCCTAGGTGCCCCTCAGTTCACGATACGACACTAATGTCTTGCTTATCATTTGATCCCTTACAGTAGCGACTACCTGGCTATCCACCTGTTTCCCTCTGTCTGGAATACGACCAGGACTTCACGGCGCCCAGTCCTCATCAACCATTACTCCCACCACTCTTTGATGCCCTCATCGTTATCTCCATGTTCACGTCATTGATATCAGGCATGCTGTACCCCTTGGCTCTCAAATCCAGCAGGCTAATTTCCTCAACTTTCGCCCACTGACTCGGGGGCCACGTGGTATGGCGTACCACCGCATTTTCGGCGCCGCAAGGCCATAAGGGATCGTAGCACGCAGGCGCCAACCTAAACTCACTCGCTTCGTAGCAGGTGATGCAGATCGTTTTCACCTTCTCGAAAGCACTTAGTTTCCAAAGGTATTTGATTTCAGCTGCGCACATTGGACCACCCAGTATTGAAAACTGGAGATGCTTCACAAGGGGTGCGAAGGAGGCATAACTGGGAAATCCGCAATCAAAACCACTGTTCCACCTCAACTCCCTGGTGTCGAGGGTGTCGATCTCCCAATTGATCCACACATAGCGGCGCTGCCCAGTATCTCCTTCGAACTGGTTAACGGGGGCGAGTTCAGAGCCAGCCGTTGTATAGCCGGCCCTCATCAGCTCCCCGCGGGACTCGCGGCACACTTGCAAGACCGGAGGGGTCGGAGTTGGGGTGAGGAGGGTGAGTGAGATACGGAGTTGCATCGGCGGGGGTTCGCGTCGATAGGGGCTTGGACGGGCTGGACGACGAGACCAGAACTTGCCGCAGACTTCGAGGTAAACGGTGCGAGGCTGGATGGTCAGACGCCAGATGTGAGCGCAGAGTTCGGCGGGGAGGCGAGAAAAGTAATGGAATTCCGGCTCCGGTTGGTGTTTCTTCGGTCTCCCCAGTTTCTTCCGGTTGTTCGCGTTCTTCTCCTGGTTTCTACCCCTTTTTCTTTTGGCTGTTGTATCGGTTTGAAAAGAGAGGGCTGTTGATTGTTGCAAGGCAAAGTGTGTAAGGACACAGGATGGACCAAGATACCTTGACTGTGGTTGCCCACAGAAGGCAGCAGCGAAGCTCTCCACGTGCCCCAGGTCCACCTGTATCTCCGAAAAAGGAGGAAATACTCCAGACATAAGAATGATCAGCCAAGCACTCAAGTGCTGGAAGATGAAAGGCGGAAGGTGAAAAAGCTATACAACAAGAGGGAAAGAGCAATCAATGATACGAGCGGCTTCCAAAAGACGACATTGTGAGGTGTATTTTGTGGGGGAAGGAGCGAGAAGTGAACAAGATTAAGGGAAGGAGCCTCCAAGTCAGCAAAACTCAGGGGAAGGAGCGATAGAGGTAGAAAATGTGATGGGAAAGAGCGAAAAATAGGTCTCATCATGGAACCATAAAAACCGTCTATACCAGCGCTCCGGACATCAGAGCTGCATGAACATGCAACGCGGGGAACGGGACGGCTGATAGAAGAAAACCTCTTGACTTCTGTGGTCGAGGTTCCTGAGATTTTCTGGCGGCTAAAGTCTTCCCCGAATACACGCATCTCGTAGAAAGAAAGCAGACTGCCGGGATGTCTGTACGTGGACGGCCGCGTCATGTCGATCAGGTCTTGTTTGTTCATGTGAGGCTTTTGAAAGTGAAAGACCCTAATCTCATTCTTCTTCTCTAGTCCTCCTTTTGCAGGCATTTACTCACGCCATGATCTTGTAGCTTTGACCATGAAACTCAACCCACAAAGCATCATGCCAGCAGTATAACCCACCACCAAACCATCCAACCAAAATGTTGCCCTCCTCACCATCCCTCCTCCTCCTCCTCCTCCTCCTCACAGCTCTCCTCCTCCTCCTCCCCCTAACCACCGCCCAAACCACCACCCCTCCGACCCCTACAGCCCCCCCAACCCCAACCGTCACCAAAATCATCTCCCTCTTCTACCTCAACGACCGCGCCCACGACGACTTCCCCCGGCCCTACACCCCCACCCCGCACGCCATCCCCGGCCGTGTAATCGCCACCGACTCCCTCCTCAACTTAACAACCTACATCGTAACCAAAACCCAATCCTTCCCTGGCCGGCGTCGCCCCCCCTTTGGAAATAACCCACCCCCCTGGGCCAAAACCCTCACCTCACCCCCTTCATCCCTCCCAACACCATGGTGGCGCCCAAATTTTGGTGACAGGAACGGCACAGGCCAGCCGATTACCATCACCCAGGGCCCCTCAACATTCATGTTTACTGGTTCGAGGGGATGGGAAAAGGGGCAGAGTGTGGTTAATCGGTGTAGTTTGGGTGGGACGACAGAGGCGGTTTGTAATTTGACGCATGTGGGGAGCGCGTGGTATACGGGGGATAGGGAGTGGGAAGGGGAGTATTCGACTTATAGTTATACGTGGACGGAGGGGGATAGGTTTGGGTTTGTGGGGGTTACTGTTACTGCTGGGGGGGAGATGTTGAGTGAAGAGAATGGGGGTGATGATGGGGTGGGGACGACGGGGAAGGAGGATGGCGTGAGGTCTGCTAATGGGGGGGTTGGCAGGAGGGGGGTGAATGGGGGGGTGATGATGGGGTGGGTGGTTTGGGTGGTGATGGGGTTGTTAGGGGGGTTATGATAGGGAATGGATTTAGAACAAAAAGAAACGAGGGTTGGCAAAAGTTGATTGTATTTGGAGTAAAGTATGTGTGTTGTTGAGATGAAGACTGAGGTATTGTTTCGAAGGGAATTGTATAGGCAAACTGGCTGACATGGTTGTTTATTTTACGTTGTAAACAAAAGTCCTCAAAACCCTCACTACCGTTGAAAGCCGCTATGAACGACAAGAAGCTGTGGGAAAAGCCCTTTGTCTGTTGACGACAGTCCCTTCCTCAATCCTGTTCCTTGTGTGTGGCCTCATCCGACTGGGAACTCGCAATTGACCGTATTTCCCAGATCTGCACCCGCAGGTTCCGATCCTCCATCACCTTCTCCAACCCCAGCGTCTTCCCCCTCCCCTTCAAAACCCTACACAGGTCCGTATCCTTCCGAATCTTATCAAATACCGTCAAAATCTTCCCCGCATACGCAGGAGGAAACCTCATTCCCAATCCCGTCTCACCTCCGTCCCAAACCTCCAATACTCATCCTCCGCCGAAATAACATGAAGCTTATCTCGAATTCCCCCCAAAAATTCCAATAGTCATCCACCTCCCGAATAATATGAAAGCTCGTCGAGATTAGCAAACCTCTGCCCTCCGAGGAATATCTTGTCCCATTTAAACTTCAACTTCTGCACAAACCTCTCATACGGCAACACCGCCCGCTCAAACGCGCGCTTGTCGTCCCCGACGGAGATGATGCCCCTCTCCCAGTTAACCCAGATATACCTCTGCTCCAGCGGCCAAGGCTTCCACTCCGGCTCCAACGCCGGTAATCCCAGCTCGACCCGCTTCTCCCTCTCTTCCTTCTCCAGCCTGAGCTGCGTTTGAGACTTGAGACGTTGTTCGTCCTTGCCGGGCCTACCGAATCGGCCCCGATGAGGAGGTAGAGGTATCAAGCGAAATAGCCCCACTTATACTGGCTAAAGACACGGTGCTTATAATAAGTTTTAATTCATTTTGCCTACCCATTTTATTACCCGCAAAGTTCATGATATACATTTGTCCAGACCCCAAATCCAGACAGATCCTCTAAATAGAAAGCTGAGCAGTAGAAGCCTTATCCAGCGACTCCTTGTAGTTAGCCAACTTGGCGGCGACCTCGCCGTTGCAGTAATCCTCGACAATCTTGGGGCAGTTGCCGATAAACAGCTTGGGGTCGACAAGGCTGTCGATATCGCCCCAGACGGGACGGAAGAACTCGGTCTTCTTGATGCGCTCGAGAAGGTCGTTGCGGCCGCCCTGCTGCTTGACGACATCGGAAGCCTGGTGGGAGAGGACACGGACCTCCTCGTGGGCCTCCTGTCTGGAAACACCGTGGGTGGCGAGCTTCATGAGGATGGACTCGGTGGCCATGAAGGGGAGCTCCTGGTCGATGCGGGAGCGGATGACGCTTGGGTAGAGGACAATGCCGTTGGTAACATTGTCCAAGGCAAGGAGGATAGAGTCGGCAAGGAGGAACTGTCAAAGTTAGCCATGGTAACCAAGATGCACCGAACCCAAAACATACCATCTCGGGGATATCCATGCGGCGGATGGCGCTGTCATCAAGAGTTCTCTCAAACCACTGAGTTTCAAAAGTGGCAGTAAAGTCGGCAGGCAGACGGGCCAGCTTGCGGCCAAGAGCAGTGATACGCTCCGATCTCATGGGGTTTCTCTTGTAAGCCATGGCGGAGCTGCCAATCTGGCTCTTCTCAAAAGGCTCCTCCATCTCCTTCAGGTTGGCCAAATGTCTGATGTCGGAGCAGATGCGCTGGGCAGTAGCCCCAAGAGCGCAGACAGCGTTGGCGACTCTGAGATCGACCTTGCGGGTGTAGGTTTGGGTGGAGATGGGGTAGGCAGAAGGGAAGCCAGCCTTCTTGCAGAGGATCTCGTTGAGTTGGACAATCTTGTCGGCGTTGCCCTCGAAGAGCTCCAAGAAGGTAGCCTGGGAACCGGTGGTGCCCTGGGCGCCACGGAACTGAAGTCTGTCACGGACAGTCTCGATGTCCTCGAGGTCCATCATCAGCTCCTGGATCCACTGGGCAGCACGCTTGCCAACGGTGATGAGCTGGGCCTGTTTGTGGTGTCAGTTACAGCCCAGTTTTGATCCCTTTAGAGAATACTGACAGGCTGGTAGTGAGTGAAACCGAGGGTAGGCAAGTCCTTGTACTTGAGGGCAAACACCTGCAAGTTCTGGATAACCTTGGCGAGCTTGGGAAGAATGAGGTCCAAAGCCTTCTTCTGGAAGATGAGATCGGCATTGTCGGTCACTGTTGATGTTAGTTCCCTTTTTCACTCTTCTTCTCTTTGCCAGTCCTCCAAAACTATTCCATCTCCCCAACCACATCCACCCCCAACCGAAAGAGCAAAAATCAAAACTCACCATAACAACTCGTAGCCCCCAAATGGATATGTCCAGCAGCCTTTGGCGCATCCTATACCTCCCCCCATTAACATCATCCCCCTTTCCCCTCCCCCCTTCCCCTCTCGAGTTACTCACCTCACCATAAGCATGCACATGCGCCATCACATCATGCCTAAACTTGGCCTCATACTCCCTCGCCTTGTCAAACGCCTCATCGCTCACCCTCACATTTTCCCTCATCTCCTGGATCGCATCCTCGGGGATCGGCAAGCCCAGCTCCCTCTCCGCCTCGGCAAGCCAAACCCAGAGCTGGCGCCAGGTTGACGCGCGCTCCCGGGCAGAGAAGATGGTCATCATCTCTTGGGAGGCGTAGCGGGTGCTGAGGGGGGTCTTGAAAGTTTGCGTTAGTACATCATGTCATGGCAGGAATGAGAGAGTTGGGAGGGGAGAACATACGACATATTTATCGTAGCTGGACATTTTGGCGGTTGGTGTCTTTCTCTTCTTCTCACTTCTAAAGATTGATAATGAGAAAATAAGACGATATGAGAATGAGGCTCAAAAAGATAATAAAAGCTCAGCTCATACACAAGAAGAAAAAAAAAAGGAGGGGCACTCTCTCGGAACTTTTTTTTCCTAGCTACCAAGCAGCTGCGGTAAATCGCGGGGGAGGGGCAGAGGCAGCGTCACCGGCAACTGCTCCAGCTAGTCTGTGGGGTCCACTACTTGCAAATGTCATGTCCCCCCGCTGTCGGCCACCCCACATTGAAGCTTGTCTGACAGCCATGAAAGCTTCCGTGGGGGTGGACATGGTGATTGATCGCCATTTGATAATTTAACCTCAGATCAACATCATGTCATTCATGCCTCTTCACACCGCAACCATTGGCCAATCAATCCTCACAATGAACAGTTCGGCTTCTCAGGCTACCTTCATCCCTGATAGAATTTTTCTTCATCTTTTCTTATAGAACTCCTCACACCGTCGTAAGACTCTTCCCTCTCTCTACCCCCCGACATATACATTTGCAAATAAATAAATACGAAACAAAATAACCGAACTCCCCCCCTTCCGCGAAATCCCGCTCACACACACAAAGCCAAATATCCTCCCCCACTATCATCACACCTCATTAACTTTCCCCTGTCATATCAATACACTACCACCGCTCCGTTCGGTCTATTCTTGATCATCTCTCACAAGACCGGCCTCTCAACTCCAAAACCCATCCATCTCAAACCCAAAATCCCCTCCCCACATCCCCGGGTTCCAATCATAATCCATCGCCCCCCCATCCCAGCTATCCGTCCCCAGATCCTGACTTATCTCCTGCACCAGCGTCGCCGTCGCATCCGCCAGCGTCATCGGCGCCTTCTCATACAGCTCCGCCAGCTGCGCCGTCGTTTCCGCAAGTTGCGCCGTCGACTGTCCATCCTGAAGATCTTGATCCTGTGTAGATAATTCCGTTAGCCACCACTGAACCGAAAAGCGAAAGAAAAGGAAAACTCACAAAAGCCTTCTTCAACTCTCTAATCTTCCTTGCCAACTGCGCAAACGGATCCTCCCTCTCCCTCTCCTGCCCCTGCTGCGACCCCCCCATTCCACTCCCCCCACCACCCACCACCCCCTGAGGCGTCCTGTAAACATCACTCGGACTGTTGTAGTTGCTCGCCCCCGTCATCGTCCTGCTCCTCTTCTTCCTCCGTCCGGCAGTGTGCTCCATGTCCTTGATATGTCTCTCCAAGTACCCATCAAATTCTCTTCGTACTGTCCTCACGTCCCACCCTGGCAGTGACAAAGTCATGAGCTTGAGCATCCTGACAAACACATAGGTGAGATCAAACGAGGACATGGAGATGAACCTGGGATAGTCAGACTGATCCGATGCCGTGCGGGCGTGCATGTACTCCTTGACCAGGCGGACGCATTTCATAAGGATGTCGAGGCGGTCCTGCAGGGGGATGACAGAGGCAGGGCGGCTGTTGCTCGAGTGCGAAGAGGGCGTGTCGTTTCCGAGACCGTTGGAGGGGGATGTCTTGAAGCTGGGGTCTTCGTCTTCTGGCAGGGAGGATGCAGTGACTGATGAGCCGCCTATGCTGCCGCTAGTTTTCAAAAAGCCTTCGTAGATGAGGAGTTCAGCGACTATAAAGTGGCCCTTCATCGAGACTGTTGAACCGGTTAGCAAGCATTGCCTCGTGCGAAGGGAGCAAACGGAAACTTACAATTCTCCATGATCCGCTTCGGCACCTTCTTCTTCTCCCCATGCAGAAACAGCCTCAGGTTTTCCACCACCTGATTCCACGGCCTGCGCTCCTTCAAAGGCTTCTTGTACCAGTTGGCCAGGTTCATCGAAATGTGCTGAGACACCCGCTGCACCCTGACCAAATGAACCACCAGCTCATCATCAGGCGAGCTCTTTTCCGTAATCAGCACCTTGCAGCACCTCATCAGATACGGCGAGGGCATGAGCTGGTCCGGGCAGTGACTTGTGGTGAAGGCTCTTTGGTCTTTGTCAGTCTTCATCCAACAACAAGACTTGCCAAAGAAAAAAAACCAACTTACACAGTAACCAAATAATACGTCCCCGCAAACGCCCTCATTCTCTCCAATGCCTCCTCCGACCTGGGCTGCCCTCCCAGACCCGCAATGGCATTCTTCTGCTCTTGAGCATCCAAAACCTCAAACTTCAAACTCGCCGTAAAGCTCCGAATCAAAAACAGCAGGTTCGTCGTCTTGGCCGCCACCAAATTGTAATGATACCACGCCAGCAGCACCTGCGCCCCCTGAAGCAAGTCCAGCCCCGCCCCCAGCGACGGCTGGCCCTTTTGGCTGCTCTGCTGAAAGGCTGCCACGCTGATGTCTCTCAGCAGCTGGTCCCCCAGTGCCATTTGTCTCCTTCCATCGTGATGGCACGCTTCAACCATGACCCCTTTCCAGAAAAAGGGGCGTTGTTCCTTCATTTGATGGGCACTCAGGTTTGGTGGGACTAAGGCAAAGGGGTAGAGATGCTGCATGTGGGAGCGGTACTCCTGAAGCAAATCTTCGGCTTCTTGGCCTTCAGGCCAGATCGAGTCTGAAGCATTGGAGGATGTCATTGGCGAGGGGTGAGAAGGCGGAGAGGCAGAGGTCATCATGGCGTCTGGCATGACAGAACCTGCCGCTGATACGGCCAGGCCGCCCAGGGTTTGCTGGTGCTGAGGGTGATGCTGGTGTTGATGATGATGATGATGACCATACTGAGGTGTTTGGTGGTTGCTAAGAATAGGTGAAAACTTGAGCTCGCTCGGTGGCAAGAGGGCCTCGAATGGCTCGCCGTTCCATGGTGCTTGCGTGAAATGGTGGTTCGTGACAGAGATCTTGGGGCCACTGCTGGTGCTGTGATGATAGTCTGGTGAGATGGCTGGGAGGGGTTGCTGGCCATCAAGTTCAGAGCCTCCGAGAGAGGAGTGATGGTGGTTCTCGAGCCCTTCACCGGTGCTGGCGCTGCCTGGTGTTTCAGACTTTCCTGAGCTCCCTCCGGCACCGGCACGACCGCCTCCGGCCGCTATCTGCTCTGTGAGGGCCTCGAGACGTCTTTCAAGCTCGGCCACGCGGGTTAACTTGCGGTCCTTTCGCCGTCGGCGAGGCGGAGCCGGAATCTGTTTGGTGCATTTCTTCTTCAGACGTTCGCATCTGTATAGCGGTGAAGCGGTGGTGAGTCAGTTGACGCACAGAATGTGAGATCAAGATCTACCGGACTGAGATCGGCATTGACAGCGGAGATGAGCATGAAGTGAAATATGCTTAAGGTGATGACAGCAGCAACACAGCAGACAGCCTGATCTCGTCCATCGATCTCAACCGCCCGATTTTGCTGCCCGCACCCGTGCCCGGTCTGGACTTTGGTATATGGCAAAGCGCGGCGGTGAAGAAGAATGAGAGGTGTCAGAAAAAAAGATGTCTGGGAAAGACAGCCGGCCGTGGAACCAGAACAGTGCCCAAGATGAGAGACAGAAAAAAACAAGAAAATATTAATTAAAACAGATCGACAAACATACCGTTCACACTTTCCCAACGGGCCAGAACCAGGCTCACACTTGCATTTTGCAAGCGCACAGGTCCCGCATGCCCTCGGGCCCTTGGTGGGCTTCTTGGAGGAGCCATCACCGCCGCTATCCTCTACAGACTCCATGGCGGCCTGGCACGAGAGTTCGGGTACCGGCACCTTCTCTCTCTCTTCCTTTCCTCAAGAGAAGCGTACTTCTTCCTCTCTTGTTCCCGTCTATCTGCTCCCTTAATGTCGTGCTGCCAAAGGGAGCAGAGTACGAGGCGGTCACAGCAGGGCCAGCCACGGCCGCTTGCTTGCCGCTCCGCAGGCTCGGTGACAGAACTCGCCCACCGCAGAACAAGGTTCCGCGATCTGCAAGTTGAGCTGCCGCGCTCTGCTGCTGCTTTGTTTTCCTGGGAATGCCCCCGGGGCCGGAAGCCAAAAGATCGGAAGGGAGATCAAGAGGTACAAGAAGCGGGGACGGAGCCCAGGAGGCCTTGACACGGAGACGGAAACACGGGGTTGGGTTGGTGTAAGTGGAAGGCTGTCCTCCAAAAGAGCAGGTTGCGTTGAACGTATAGGTTTGATGGAATCCGGGGATAAGATTTGAATGTTATGCAAAATGCAATCGGGAACCGATTTGGAGGGGCGTGTGGTGTCTTAAAACCGTTGACGAGAAAGAAGCTCTCTCCCGCTCCCCCCCGCCGCTGAAGAACGTGGTGATAAAGAAGGAAGATGCGGCCTTCCTTTTCCCCAGAAAAGAAGTAAAACGCCAACCGCCAAAAAAGAAGTGACAAAGGGGTGTGCTGTGTCGGAGAAACCTCGCTTGATACTGACTGATGATATGGTTCCAAATCTGAGGATGATCAGTCAATTGAGAAAAAGATGCCAATGATCGAGCAGCAAGAGGATGATGAGGAGGGGGACCCGAGCAAACGGGGTGGGTAACTAACAGGTGGGAGGGACGAAGGTGACTTCGGGACGCGGACGTAAGACTGGAACATATGCAATGCTGTGTTCGTGGGACGCGAGTAACAACCCATCCTTCCTATAAGATCAGGCTGTACATCTCGCCCAGTTCTCGCATTTTGCTTCCTAGAGGTGCTTCCTCTCTTTCACTATCCCACAGCTCCAAAAGAACCAACCGCCTTGCTGTCGTCATCCTTCTCTCTCTGGCCACCCTTCTCGAGGCAGCCAAGACATCTCTCCCCCGAAACTCAAACGCCCTCTTCCCCACCCACTACTCATTTATCTGATGGCTCGTCCAGTGTGAGGTCGTACACAAAACATCTCTCGTCTAATCGAAGGATGCCTAGAATGTCACTGCCCTCTCCATGTCTCGCCCGGTCCCATCCTTCGACTAGCCTGAAACAAAAGGGTTCACCGACGAACATCTTCTTCAACCAGAAACAGAATCTGCCGGTTCCCTCGGTGCCCTCGGCAAAGGACCACAGTATGCCACAAGTCTTCGAGAATAAAAACAAGAAGCCCCCAACGTTTCATTAAACCACAAAGTGTACGAAGATCTGGGTAGGAGTCGGGAAATTCCGTCGGTGTGAACACTCATCCAAGTCCTCCGACTCCGTTCGTACATATCCCACCCTCTTTTTGTCGCCGTTGGTTGGTCAGTCTCCCTCCCACAACGACCAGCGGCTGAAGCGGGCAGGCGGGCCCGGATCCGAAGCACCACTCACGGAACAAAGGCGTGATCCTCCTCAAGCACATTACTGGCGCATATTCGAAGGAGGGCGTTATCCTCAGAGCTAAGAGCACTAAAAGGCGGGCGGGCGGCAGTGGCTTGAAGCATAAGCAGCAGCTAACAAGAGCTGTGCCATTTGAGAAAGATCCCGCCCAAGGCTTGGCACCGGCTGCCTTCGTTTTGAGCATCTCACTCAGCAATTCTTTCTCTTTGCATGCAGCTGCTCTGCCTGTGTTGGTCTTATCAACGACTTACACAGTTACACGGCTCGACGTCCGCCTCGCCCACCTCGCCTAACCCGCCAACGATCTACGGGCACAGCTCAGACACCTTGCAGCTTGCTTGCCTTGTCCTACCACAACATCACCAACTTTGGTTCGCTGTGTGATCCTCGTGCGTGCCGCGAAAAAGAAAGGTCGAGACCGCCGGGGATGTTACCGTGCCTTTTGAACCACCATCAGAAGCTCGGGACAACAACACCAACAACAAGAAGAAGAAGAAGAAGAACAACAACAACACCGGCCTCTCTTCATAGTTCTCTTAACATCTACCCATCCAGAGGTCAGTATCAGCTTCCATATCTCATCCAGTCAGACCAGCCAGACCACTCCCTATCAGGTAGCATCCATCCACCCACCTGTCCATGTCGTGTTCCCCCCCGTCTGACAAATAAATTTGGACGGGCCACACACGCGAGGGCGATCCTCGGCGGGTATCTATCGAGATAATGCACCGTCTCAAAATCCTTCGTCGACAAGATTGGCAACCGAAATCCCACTCTACTACACCGGGTGGTAAAGCTTCCCAGACTAGAACTAGATGACAAAAACAAACAAACCTACATCAAATGAACCCAACACACTGGAGTTGGGTTATTTAGCTACCAAGCAAGCCCACGTAGAGAGCTCATCATCAAGCGTTCAAACCGAATACGTGAACTTTGAAGCAAACATAAAAGCGAATACGCGAACTTCTCCCAGACGACGTGGCTACTGTCTTGACCATTCAGAACATAACATTCTCATAAACTCGCCTCCCAACCCCCCCTCGGCGAAAAGATCCATCCCTCTTACCACATACACAAGCCGCATCTCGTAGTATCCGGAATCCCCGGGTGCACCCGTCAAAGGGACCCTCCCCCAACACCAGTTAGGAAGAGGCTAGGGCTTCCCGCACGTACTACATTCCGGTATATTGCTTACCACACCTCTCTTTCTGCATAGTATCAAGTTCATGGTACCACCCTATCTTTCCTCCCGTTGACATGGCCTGCTTTACTCCAAAACTCATCAACCAGACAGCACTCGTTTCTTTTTGGAAATTTACACAGAGAAATATTATCACATTCACCTCACTCATACATCGAAAAAGGAACCATCAAAAGTAATGTAAACAGCCAGGCATGTAGCCAGCCAACAAAGACAGGGAGAAATTTCCCCATCATTCGTCATATTTATAAGTTAAAACCACTGCTTTCCTCCTCCTACCCATTTCATAGTAAGGTATGTATCGGATAGGTAGATAGCAGCCAAGGTAAGCCTCTCGCCTAACGTAACTCCCCTTAGGAGGAAAAGACCAATCGAAAGAGCGACGAAGCAAAAAGACACAAATATGCAAGCCAGTAGGGCAAGAGATTGTTCCCCACTTATAAGATCAAGACGACGACGATAACAACAACAACAACAACAACAACAACAACAACAACAACAACAACAACAACAACAAAACCACCACACGTCGCTTTTCGCTCAAAAAGAACGTGTTTCAATGGTTTATCTCCGGTCCGGTGAGCCCCCCAAGAGCAAACGGTGGTGTTTAGGACAAGAAGAGAAGTTTTGAAATTTCGTGTATACACACACACACAAAACAATCAAGGTCACACATCAACAGGACAGACCAACTTGCCTAAATCCCAAGATTTAAGCAGCTGCGCTCGCCGTCTGCAACCCCTCCATCTCCCTTTCCAGCAACCGCTCCGTCAGCCCACCCCGAGTCGTCGTCGCCTTGGCCTCCTGCTCAATCGTCCTCGCCGCCTCGGCAATACCAAGCTGCTCGTCCGTCCACAGCGGCTCCTCGGCCGCCGCGTTCGGCTCCCCAACCCCGATGAACCCCCCCTCGGCAGCCCACTCGCTCGTCCGCTTGATGCCGAGCTCCTCCCAGATCGTCTGGATGGCCCCGACGAGGTGGTCGCGGTACTCCTTGGTGTGGCCGGGGGTGGGCGTAATCCGCAGACGCTCCTGACCGACAGGAACGGTGGGGTAGTTGATGCTCTGGACGTAAATCTGGTGGTCCTGCAGGAGCTTGTCACTCGCCTGCTTGGCCAGCTCGGCGTTGCCGACCAGGATGGGGATGATGTGGCTCGGGTTGGGAATCACAGGGATGTCCCTCTCCCCGAGGGCCTCCTTGACAGCCCGGGTGTGTAGTTGTTGCAAACGGCGGTCGCCGTTGTAGTTCATCTGATACTCAATCGCCGCCCGAGCACCAGCCATGACAGCAGGTGGCAAAGAGGTGGTAAAGATGAACCCGGGCGCAAGAGAGCGCACTGTGTCGACCAGCTTGGCGCTGCCGGCGATGTACCCGCCAACGCAGCCGTAAGCCTTACCCAGAGTACCGGTGATGATGTCAATACGCTCCATAATGGTGCCGCGAGGCTTGCCCTGCGCGTGCGCCTCAAAGTCGAGGTGCTCCGCTACACCAGCGCCGTGTGGCCCGTACATGCCCACCGCGTGCACCTCGTCGAGGAAAGTAATGGCGCCGTACTTCTCAGCCAGGTCGCAAATCTCCTCAATGGGGCCAATGGATCCGCACATGCTGTAGACGGACTCAAAGGCGATGATCTTGGGGACGTGCAGCGGCAGCGCCGCGAGCTTCTCCTCCAGATCCTTTACGTCGTTGTGCTTAAAGATGACCTTCTTGGTCCCAGAGTGACGGATACCCTGGATCATCGAGGCGTGGTTCAGGCTGTCTGACAAGATGACACAGTCTGGCATCTTGCTCCCCAGCGTCGCGAGCGTGGCATCGTTGGCCACGTAGCACGAGCTGAAGACCAGCGCTGCTTCCTGAGCGTGCAGCTTGGCGATCGTTGCCTCCAATTCCACCGCGTGCCTGTTGTGTCCGGAAATATTTCTCGTACCACCGGCGCCAGCACCGTACTCGTCCAAGGTCTCGTGCATCGCCTTCAAAACGTGGGGGTTGCGGCCCATGCCGAGGTAGTCGTTGGCGCACCAGACAGTAACCTTTTCCTCCCTGGTTGACATGTGGGCGCGGGGAAACTCCTTTGCGAGACGGTTGATGTTGTTGAAATAGCGATACGACTTGTCCTTGTGCTTCTTCTCAAGCTCATTGTTGTAGAAGCCCTCGTAATCGAACTTGGTGCCATTGTGCGTCACCGGCGCGGCGGTGCGGGTAGCAGTCAAGGGGTTGGCAGCGGCTTGCGCTTTGGTTGGGATTCTAGGAGGAAGCGGGACTGGATACCAGGAAATGCCATGTCAGCGCCAGTTCTTCGCCACGTGTAACTCCTCCAGAGTGCGAATCAATCCTTACCCTTCTCGCGGCCATTGAAAATGGCGCCCTCGACAGCCTGCGCCTCCTGAGCACTGCTCGTGTGAATCTTTGCCTTGCTCGTCTTTCCGTGGGCAGAGACAGTCGACATGGCCCGGCCAGCAACACCGGGAATGCCGGCATGACCAATGCGAGCCGACTGGACAGCCATAGCCTTGCCCATGACGGGGCAGCGACGGGCGAGGGTCTGCAGCTTGGAGATGGTGCCACCGCACGGCGAGGCGGCCGGGCGGGCAGCCGTCGTCATGGCGCGGAGGCCGGCGGCGGTGGCCTTCTTCATGAAGGGGCACATGGCCTTGGACTGGCGCAAAACGGAGTCCATCGTCGTCGCTTATGGCGGCTTGTCTTGATCCGAGTTTCGTTCTCGCGCGAAGAGAAAGTGAGGGTGTTTGCTTTTTGCCTCTGCGCGCGCAGAGCTGGGCTTATGACGAAGGGTTTGTGTTGATTTATTGTACTTTTTTTGGAGGGGCAAAAAAAAGCAAGACACAAAAAAAGAGTAGGCTGTTGAAGAGCCGAGGGTGATATTTGCGCGCGTAAAGCAGCAAGAACCGGAGAAACAACAGCGACTTCCCACACAATCAAAACCCGCAGCGAAAACACAGGCGAGATCAAATATTGTGGTTTGTCAGAAAGGGGGGGAAGAAGGAGGGAAAAAAGGAGAAGGGTCCGAGCAGTGGAGGAGAACAGAAGGACCTGGACTCGCTCTCAATTCAACAAACCCTCCGCCGCCGCCGCCATCTTTTCCCTGACGGTCCACACCGGGTGGGTTCGACCTCTGTTGGACTCGGAGTTTCGGTGTCTGCCCGTTTTGCTCTGCTTCAATGAGACGCTGTGCATTTTGCCCTTGGGGACAATCCGCCCATCCTGATTGGGCATCTCCTCGGTGCTTACCCCCGCCGTCGGCATGTCACCGCAACTTGTCGCGTAGCGGTATGTTCCAGCGGCCCCGCGGTACCGGAGACCTTCAGCCTTTTCCCGGCCTTCTCGAACCACTGTCATCATTCACAACAGCTTGATCTCATCGACATTTATTATACATAAGTAACATAAAGCAAGACCTTGCTCACTCAGCACAACCACACGGTGAGGAATTGGCAAAAGACAAGAAGAATAGATATGGAACATGTTAAGCACTGCCATGTCACATGATTGTTCCCACTGCAACAGCTACGCTCTTTGTATAAAACACCTCGATCGTATTTTCATGGCTACGCATTGTACACAGTTGCAACATCTCCCCCATGCTGACCTCCCCGCACCCACTGACCCATAGGCCACATTTGTGCCCTTCTATTTACATCTAATACCACATGTCCCATAACCCCAAAGCCACCCTAACTACCAACGCGAACCCAAACGTAAATATGTACCATTGATCCCCCTATACCCTTTCCCACGCCGTTCCAAATGATTGCCCCCCCAAACCTTGCTGCAAGATGAGTCATTAGATAGACGATGGCCATTATCGTTTCCCTACCCTGAATACCGCTCAGCTCCATCATCAAGCCCCCGCCACCCCAACTAAACCACCCTCTTCCCCAAACGCCGATGCAAATCGTCAATGTGGGTAAAGCAGCCCAAGGGTATCATCTCGAAAAGGAAATAGAGGTTGAAGATGATGAAAAAACAAAGGCAAACCGCGAAATGTGAGGGGGACCATCGATCGACTGCTGAATTTGGGGCGTAATTCGGTTAGCTCAGTCAATTAAAAACGGCGAGGCGGCTGAATCTCCGGGTCGGACAGGCTGCTGCCGTCCTCCCGGCCCCGGTCCAATGTTGGGGGTTTTAGGCCCCTTCGGATGTCGTGGCCGTTTAGGCATCGATCCTGACGCCTTCTCCTTGTCCTTCTTCACCTTGTCCTTCTTCACCTTGGTGACTCGACTTTCGTCCTTCACCTTCGACGACGGTCGCGGCTTTTGCTGTGCTACTGTTGCTGCTTGCTGCAGTTAATGATTTGCGTGTCAGCTGATGTTGCTTGATGATCTTGAGAAGAAAATGAAACTTGTTGAAATTGGGTGGTGTCGGGCCATACGTTATTGCGGACGACTTGGGAGCCCCAGACTTCGCGCTTGAAGTCGTCCTCGGCCAAGCCATTGAGCCGGGTAACCATAGTTTGCAAGTCCCGCCGCTCCCGAGTGGCCAGCTGGTCAGGTTGAATGTAGCCCGAAAGCATGGCTTCTGCAAAACGTGCATGTAACCTGCAGCACTTTTGTAGGTATTGCCACTTGTCTCTAGCAGGGAAGGTCTTATAGCTGAACCCTTTCTCCTGCAGTGCTTGTTCAACGCCTTGCATAACGGCATCTGGCGTAAAAATAACCTCTCTCCCTTCCTCACAAAGCGCTTGATAGATCCGTCGTAGGTCTGGAAGGTCGGGCCTCGCTGAATCAGTGACTGACGCCGAAGCCCCCGGGAGGGGGATGATCAACGATGGGGTGGTTGACTGAGGTTGTTGACTCCCAGAGACATGAGCATGTGACAGAGCCTTCTGAGACATGGGAGACGGCGCTTTATTAGGAGGCGCCAGAGCAGAAGCAGCTGGTTTTTGAGCCGGAGTAGGAGGAGTGTTACGAGGAGCTGGATGAGGAGGAGCCGGATTAGAAGCAGCTAAGGTTTCGACTGGCTGAGTGCCAAACGGACCGGCGACTAAACTCGGGTTGACCTGTGGTGTGGTCGAGGGCGTCGCATGCGACGGTAGGGCATGTCCGTCAGCTGGGTACTTGGCAAACGACCCCGATCCAAGGACAGGCTGTAGATCCGAGTTTGGAAGTGTAAAGCTGGGTGCCGGAGCTGCTCCGAGCACAGGTCTAACAGGAGCAGACCCTAGTGTGTTGGGACGGCCGAGCTGCCGGTACTGTTGGAGATACTGTCGGGGAATTGGTATTGGCGTCGTACTGGAAGGCACCATCTGACCAAAGTTGTCCCTCAATCGTGGCAAGACTGAGTTGTGGGCAAGATTGGCTTGAGCAGTTCCAATGCCTTTGTTGATCATCCCCATTGTGTTTGACTGGACAGCGGGCTGGGGCTGCCACCCATATCGCTCTCTGTCGAGCCGGAGTTTCTCAGCCTCATATGCCTCTGGGTCTGTGAGCCTCAGGAGGGCGAGGGCAACCTCCTTCTTCGCTTCCTCCTGGTCCTCTGGAGGAAGTTCATATGTCTCTTCCTTCTCAAATGTCTCCGTAGATGTAACCTTGCGGACTAGGGGTCCCACCTCAGCGCTGTTCAGGAGAGCGTCAAGAACGGTATCCTGGCCATAGGCATCTTGAAGGTCCTCCTGGTCCACTGTCTGCGGCGGTACAAAGTACTCCTTGAGGCGAGTAGCGTAAGGGGCCGGGTTCTTCTTATCGATGACCCGGGAGGCGAGCTGCGTCTTGAAGATGGCGCTCTTGTGGATTGTTGCCTCGAAGGTGCCTCCTATCATCAACCAATAGACATACACCGGCTTGGTCTGACCTAGTCGGTATGCCCGGCCAATAGCCTGCTGTTCATCGGTTGGCGAATACTTGAAGTCCAGGATGATCACTCTGTTGGCCCCATAAATGTTGAGCCCAACACCACCAGCTTTTGTGGAAATCAGATACACGTCGGCCGAATCGTTGCTGTTGAACTTCTTGATCGATGCTTGACGCGTATTGATTGGGGTATGGCCATCAAGGCGCTGGTATCCGATCTGCCTCCGCTTGAAGATGCTCTCGAGAAAGTCCAGCGCCGGGATGCTTTGGGTGAAGATGAGTGCCTTGTCGCCCACCTTGCGAAATTCCCCCAAGAGAAACATGAGTGCGACGATCTTGTACGAGTGAGCGTCGTTATCAATGTCTCGGCAAGTCGTCGGGGTCAAGAGTTCACTTAGGATATCCTGAGGCAAAATAAGCTCATCCTCGTCCTCGGATTTCCCACTCTTCGCCTTTCCCTTGGCGTCCTTTTGCCTTTCGGCCACCGTCTTGAAGATCTTGGGGTGCGCCAGGACAGTACCAAGCTTGGCAACCATGCTCCAAACCTGTGCCGATGATCTGTCGCTACCCGTAATTGTCGGATTGTTGACACGCTCGATGTAGATTTCATAGAGTGTCCTCTGGAGCGGGGTCAAGGGCAGCATTATGATAAACTCCTTTTTCGTGGGAAGCTCGTCTCGGAGAACTTGAACGTCCCTTCGATGAACCTTGGGGCTCATAGTCTCCTTCAAGATGACAAGCAGTTTCCTCGCTTGCCTCTTTGCCGAAGGGTTACTATCTGCATAAAGCCCTTCCTTGATTGGATTGCCGAACCTGGACCTGAACTCTTCAATGTCCGACAAGTAGCCCGGCGAAACCCAGTTGATCATGGCGTAATAATCCATGACGTTGTTGGTCAGTGGTGACCCCGTCATGGCGATGCGGCTCTTGGTGTGAAAGTGTGCGGCTGCTCGTGACCGCTTGGTGTTCTGATTCTTGATGAGATGGGTCTCATCCCCGACAACAATGTTTGGTTTTTCTTGCAGAAGCTTCTCCAGCTCCTCATCCTCAACGAGGTTGCCAAAGAGACTATATCCGACGATGAGAACCCCACCGCCTGAGGCCCATTTCTTGACGACTTCTACGCGAACGTATGCCGTCAATGATGCGTCTACTTTGTATACCGGTCCCAGTGAGCCTTCCGGTGCCCACATGTTCACCTCATCAACCCAGTTATCCACGAGCCCCGATGGACAGAGAATCAATGTCCTGGATCGCCGTAGTTTCTCCGGAATCTGTTCGACAACCGCGGGGTCATCGGACGCTGCTGCTTCGGCAATGACCACCAACAAAGTGATGACCTGCATTGTTTTGCCCAGACCCATGGTATGCGCAAGGAGGCAGCCCTGGCCACTCACCACAACCTGGTTCCACATGAAGCGCACACCATCGATTTGATGGTCTTTGATCCTGCTGCCGGTGTAAGCGTTGATAAAGATCAAAGGCTCGTCGTCTTTCTTTGTTTCGTTGACGATGAGTCGGGCCATGGTACTAGGCACGATGGCATTGGTAGCAATTTCTTCGTGTAACCGGCGCCGGCGGCGGCCAAACTCTACGAGCTGCTGCTGAGTAGTGACCCGTAGATTTTTGGCCTCTTGGTTAACTTTCTGTTTCCGTTTCCGTTTCTTCTTAGATAGCGGCACTTCTTCGTCGGATAACACTGCCTCAACTTCGTCGGCAAGGGTGAGCGTGGCGTCAGCCGGGTCTTGAGGCACCCCTCCTTCGGATGGGTCTTGGGAAACCAATTCCTCGACTGGCTTCTCAGAGGCCGCCACTTGAGAAGGTTCACTTTTGATGGGTGTTTTGACTGCCGGAGACTTTGTGGGCGTGGTGGGCGCCAAAGACCTTGTGTGGCCAAAATGTGACTTTTCGGTCCTGAACAACACAAGCAACTTTTTCAAATGGTTGTAGAAGGTCTGAAATTTTACACCAGCGCTTTGCTCAAGCTGCCTCAAGGTAATTTTTCGAATCGTTGTCCGGGCCAGCCTCTTTGCGGAGCACTCAAGAAACGCGTCAAACAGTTGACAGAGTAGGAGTTCAGTTGTGCCAACCCTAGCAACTGTGCCATTGGTATCGATCACTGGCTTCAAGTGCTCTTCCCAAATCTCCTTATGTCCGAAAGGGCCGACCACTTTAAGGACCCTCTCCCTTTTCTCTTCAGTCCATTGACAAAGGATGGCTGCGAGAAGACGTTCGGCATCATTGGCCTTAGCCCAATAATCGGTGCCCATTTCGCCCATTTTTTCGAGGCTCAGTCGATCGGTGAATTCCGGGATCCCATCAGTAGGTGAGATCAAGGGTGAATCCTCAATTAGGATAACCTCTCGGGACGAAGCAAGCCGATGAGGTGTTGAGGGTGCAAGGGCCAGCTTGGTCTTGATTTTCCCCGGTGAAGAATCTTGCATATCGGTGTCGGGCTCTTGTACAAAGTCGGATATAGGCTCAACTTCCATCAAGTCGTTTGAAATCATGACCTTGTCGTCGCTATCGTCCAAGAAGTCATCTGTCTCGGAGTCACTGCTGGCCAGATCCTCTTCATCTTCCGCTAACTCTTGTTGTTTCTTGGGCCGAGGCATTGGCCGAGGCAAAGCGGCAGGCTTGGGTGGGCGTCTCGGGCTCTCAAGCACTCCAAGCAGCCAACACTGGTAGCATTTCTCGAAGACGCTCTGCTCCAAGTAGTCCGACGCCATCTTACGAAGCATCTCGTCAGACTTCCACTTCTCCGTCAAGATTTGCTTTCTGAACTTCGGGATGCGTTTCGCAGCCTCATCCTTGAGCTTTTTGATGGACTTGATGTAGGCTTCTCTATTTGGGTTCCGTCTTGCGCTCTCCCAAATGTTGTGCGCTCTTCGGTCCTGTTTGGGCTGTTGTTCAGCAACCCAACGCGCCTCGAGTTCCTTGATGACATCTGCAATGACAGCCTGGGCTTTATCGTTGCTCAACAGCGAAGCAGCTTCTTGCTGCCGTAGAACCTTCATCCTCTCTCGCTCTTCTTCTTCTTGCTGATATTCCTCCCATTCATCGGAATCCATGCTCTCCTCATCGTCAGACTGACCAAAGACTGGCAACGGAGATTCTTCTCTTTCGTCCTGCGGAACTTCAAGGGTCCTCTGTGGCCGGACGGAGAGGTAGTGACGTTTCATGGCTCCCCAAACCTGTCTTCGACGCCCCGGGGGGTGATCGTGATAACCATGAGCAAAGTCCCCATTATCATCCACTTCATCTGAAGGATTCAGGCTGAGTATCTCGGCCGGGGTCAAGGATCCAGGATCGAGCCAGCATGGGGGGGCTTGATACCCAAAGATGGTTGTGAGCCTCGTGAAGGCATCTCCCTCTGTAGGAGCAAGCACAGGTTTGGCATGCATGGGCTCTGACGATATCAGTGTAGGCGCTACTCTCCTCTTTTTCCGAGGCGGTTCTTCTGGGGCGATAGGTTGCTGTTCGACTACTGCCGGGCTTCCGTTGTCCGAAACACTATTAATGTCCATGGGTTCCGACCCTGCGATGCTGTTGTCCTCTGGGTTTTCGTTGATGTCTCCCAGACCTCCAATCCGCAGGTCCACAGCAGGTGATAGCGCTGGAGACAAAACACTACTTGGTCCTGATGCCCCAAGTTGAGAGGCAATCGCAGCCTGCATTGCGCGATCCATATCCAGACGGGGCTTTGCATCTGAAGATCCTCTGGCTGGAGGCTCAAAGCTACTGGGCGGATGAGGCTCTCGCTTGATGTAGGTACTGCCATGGTCATCCCCGTCATGTTGCTGACGTATGTAATCACGATACCCAGCACTTGATTCCTTGAGTTCATTGATGATATGCTGCAAGAATTGTTGATGGGGCAATATCTTGATGCCCAATTCTGCAAACATGTTGTGAATGCCGAACTCTTCAGGGTAAGTTAGGAAAGATGCGCCATCGACCCCGCCCTCTCTGAGCTTCGCTTGAAGGGCGGCAAGGTCCAGAGGCCGCTTGGGGGCCCTTGCCCTCCATTGGCGATTCGAATGGCACAGTTCTTGTATGAGTCGCTCCTCATCCCACAAAAAGGGATCGTGTACGTCTTCCCCTTCCATGTTCACAACTGAACTGTCTGCTGCTCTATGTTAGACTTTGCATCTGTTCATGTGGCTTGGTGGCTTGATAGCTTGGATCAGAGAGAGTATAAATGGAGGTGCCTGTCACAAACAGGCCCAACAAAAGCTCTAGAGATGAATTTCAAAGACAAGGGACCAATGGAGTTTACTCACCAGCATATTATTAATGATTGCTATGAACACCGCTCATAACCAGACCAAACGCCGTAACGATGCGAGCAGAGAAGAAAGAGGAATCGGGGACGCTGAAATCAGAGAAAAAAGGTTCGACTTGCTTTCAAGCCACACAATAATCGATGGGAGACTATGGCTCTTTGGATGGGGGCAGGTTGGCGGTGATGCGATGATGATGGTGATAAATATGCGACTCTGTCAATCAAACGAAGGACCATGAGGTGTCGTGAGTCAAGTGAATTGTCGACTTGCTTCTCAGGTTCCTCACAACAGGATCTCAGAAGCAATATCGAGATGACGATAATCGCCGATAGGCAGTCGCGTGGTGGAGGTTGGTTGACGCGTGGAACGCGAATTTAGGGTTTGTAGTGGTCGAGAAGTGGTGACGGGTGGTCACGTTGATTGAAGTAACCCTGGAATATGGTGTCAGCATTCTATATTCATAATTAGGTTCGTGATTGCCTGCTTTGTGCGATAAGAGGTCTGTGCTCCGGCTCTCGATAACAATAGCAAGTATTTTTCAGGCAGGCAAATGCTCTCGAAGAGAGAGGAAATAATAATATTGTGAATATAAGTGGGTGCAAAGATCAATCACTGAAGTGAATAAATGGCTTCCAGTGTAAAGAACGACGCATGGGAGGCTTAAGATAGGTGTTAATCTAACACGCAGAGTGACTGTCTGGCAGCATGAGTCGCGAATAAGCTTCGATAAGGGAGGGGTAGCAAGTGAACATCAACTTACCCCGCCATGGTTGGTGAGGTGATGGTGGAAGGCGGGACCCTTGGTAAGGGCAGCAGCTGGGTGTAAAAGCTCGGACGAGGTTTCCAACTGGCAGGAGCACTCTACGGCTTCTCTTGGGTAAAGAGTTTTTGTAGTGTATATTTGCTGTGTTTAACTCCAAAAGGCCGAGTTGCTCTTGGGACGGCTCCGCGACCTCATGGGGACCCACACTCTCTCTTTTCTGGGGAACGCTGTTTGAGCAACCGCCGAACTTCGGGCGGCAACTCCATCCAGCAACGGCTTAAACCAGATACTTGGTATATGTCTGTTGGTAGATTGTGGAATACGGATGACTGTTTTCATCTCGTACTTTATCCTAGTCCAAGAACGAGTGATTTCTCCAATTTTCAGACGACCTGTCGATTGCAATATTTTGCTTTGTAAGCGCTTCAAACTGCCCCTTTCTCCTGCTCACGCCGATGTTACCATCGAGCACTTCTCAGTCCGCCACTGACAAAGTTCTTGGCCAAGCAAACACCAAGCATAGAAAGGAATTCCACCATGACTTCAAACGCCCCCTATCCCCCAGCTCTAGATGCAGGTCTGGAGACAGAAAGACTGTCTCAGACTATCAAGGATTGGTCAATCGCCAATGGGCTTGCCGTCCGTCCTCCTCCTGCATTGGTAGGCCAGAATCAAGACCCTGAGGGAATTCTGGCCATCAATGCCCCTGTCACGCTTTTCCCAAGTCCATTCCCAAAAAGCTGCTTCGAGGAGGCAAAGGCAATCCAGACGAACTACAATGAGTTGTATGCTCGAATTAGTCAGGATGAGGAGTTTTTGGGCCGTCTTGTTCAAGAGTAAGCTGCCAACACAACTGTCGAGATATCGATCTTAATACTGACCATGTTAGGGTTGCCGGTGGTGATGATTTTATTGCCAAGCTCTGGGAGATTCATCTCAAAGTAAAAGAGGAAGGCTATGTTCAGGTAGGTCGCTGTCTGGCTGGTGTAATGGCCCCTGCTAAAAACCGTGTGTTAGAACCTCTCTCTTGGTCTTTTCCGGTCAGACTACATGGTTCACCAAGACGGTGACCACCTCCAAATTAAACAGGTTGAGTTCAACACGATAGCCTCTTCCTTTGGAGGGCTCTCTGCTCAAACCTCGCTGCTCCATCAGTACCTATCCCCTTGCCACCTCAAGCACTCACTCACACATGATACTAACACCCGCTCCAGACACCTATCAAAAACAGAATACCCCCTCCTAACCACCCCCATCCCCCCCAACACCCTCAACCTCCCCCCCAACACCTCCGCCCACTCCCTCGCCGCCGGCCTCCGCGCCGCCTACGAAGCCTACGGGCCCTCAATCCTCAACCACCCAACCTGCATCCTTTTCATCGTCCAAGACGGCGAACGCAACATCTTCGACCAACGCCACCTAGAATACTCCCTCCAACAATCCTCCATCCCCGTCTTCCGCCTCCCCTTCTCCCAACTCCTAACCCACACCACCCTCTCCCCCACCCCCCTCCGCCAACTCCTCTACCACCTCCCCCACAACCCCTCCCAAATCTTCGAAGTAGCCGTCACCTACCTCCGCGCAGGCTACGGACCAAACGACTACCCCGCCCCCTCATCCTGGCTCGCCCGCCGCAGAATCGAAACCTCCAACACGATCCCCTGTCCCACAATCCTAACCCAGCTAGCCGGCATGAAAAAGGTACAACAAGTCCTCGCCACCCCTCCCGGCCCTTCCACCCTCGCCAAATTCATCCCCGACGAAGAAAAATCTTCCGCGTTGTGGAGGACTTTCACAAACATCTACCCCCTGGACAGCTCCTCCCCCGCAGGGAGGGAAGCCCGGCGCCTGGCCACCGACCCGAAAGAGTGTCTAAAGTACGTCATGAAGCCCCAGAGGGAAGGCGGCGGAAACAACTTTTACAAGGGCGCCATCCCGGAGCAGCTGAAGAAGGTGCCCGAGGAGCACTGGAATAGTTTTATTCTGATGGAGCTCATCACGCCGCCCGCGGTGCAGAATACCATCCTGAGACAGGGGAAGCTGGAGCAGGGGGGCGTGATTTGCGAGTTGGGGGTGTACGGGACTTGTTTGTGGGATCAGAAGACCGGCCAAGTCAAACACAACGAAGAGGCGGGTTACCTACTAAGGACAAAGGGGGATCAGAGCGAGGAGGGGGGTGTGGCGGCTGGGTTTGGGTGCATGGATTCTGTTGCTTTGGTGTAGACCTTCGAGTGTGAATAGCAGCCTCCAAGGACATAAAGATGCAATATAGTTGTATTCAACATAGAGACAGGACTAAACAATGTTCATTCCACCTACCTCCCTTCACCCATCACTGCCTGTGTACCTAATTATATTCTTATACTTCAGCTTTTCCGGACCCTTTCACCAAACTAGCACCCCAACCAAGCAATAACAATATCCCAATCTTTCAAACGCACCCCCTCCCACCCTCATATCCCAGCCCACTCCCAACCGCACTCATCCCCACCGACCAACTACTCCCAAAACTCGACCCGTTCCCTCCTGACCCCCCTCCGTCCCAGCTCCCCCCTCCCTAGTCAAATCAGTACTAATCACCAAATCATCCTTCCCCCTCAAATGCAACACAATCGTCAACCCTTGAATCCCAACATCATCATCCTCATCCCCTGCCACCATCACCGTCCCCGTCCCCGCAGGACCTGTTGCAGTCCCCCCAACACTACTCCTCTCTCGCCGGCCTCCTCCACCAAGCCGGTTACTCCCATCAATCGTAGCCTCACTCGTCGCCTTTGAAGCAGCCCTAGCCCCAGCCCCAGCCCCAGCAGCCATACTCATATTCACAGAAGACGGCACCTTCCAAAACCCAGACGACCCATGAGAATGATGCTGTTGCTGACCACCAGACTGCTGCTGCTGCTGTCCAGGAGGAAAAGGATAACTCCTCAGCTGTTGTTCTTGTTGTTTCTGTCCCTCACCCCGTCTCCCAAGCCCCCCAGGCGACACCTGCGAGTTTGATCCTTGCCGTGCATCTCCATCACCACCAGGTCTCACCACAGTAACAGTAGCAGTGGAATCCGTCGTACCCCTCCCCTCCTTCTTCTTTCCCCCCAGTGACTGCTGACCCAACTGCGGACTACTCTTCGTCTTGCTCGAATCCAACCCCACCTTTTTCAATCTCCCAGCAATACTCCCCGGTTGAGCGGCCACCGAAGCAGCAGAAGCAGCAGAAGAAGAAGAAAAGGGGCCAGTGCCCTTGAGCCAGGCAGGCGGGCTAGTAACTCTAGCACGAGGAATAGACTTGCCACTGCTCTTACGACCTCCCCCAGTCTCCATCCCACTATTGTCCTGAGCAGAACCACCACTGTCCACATCCACCTGAAGAACCTGCTGCAATGCCCCGGACTTATTTGTCTGAGCAAGAACCTTGACCCGTCTCAAAACAGGAGGCGTAGTCCTCTCCTTTTCCCGTCTCGCCTGTTGGTGCAAGACGTGAGCTCTATCATTGGACGCCTGAAATGTCGGAGAAGGCGTAGTAGGATCTGGCTCCCGATCCGGGCGGTGAACATGAGGACCATCCTTGGCCTGCAGAGCAGCAGTCCTTTCCTCCTCCCTCTCTTCAGCGGCAGCAAGCATACGTGCACTATTGCTTGGAACTCCAGGTGAGGGGGGCGGGACAACCGACGAGCCCCTTGACGAGCTAGCATAACTGTGTGACAGTCTCTCAGGGTGGGGCTCCCTCTGGCTCTGTTGAATCCGGGGATGTTCGACAGCGTCAGTCGGAGCAACAGGTACACGACGCTTGCGGTCAACAACAGTGGTAAGATCATACTTGGGCAGCTTCGAGACAGGAGGCATGGCAACGACAGGAATAGTTGTGCTGCTGACTTGGGGATCCGAAACCTTTCTGGCAATCTGGTCGGCAATGACGAACGGATTCGTCTTCTGTCATTGCTGTCAGCATATCCCTAACCAAAAGTAAAGAAACAAACCTACCACGGGCCGCCTCTTCTCAACAGCAATGATCTCCCCATTCGACTTCCTGACAACCTCCACCAAGCCCCCTCCCTCCCCATCAGGCGTCATAGCAGCAGCAGGTGAAGGCAATCCAGTAGCAACAGCCACACTCACCCTTTCAACCTCGTCCCCTACCCTCCCCCGTCCATGCTTCTCACTACCACCATCCCCATTCGCACTTCCCATCTCCTGTCTATTCTGCGGAGAAGGTTCCTTCCTGCACCTCCCACACAAAGGATGCCCACAAGAAGGACAATACAACTGCGGCCTAACTCTGTCTCCACAAACATGACAAACCGTCACTGCCGGCTCCCTTGATCTTCCCCTCATATCCTTTTGGTCTCGATCTTCTCCTCCTCTTCCTCCCATGTTCTCCATCTCTCGATCAAGGTACAGACCGGCATCATGACTGTCAGCCTCATCCTCAGACAACTAGCCCGACGGTCTGGAAATATTGTACTGCTCAAACAGCTCCATGGCAGCGATCCTCCGCCCGCTCTGGGATGTCCCACCGCTGACGAAGCTTGCCAGCGAAGGCTCCGAGATCTCGCGAGGGCGTGGCATCTTTTCTTTAACCTCAGGCACCGAGGGAAGAGGAGGTTGTTCTTGTTGTTGTTTTTGGTGAGAGCTTGAAGCAGGGCGGACAGTAACCCTGATGGAAAGGGTACAAGAGCTATGGTTACCCGGCCGGTCGAAGCAGGCTTCCGATGCGCCTTGTTGCTGTGTATCCCAGTAGAGCGTCAGTAAAAAAAACACAAAACCAACACGCTGGAAAAAGAGGTCAACAAACAAGTTCACCCTGCCTATCCCTCGTACTCAGCAAACGATCCGACCTCGATACGCCTCGCTCAAGCAATGGCTGAGATGTCCGCGTCTTTGTCGTGCCTTCAGGGACAGCAGGGGACTTTTGTTGATGTTCTCGCTGAATCGGCACTAGTCGGTCTTCCGTCTTCCCTAACCTGGGGCTCGAGCGGCTGTTGGCAGGCGAGGGCGTGGCAATGCGAGAAAATGATGGAAAATAAAGCATCACAGTATTCGTCAGCCAGTAACATAAACACACTATAAAGTATGCTGGCGTCGAAATGGATGCCTTGTAGCGAATATCCGGTAACCAGCTGGTGTGCCCGGATTCCGTCAAGAATGAAAAGATGTTGTGGTTTTAGGATATACGGAAGGATGTTTGCAAGAGAAGATTCAGAGAGCAGGTCCACCTCCGGATTTTTGGGAAGCCAAACTACCACTCCGCGCTCTGACATAACGGGCAAGAAAGACCCAGACAAATGGGCCGGCATAGCACTACCCCTACTCAACAGATAATAAGCAATGGCAACCGCGATCAACTCAGCAACTACCTAGCACATGCAACCTCGGGCCGCCTCTAACCCCCAAGACGATAACAGTCCGGCTCATGAAGCATCTCTTGGACTAGATAGGGAATCTTTTGGATGACGTATTCTACAGGGAGGGTTTATTGGTGGGGTTGTACATCTACTTGAGGTGGGCCTGGAGAGTCTCGAGGACCTAGAACAGCAGTTAGTTAGCACCTTGTAAACCAAAATCACCTAGAATCAAACCAACCTCAAGCTCAATCTTGGCCTCGGCAATCTCCTGCTCGCTGCCGCTGCCACTGGCAACCTTTTGCGCCTCAGCAATCTGGCTGCGGACAGCCTCGGCGCTGAAGTCCTCAAGGGGGAAGCCCTCGACGGCGTTGATGCTCAGAACGGAGTTGGGCTGAACAACGGCAAAACCACCGGAAACTAGAATCGTTCTCTCGTGTGAGCTTCCAGTCCTTTTTTTCTGCCCTTTTCTATCCGAGCTCCAATGTTTCGAGGTGATGGGCGGTACGTACGGAAGAACTGCTTGTTGCCACTCTCCTCAATGATCTCGACGACACCGGGCTTCAGCTGCTCGATCGAAGGAACGTGGTTGGCGAGGACACCCATCTCACCCGACTCGGCGGGGATGTTGACCTGGACGACATCCTGGGACTTGTAGACGGCCTGTTATGCGGCATAAACATCAGCGGCCTCGCTCGAAAACATGTTGATATCCCTCCAATCGACCAAGAAACATTCGGGGTGCTGTCCGTCGTCATCGTACCTGGTGGGGAAGCGACAAGCTAAGCTTGATCTGTAGGGAATAAGTTAGATAATGTTAAAGCGCGCGGTTCCTGGAGGGGCAGTAGAGACATACCTTGTCGCTGACGGCCTCGGCGTAGCCTCTGCGCTGGACGGGGGCGCGGAGAAGAGCCGGGCGAGCCCGAATGGCGGCGCGGGCAATGCGAAGGGAGTTCATGGTGATGGCGGCGGTCTCAATGGGTCAAGTCCTTCTCGATATGTCGTCGGCTCTCCAGCTTTGCCCAAAATCCGGCGATTGACTGGAACCAATGGAACCGGGATTGTCCGGTTCGGCTACGCGGAAACGTTTTTGCGGGGCTTGAGGTGGGAGGTGGAGAGGAGAGCGCTTGCTGAGCTCAGCCAAGCTTGCACAAGTTCAGATGATTGCATAAATTACGGGTAGATGCATATACACTTCAAGGTTGATGGGACTGTCCATCGTGGTGCATCATCAACACCTTTATGACCAGAAACCTCACTTGACTGACTTGCTGAAGTCCCAAAGTGCTGGCCAGGCAAGAACCGCATATTCTAGCCCTTTTTTGCCAGTATATCCCTCAGAGCACAACATGAAGCCCTAAAAACCTTCCTTGGACGTTGTGCAACAACCAACATGCCTTCTAGTCTCAGTGGCTGATGAGCAGAGCAAATTGTCCGGCCACGCCGCAGAAGATTCACTCAACCAACCGTTGTATTCCCCCCAACCGATCTCCAAAAATCACAAGCTGGCGGTTGCTGTCAACAAGAGAGAGCTCGCTGTCAGTTCCCCCGAAGCCGCGATTCAGCACCATCCCCACCCGTAGCTCATGCCCTGACTGACCTTCTCAACATCATCCCATGGATGTGATGCCTTCATGCTGCCGCTGTGATGCACCGAGCTTTCTACGTTTTAAATCCCTCAAAACCATCCGCTAAAAAACCGGGTACCCGCGTCTTACTGTCTAGCTGTCAAGAACCATAACCTGGAAGGCGTATCCATGCTAATACGTACCCGGACCCGGTTTCCGCTTGGAGGTTGGGAAAGGGTTCATCCTGTGCACGGCAGTTTGCATCATCGGTCAAGGATGGGAGAGCAACGTGATCCCAGAGGGAGGTTTAGGGCTTGACGTAGATAGTTTTGATGTGGTTTCATGTCGTGAGTGAGATGCAAGCACATGATGATGGAAACTGGACGCGGGCAAAATTGGCCTAATAAAATTTCAGGTCAAGATAACGTACAGATACAGATGGGATTTCGGGGGTTTACCAAGACCGGGGAAATGCCATGCTTGGGTTAGAAGATGTGGGATGTTTGACCTGAAGATGGAATGGGGACCACACCAACAAACATGTCAGCTGCTCAATTCCGAGGTAAGAAGAGACGTCTCAGAAATGGTCCCCCACCACAGGCCCTTCGGGTACTCCCACCTTTTGTGTTTCTGTTCATCCGATGTGATCTGCGGAAGAATCCGAGTTGTTATTAAGGTATACTGTGCTTCCCCGGAAGTGGCAGGTCAGAAGTAAGTAGTTTCCCTAACCCATCAGCAAGCATACATACCAACCTATCCACGTGGTTTGTCTTCCCCCCCCCCCCTGTGTCACGCAAAGGTGGTTACAAAGTGTGGTCTGTTCTTTGTGTTGCATGTGTGACACCCAAGAAAACGTCTGTCTTTTTTGCGGCCCAACTCTGGGCTTGAACTTTCCGTTTTCTTGAAGGTTCGATGTTGTGTGATGTGTGACCCAGCGACCCCACCTGGTGATGAATGAGTAGTGAAGTAGAGTCAATCGCATGACCACTCTTTGGTTGGTCATTTTCTTTGTAGCCCAGGCTTGGTTCCTGAACCCCAAAACCAACTAGACAATGAGGAGACAAAAGAACTGCCCTTTTTAGGTAGTTTTCTTCTTTGATGTTTTGGCTGGCTGCCACATGGAGAACACGGGAGATCGGAATAGGGCCATAGCGATACCGGCCGTGAAATGGCCCCGAGCTTGAGGCTATGGTTTTTAACTTTTATTATTGTTCGGGCTTCGCCGAAGAAACTAAACGGCCCGTAGCCAGTAGTCTTTTGTTTATTTGGTCGATACGTCACTTTATGGGGTTCTTTTTGGTCCGTAGGGAGCTCCCGTCTGCATGAGCCGTTTACGATTGCGATGCCGTGTAAGCCGGATGGCATCGTACGTCTTTCCTGTGCTTGGATAACAAATTCCACCACTCTTAGAAATGTGTCGTCGTCGTCGTCTTCTGTGTGGCTTTTGGGCGATCCCAATGAGGGGCACCGTTTTGAGGTTGGAATTACGGGCCACAAGCAACAACAAAAAAAAACCTATGGGCTCGGTGACATTGCGCCTTAACAGCTTTAGCGGCACAGGTATCAGGTTTCATAGCAGAGACATATCGACGTTGGTTCCCTTCGGGTTGCCGTTTGTAGTCGTGTCATCGTCTGAATGAAAGATTACCCCACGCTATCTGATGGTCGTAGCACTGCGGGGTAGTTGAGGGTGGTTGTTTCTGTGTCTTCGGGCCGGGTGAAGTTGCTTGCCTGCCCCGGACTACAAGCCTCTGAGATTTGGAGATTGGGTTCCTTTCGCTTCTGGCGCGTGCAAATGCGCAATCAATCTCTGGCCGCTCGCGCTATCGTGTCGTCGGCGAACTGGAGGCAGGGAGGTTGGGTTCGTTGATCACGGTATCGCCTTGGTCCAATCATCCAGCGCCCTCTTGTGCATCTTGGCGGGGTAAGGAGATGGTGTTGTGAGCTGCAGGTATTCAGCGTCAACGGTTACCTACCATTCCATTTACGCTCAAGCGCGCGGGTTGGACTATTACGAATGTCGCTGAATAGTGCTCTGAGTTGCATCTGCTTCGTCACGGGTGTCAGACTGAGGGAGCATTCCAAGTTCTATCTCTGCTAGTCAGCTTCACTTTGAGCTGCCTGAGCAATAAGGAAGCGTGGGTTAGCGACGGAGTGAGCCAGCAAACTCTGCGCTGGCGAATCCTCAATTCCAATAGAGGCACGCAAAATAGGAGGATAGAGATTGGAGGAACAAGTCAAGCGAGTAAACCCCCACGACAAATGGTAGCCCGAGCCGTTCGGCCTCCCACTCTTGGAGTTGCATCCAAGGTGGACATGGCGCCATTTCCCCAGACTTCATCGTCACTTTTTGATGGATGGACATGCTGTTTACCGACCGTGCCGACGTGGGAGAGGTGCCGGCCTATTGTTCTCACGAGTCTACTCGTTGTACCAGTTGATCAGACTTCGGTGGTGGATGGATGTGCATGTCAGGAAATTCGATATCTGACTGGAAAGGTTGTGTTGCTGAGTGATACGATTACTCGGTGCCGGGGTACACAGCATGGCACAGCATGAAATTACAGGAATAGCTCATGTTTTGCCGTCTGGTGCCAATTCTGGTTAGCCTTGACCCGCTGTTTTCGGCACCCGCAACTGCCTTCCAGAGGGACTCTAAGCTCGGGCTACTAAAGTAACTGCTAAAGTTTTTTTGGCGGGAATAAATTTATTCTAGAATAAAGTACAAAGTAAAGAGTAATAAATTAAACTAATTAGAAGACTCTATATTTACTGATAAAAAATACTAAAAGTGATGATAAAATAAAGTGTAAAGCCATGATCAATTTTTAGGAAAAGAAGACTTAGTTTTGTAGGTGTGCCTTTTGGAGAGGTACGCTGCAAAGTAACGTGAATACCCTATTTGCTCAACTAGATCAAAGCGAGGCAACTGCAAAGTGAGGCCTACATAGTCCAAGAAGCTCAAACTAGCTTAACTATTGAAATGGTAAGAAAACACACAAAATAACTACAATACCACAAATATATCCTTAACAGGTCTCTGAATAAAGACACCTGCGTGACAGTGACTTGCTCGCAGGCCGCACTTCACGTAAGACAAAGAAAAGACGCTATAGGCTCGCAGGCCACGTAATAAGTACCGGATTGGCTTGATTAGAGGGCCAGGATTGCCTGCTGTCACGGCTTGACACTCGGTGTGGCGCACCACAGACCAATCATTAGTACAGGAACAAGGACTAATCAGAACAGGATCAATGTGATCGAGGATCGATCCAAGGGAGTCAACCCCAAAAGAGACAATATCGATAGGATCGATGGTCAAGTCTATCGATTCAGGACAGTGCCAGGCTTGGCATTGGGGTCTATATATACGGAGGAACTGGCTGGTGTAGATAGATAGTTCCGCAGTATGCAATCACAGCTTGTATTCACGGCAACTTGTGTTTACATTGAGACATCTTGTTGTGCACTGTTTAGCTGCACCGAACCAGGATTATTCAGAAGTGCTTTCGATTAGTATTGGTTTGGGGTGCGCCACAGGCCTGAGAGTATGAGTAAGGAAGCGGGGCTCTCGGAGGACTCAGGGGTTCAGGGGTCATGTATATAAGCGGTCTGCTTCGGACATTCTATTTTAGACAAATCATCGACTTTTATTTTTCTTCGTATTTTGTGCCTTGCACGCGTGCAGGCAATTCTGGCCCTCTGATCAGGCCAATCCGGTGCTTATTATGTGGCCTGCGAGCCCATAGTGTCTTTTCTTTGTCCTACGTGAAGTGCGGCCTGCGAGCGAGTCACTGTCACGCAGGTGTGTTCATTCTGAGACCTGTTGAGGGTATATTTGTAGTGTTGTGGTTGTTTTGTGTGTTTTCTCACCATTTCAGTATCCCTTTCAGAGGTTCTGGATAGGGGTTCGTCATACTTGCACGCGTGCAAGGCACAAAATTTGAAGAAATAAAAGTCGATGTCCTGTCTAAAATAGAATGTCAGAAGCAGACCGCTTATATATATGACCTCTGAGCTTCTGAATCTTCTGAGAGCCCCACTTCTTCACTCATACCCTCAGGCTTGTGGCCGCACCCCAAACCAAAAAGCTCATAAATACTAATAAATAATATCGATATTACTTTTTCTAATGCTTTACTTAAAAATATAATAGACTGATTTAATTGGCTTTCGCGATTAAATAATAAAAAGCAGTAGTAAGTTTATTACTTTTTATTTTATACCTCAATTTTGGAGTAGATTTATTTCCCCAACAGCTTTTCACTATAGCGCAGGTAAAAAAAAGCCTCTCTATTTACTCTTGGCCCAAATGAAGCATCTGACCTAGCAAATCAGCTAGTCACAGCATTTGAGGCACTTATTGCTTTAAAGATAGCATCAAGCGTCT